TGTCAAGCCAAATAGTTAGTACGAGAAGCTTGAGACCAGTGGGTCTGGATATGGAAAGAACTATGTGAATGCTGTGACCCACATTGCAATCGCATATAATCCAATCCATCTTTGTCGATCGCATTTTAGTCCCTATAAATGGACCGGTCGCCCGGAACATTCGCCCTTGATTCAGCGCACTGGGACAGAGCTATGCATAAGCATGTCCAGCCAGGGGATCCCACTCAAGGCTGTCCGGCCCACTGCTGACACAATACAAACGGCAGAAAGTATCCAGTCTCAAATCCATATAGAGCGCAGCACCGCCAATATTTTCACCATTTACCGAAGCGCCAACGCATCGCAACTATGTCTGCTATCCCTATCGGCATGCTGCGCCATAGCCGCGGGCGCAGCAATGCCTCTAGTAACCGTCGTGTACGGGAACTTTGCACGTGAATTCATCACCGGAAATAATAATGCACCGGATGAAATTCGAGATCGGGTTCAGCGTCTTGCGCTCTACTTGGTATATATTGGTAGGAATTCATGTCGATTTAAACCAGTTTAGTTGGTTATCCTGCTAGTACGATCTGACGCAGCAATGCAGCAATCGGATCTCTGGTGACGACTGCCATCAGCATGTTCGGCTTCAACATCGTTGGAGAGGAAATCTCGCACCAGCTTCAGCAGAAATACCTCGCTTCGGCTTTGCGGCAGAATATGGCTTATTTCGATGTAGTTGGGGTGGGCGAGCTGACGTCTCATATGGATCAGGATATGAAGTTGATTCAGGCGGGTATCTCGCAGAAAGTTGGTGAGCTGCTTTCCGGGCTGTCTGGCTTTGTGGTTGCTATTGTTTGTGCATTCATCCAGAATGGGCGTTTTGCAGGCATAATGATCTCTCAGCCGATAGCCCTGCTTACGCTTATTGGGGTGATGGGGGGTTTCTTGAGTGTAACACAGCGAAGGGGTCTGGCTCAGTATGTCAGAGCAGGTAATCTGGCCCAGGAAGTGCTTAGCGCTATGAGGAGTGTCATTGCTTATCGGAGCCAGGAAAGATATGGTAAAAGGTATTACGAGGCGTTGCGACGTCCAGCGCAATTGGACTTTCGGGAGCGCTTCATTTTCGGAATGCTGGTTGCAGGATCGTTTATGGTTATGCACTGGGCGAATGGGTTGGGTGTATGTATATCGTCTCCGTACGATTTCTTGCGACAGCCAAATGAGTTCCTGCTGACGATTGCCAAGTTCTGGCAGGCTGATCATCTCCTCCGCCAAGGGAGTTGCACTATTTCGGAAGCTCTGACTATCATGTACGCAATGGCCGTGGCGGGTGGAATGCTCAGCCAAGCATTGCCAGCCATTGTCAATATCACCCAGGCCAACGCGGCCGCCAGCCGTGTCTTTTCTGTCATTGAGCGGAAGTCACCCATAGATCCTTCTGCATGTACCGGGGTGATGCACAGTCGGGCCATAGGAGAGGTTAGCTTCGAAGGTGTACACTTTACGTATCCTTCGCGGCCTGAAGGGGAGGTTCTAAAAGATGTCAATTTCGTTGTGCCTGCCGGGCATACTGTAGCGTTTGTGGGACCATCCGGGTCTGGGAAATCAACCGTGTTTGCCCTTCTGGAACGACTGTACCATCCTCACAGCGGTCGGATCATGCTGGATGGCGAGCCAATTGATGCAATGAATGTCTCGTGGCTAAGATCGCAAATTGGGTTTGTCGGTCAAGACGTCACTTTGATCCGTGCATCAATACTCGATAACATCGCATATGGGCTCCCCGAAGCTGCAGCTGAGGTGCTTCAAAACTATCATCTTCTGCCTCTCAGTCTTTTATACTGATTTTGTGATGCAGGATATGGACGCAAACGCGATACGAAAGCTGGTAATCGAGGCGGCCAAAGTTGCCCAAATTCACGACTTCGTTGCGAGTCTGCCCGAAGAGTACAACACCATAGTTGGGGCACATGGATCGAATCTCTCAGGGGGCCAGAAGCAGCGTCTTGCTATTGCCCGCGCAATCATATCTCAACCAGCAATATTACTGCTGGATGAGGCCACAGCTGCACTTGACAGTCGGTGTGAGAAAGCAGTGCAGGAGGCGCTGGACAACGCCGCCTCAGAACGAACTACCCTAATAATAGCCCATCGGCTGTCGACAGTCCAGAATGCCGACAAAATCATCGTCATGAAGGACGGTCAAATCCTAGGTCAGGGCTCTCATTCAGAGTTGTTGAGTACATCTGCGATGTACCGAGAATTAGTGAGATATCAGGCGCTTGAAACACCCCAACGATCAGAGGACGACAGCCTTGTTATCAGCCAAAGGCCTCATTCGTTGGGCGCTCATGAAGAATATTCCAAAGATTCCTTGGTCAATTTTGATACGGTAAATATGCCAGAGGACTGCCCATTAGCAGTACGGTCGTCCAGTAGCAGTGTCAGGCGAGTTTGGAGCCTCAATAGACCAGAGTTGCCATATACAGTCGCTGGCGTGAGCTTCAGCGTTTTGGCTGGAATAACCTATCCGGTTCAAGCAATCTTCTTCGGTAACGGGATCATGTCAATGATCAATCCTAACCTCAGTACCGGTGGACATAATGTTCAATTTTGGGCCTCTATGTATCTTACCCTCGGTATTATCGCATTTGTGGTTTATTCTGTACGGGGATATTGCTTTGCCATGTCCGCATCACAGTTGGCTCTCCGAGCCCGCTCGCAGTTGTTTAAGCATTTGATTGTGAACGATCTCTCCTTCTTCCAGGACAAAGACAACTCAATTGGTGCATTGGTCAGCTTCCTTTCATCTGGACCTCGGCAAATCACTGGCATTTCGGGAACATCACTGGGGCTTGTGGCTGAGAGCATTGTCATGCTCGCAACAGGAATTACCATCGGATGTAGCTTTGGGTGGAAGCTTGGTCTTGCTGCGACAGCAACGGTCCCATTAGTAGTTTTTTCCAGCTTCATGCAATACCATGCAGTGGCGCAGGTACAAAAACACATCACGCGCGATACTGGTGCTGTGGCCATTGCACATGAAGCTCTTTCTGCCATCAAGACTGTAACAGTCCTTGGTCTGCAGAGGACCATCAGCGCATCGTTCGAAAGTGAGAGTCTTCGAGACAGCCAAGGCAAATACTGGTTCATGTTTGCCGCGACATATGCGTGCACCACTTCCCTCCGCGTGATGAGCATTGCTTTCGTTTTCTGGTACGGCGGCACACACCTAATCGCGATTGGCGAATACAGTGTCCAGCAGTTCTTCATCTGCTTTGCAGCCACAATGTGGGGATCTCAGTCTGCGTCCGTGCTTTTAGCACATGCTCCTGACATTGTAGGCTCTGAAGCTGCTGCTGCTCGACTGGAGAAGCTGATGCAAGCCGGAATATCGTCAGCCGCCCACAGAAAACTGAATAATGGCAACGCTAACGTGCCAAGTATCACCGCAAACGTTTCGTTGCGACGCGTCAACTTCAGATATCCAAGCCATCAATCTCGGATAGCCTTGAACGACGTCAGTCTCGATGTGCCAGCGGGTGCCTTCATTGCTCTTGTTGGTGCTACAGGCAGCGGGAAGAGTTCAGTGATAGATTTGCTGGAGCGCTTCTATCCCAGCGAATCTGGCGCAATAGCACTAGATGATATGTCCATTGACCACTATGACCTCGACAGTTACCGAGGGTATCTAGCACTGGTCGACCAAAACCCTTGTCTGATTGGTGAAGACCTGCGCGATTGCCTGCAGAGTGGTGAGCTGGTTGTATCAGACGCCGAGATTTTGGCCGCTCTAAAGGACGTTGGGTTAGCCGATTTTGTGGTAGGCGTTCTCAACTCTTCCTATCCACTTGTTACAAAGTCTGACTATTTCGGTTCTTGTGTCAGCTGTCACTCCCCCAAGGTTTAAGCACCCCCATCATGGCGAACGGATCGACCCTGTCTGGGGGGCAGCGCCAGCGCATGGCTATCGCGAAGGCGCTTCTATGTCGACCAAAGATTCTGTAAGTGCTCCTTATTATAGAAAGCCCTTGATCAGTGAATTTTGACACTTCTCAGTCTACTTGATGAGGCAACCTCTGCCCTGGACTCCGCCTCAGAGGAACTAGTCCAGAGGACAGTTCAGCGTGTGATGAAAGGGCGAACGGTCATCGCTATTGCCCATCGACTAAAGACGATTGTCGATGCTGATGAGATCCTAGTATTCAAGCATGGGCAGATTGTAGAAAGAGGTAGCCACAAGAAATTGATGCAACTCGAGGGTGAATATTGGCAGATGGCCAGGTTACAGTCGCTGATGGGGGAAGCATGAACTGGAAGTTGAGAGTGTATATGCCTGGTTTGCACATAGTTCGGCTATGCAGTAATGGATGAACATAAAACGTTGGTAAGCGGGAAATTTTATGAAATTACCGAACCAAGAAAACCAAGACCCTGAGTATCATCATGTGACCCAAAAGTAGGCTCGGCATAGCCGAAAACAGACTAGTCAAGTGACCGGCATGAAGGTCTGATCCCCTCCCAAAACAATCCATGCAAAACGAGTACGAGCGGAATCACCGGATGCCACCAATTACTCCCACCCCTTGGCAGACAGACCTGTCCAACTATTAGATGCTCCTTGGTATATTTCTTTTCAACGAGACTCAGCAACCAAATTAGTTGACTACCTGATAGGTCGGTCAAATTAGAAGTGGTGAACACTCCGTTCCTCTTTCTCCTCTTGTAGGTAGGCAACAACCAATACCTGCACGGAGGAAATTGATAGCTCCGAGATTGGCAGGGTCCTGTTCCCTTCCGCTCAGATGCGTCGGAGAGAATGAGCGAATTGGTACTGCTTGGGTTCGGCCATCAACACTAAAGTAGCATTTCTGTGGGGACGACTAGTCAGAAAGTCCAGGGGGTTAACCTAACATGATGGTGGAAAGCAACCTTGGTTCTTCCGAATAAGGGGCAGTTCGTTACGGTATTGGGAGTTAGGGGTGGGTGTATGGATGCTGTACGATGGTGGTACTATGTACTACTTACCACTGACCATCGACTTTTGTAACTCTCTAGAAGCAACCCGACTGTTTCAGGTGCGCGATAAGATTCTGACATATACCCCGGTAGCGGAGTCTAGTACTCATTCCATCTTTTGGAGAGATTTTAATTTGGGGGCGGATAGATGTAAGAAGTTGGAGGTAGCTAAGCTCGTAAGCATGTATATAGAAGGACCTGACTCGAGTCAGTGCAAGGATTTTTAGCCTCGATGGTTGTGTATCCAGTAGTTGTTTGGTCGATAATGCAGGGCGTACTTGTAGGGCATTTGTCTGCCCTATGAGGTGCATGATGTATCGATCTCGCTGAACATTATAAATATGTCTCTTGGCCTCAGCATCCTTTTGTCTTGGCCTCATAGGAGGAGCGGAATCCCATATATGATTCGTGCCAACACAGTGCCCCCCTTGTGCTTTAGGGGGTTTCAACACTGCAGGTCATCGTCTGAGAACCAGCCGTCCGACCTCCGAGTTGCCCTGCTTGCAAGGAAAGGAGGGACACGGACACTAAAACACAATGGGAAGATTTTCAAGATGGTGTCACCGTGGCACGGATAATTAGCCAAAGCCATCCTGCATCTGTGCTGTGCTGACTAGACACAATGGACATTACGACCAGGGAGACCGAGAGGTGCGTGTAGCCCTATGAATCATATGAATCAGTTGGCTGCTTTGCTGATGCTGGTTGGTGATACGGTAAGCGGATGGTACGGAAGGCGTTCCCGTATGTAAGCCGTAACATCCCTGGGAGGAAGATAAGTGGGGAGGGAGGGAGGAAAAAAACAGAGCCAAAGACACGTCGGGAAAGATGGCACGCGAGACCCGATTCTTTTTTCTCTTTCTGCCCTGAATTCGGCCAAAATCAATCAATCAATTATGGAGCGCCCGTCTCCTTTCGGTGGATTCTTTAATGGTTGCCTAGGAACTATTACTCTCGTGATTCCGAAGAGAGGAGACCATCCATCCTGACACTTTTCCCTACCAAGTATCGCAAGTAGCTCTCTCTCTTTGTCCTCATGGGAATGGAGCATTGGCATGCCAGGCGTTCTCAGTGTAGCCAACCAGCTCCCTGTTGTCATGGCTGTTATCCTTGCCGATCCGGACCTGCAGAGCGTCATCCACGGAAAGGGTCCAAGGCCTATTCCCAACGCGCCAATGTAATAATCTATCTAATGAGGGTCCTCAGTGGATCTCCCAAATGTCGCCCCGCTTGGCTGGTTGAAGTCACCCCGTTCGTACGGAGTCGTATTTGATTCTATTCTTCCTCGGCCTTAACCAAATTTCCCTCTGTCCCCCAAAGGTGCAAAGCTTTTTCCCGTCGTGTTGAACTGAACGGATTCGTCGGATCTTCCGGTTTGATTTGCGGGCTCGTGTGGTTCTCGAAGCCTGTCTAGTCGGACTATCAAGAACCGTTCCCCGTGCTTTTCTCTCCTGATCTTCCTTTCCCTTTCCCTTGTATCTTCCCCCCTCTGTCTATCTTCACCCCCCTGTCTTGTCCATGCCTGATTGGCGTGTCGAGTCGGGCTGGTACTTACTTGGCTGTTCTCATTATTAGCACCGGTGGCCTTCTTTTCTCTCGTCCGATGCACCACACGATTTGAATGGTTCGACGTATGCGGCTATAACGCATTCGAGCAACGACTTGGCAGCCCTATTCTGATCCCCCGCATCGACCGGATCACTGCTCATACTCACCCATCCACCGCCTACCTGGTCCAGAATGCAAGCAGGGGCATGATAGACCTCCCGAACTATTCAACAACCCTTTTCAAACATACAACGTTGACATCTGCCGCCGGACATGAACCCTCGGGGCCTGCTGGCCGTCCTCACCTGCGCGATCTGGTCAGCGGTGGCCACAGCACGCTCCAGCCCCGCAGAGCAGAGCAATCACGGCAGTTTCGTCAACCGCAATGACCCTGACCCGCTGTGGCAGAAATATGGGCTGAACAAATCGGACGAGTTCAAATATTTCCATGAGCCAGGTCGTGACGATACCCTGGGGCACTATGACTCGCGGTTTTTCCAGGGGGAGCCGGTTCCGGACGCGGAGCGATCTATCACATTGACACATATGATTCGAGCATATCTGAACTTCTTTGAGGATAATGGACTGGAAACATGGATTGCGCATGGAACATTGCTGGGATGGTGGTGGAATGGCAAGGTGGGCTATTCCTGATGCACCAGACATGGTTAGTTTCGGCCGGTCTAACCCTTTTTCTTTTTAGATCATGCCATGGGACTGGGACATCGACACTCAAGTCATGGATACCACATTATTCCATCTCGCCGACCACTTCAACCAGACTGTTGTACAATATACCACTACCGTCCCCGACGTCGAGCGCCGGTACCTCCTGGATATAAACCCGTGGGCGCGTCAACGTGATCGCGGCATGGGACTGAATATAATCGATGCGCGCTGGATCGACATCACCACGGGGCTATACATCGATATCACAGGGCTGAGTCGGCTGACGGCCGAGAAGCCCACAGAATGGGAGTGCAAGAATGGGCACAAATATCAGACACACGATATATACCCACTGCGGAGATCGACGTTTGAGGGCGTGCCAGCCAAGGTGCCCTTCAGGTACGATGGGGTGCTAACAGAGGAGTATACAAAGAAAGCGTTGACTCAAACGCAATTTCACAAGTGAGTGAATCGCTTTAGCCGAGAGTTGCCTCATGCTGACATGTGATAGTCATACGTGGGATCCGGAACTCGAAGAGTGGGTGCTAGATGTGCCGGCCGCAATGGACGACCGGCAGTATGAGTGAGCCAGCCAATCTGGCTGCATAGTTTTCTTGTTATCGACTGTCATAAGTGCATCATCGGATGGTGTCATGGTCATTCTTGGTATATAATCATATATGGATCGGAGTTCAGGGTACAGGCGGTGTTATGGACAGTCAGCGTTCTGCAGAGTCAATCTAGTGGTCATACAATCTTTCTGCAACATTCTGCACGAGCTAAATCAGGCGTAGTACAATTGTAACAAAGTAGGACCCGCGGGGTGATCAATCCCAAACAGCATCTCTCAACGCCAAACAGACGCGGACCAGCCGAAATTAAGCAGCGACGATCTGCTCGCTACCTGAGGCACCAGTACCAGGGGCCCTGCCATTACATACCAGTAAATAAAAGTGAAACCATACTAACCTTAATCGACTAGTCCTTATCACCCTATCACCACGTGATACAACAAACCACGCTTATCGCCTTATCGCTGACAAAACAAGATCGAACTCCATCGAAGATCATCACCACTTCTTCCTCTCTGTATATAACTCACCTTCCTCCCCCATAAACACCCCCTCATTTCACGCGCCACACTCACACATCCACCAGCAACCATGACCGACTCCGAAACCCCAACAGGGGACACCCTAACCCTGCGAATCCACCACCGCAACGCCTCCCACCCCCTCACCCTCCCAACAACCAGCACCCTCACAGACCTAACAGAACTCATCTCCTCAACATTGCAAATCCCGCCAACCCACCAAAAGCTCCTCATCTCCCCCTCCCCAGGAATGCTCAAACACCCATTCCCACCAACCCCCCTCCAGGACCTCCTCCCCCTCACCTCCCCCAAATTCAAACTCACCCTGCTGGGCACACCCCCACGAGACATCGAATCGCTCAACACGCACGGCACCGAACTCAAAGCCCGCGCTGAAGCCCGCGATCGCGCGCACCGTCTCTACGCCGCGAAACCCACTCCCTCCAGCACCTCCTCCAACGTTAGCAAAATCCACACTCTCTCCAACAGCGCCAACGGCAGCGGCTCCTACACTTTCCACCGATGTGTTCCGCTCCCGCACCTGCCTAACCCTTCTAAATCATTGACGTTCCTTGAGCGCCTCCGCGACGACCCCGGGATTAAGTCCGCGATGCAGAAGCATAAGTTCTCTGTACCGCTGTTGACGGAGATGGATCCGGCTGAGCATACGACTAGTGAGTCGAGAACGTTGGGGTTGAATCGGAATAAGGGCGAGGTGATTGAGTTGAGGTTGAGGACGGATGCGTATGATGGGTATAGGGATTATCGCACGATACGGAAGACGCTGTGTCATGAGTTGGCGCATTGTGTTTTTAGTGAGCATGATCGCGATTTCTGGGATTTGACGAGCCAGATTGAGAAGGAGGTTGAGAGGGGGGATTGGACGAAGAGTGGGAGGACCGTTGGGGAGCAGGATTTCTATAATCCTGGGGATTGGGAGGGGGTTAGGGAGCATGGGTTGGTGGTTGATGAGAAGGGGTGGACTGGAGGGCAGTTTGTGCTTGGTGGGGGTGGTGGTAGTGGAGGTGGAAGGGGAGAGAGTCGGAGGGAGGTTTTGGCTAAGGCGGCGGAGGAGAGGATGAAGAGGGCGAGGGAGAGAGAAGGGGAGGGGAGGTCTTGATTAGTGGTTGCTCAAGTGGTTCTTCGTATAATTTTTTTTGGCGTAGCATCTTGGTATATACCTCTTTCCGACACCAGCATTCAATGACATGAAATGACATGATATGATACCATATTTTGGACATCTACAACTGCTCGTTCACAAACAGACCAGCCATACCCTGGCCCGTGCCAATGCACATACTTGTCACCAGGACCTTCTTCTTCGTCCGTCGCGCCTCACTGAGGATCGTGCAAATCTGGCGTGCGCCCGTTGCGCCCAGCGGGTGGCCGAGGGCGATGGCACCACCGCGCGGGTTCACCTTGGCGTGCTCCAGACCCAGGTTGTTGAGACAGTAGACAGCCATGGAAGCAAAAGCCTCGTTAATCTCGTAGATGTCGATGTCATCCTTGTTCAAGTTGAACTGGGACAGCAGCTTAGGGATAGCTGCGGTGGGACCAATACCCATGATCCGGGGCGGCACTCCCGCGACGGTGGCACCGCAGAACTTGGCCAGGATGGGCTGGTTCAGCTCAATAGCCTTGGACCGGCGCATGAGAAGAACAGCGGCGGCTGGACACACATCATCATCAGTATAATCCTCGTAATAACCATCACAAAGATTACTTACCACCATCCGTAACCTGACTCGAGTTACCTCCCGTGCTCCGGTTACCGAACTGCGGGAAAGCAGGACGGATCTTGCCCAGAGACTCCGGCGTCGTACCATAGCGAATACCCTCATCCTTGGTCAACGTAACCTCCTTCACCTCCCCAGTCTTCGGGTCCTTGACCTTTGTCGTGATGGGAACGATCTCATCATCGAACCAGCCCGCCTTCTGAGCTTCTTCCGCCCGACGAAATGATTCGGCAGCATACTTATCCTGCTGCTCGCGTGTGATGTTGAAGTCTGCACCAACATTCTCCGAAGTCTGTCCCATAGGCTGCATGCAGTCCGCCGCTTCCTGGTTGCGAAGGACCTCCTCGTTGAACGGGCGCGGCAGCCGGTCGCCACCAACGGACATCAGCTCCGCGCCAACAGCGATACCAACATCAATGGCACCGAGCTGGATCTGGTTCGCGATGTCCTGTACGGCCTTCAGACCAGACGAGCAGAAGCGGTTCACGGAGGATCCACCGGCTGTGTGAGGGATGCCGGCTGCGAGGGAGGCAGCGCGGACGAGGTAGGCTGCTTTACCGTCACCGACCTACATTAATAGTATAAGAGTTAGTAATCCGGTTTCTATAGACAGGACAAGTTGGCGCTCACATTTCCCAGACACACATCCTCAACCAGAGCGGGGTCGATCTTAGATTTAGAGAGCACTTCCTTCAACAGTGCATAGAGGATGTAATCCAGTTCTGTGTCCTTGAATCCACCCTTGACGGCTTTTGCGAGGGGCGTGCGCAGCGCGAGAGTGATGACTACATCGTCCGGGTTCTTCTGAGTGCTGGAGGTGCTGATTAGTGGTGTTTGTTTGCCGGAAACGGTCTGGTGCTTACATTGCGGCGAGTCCGCTGTTACCCGATGGCTTCAGGTGACTGAGGATAGAGTTTAGACGATCTGCTGCCATGGTGTTCTGTGTAGCTGTTGAAAGATTCAGGGGTCAGTTTCTGGAAGGTGGATTGGTTGGGGGGAGCTGATAGCATGAAAGCGGAGATGAGTTTGTCAGGCGCAAACTGGTATACCAGAGCAAGGTGCGGCTGTTCAACAAGTCGATGAGTATATACGTACCTGTGAGAAGAGAGATAATGCTAAAAGATCAAGAAGGATAAGAAGAAAAGCGGAGCAGAAGAGGGGAGAGGAGGAATGATATAATGAAGGGAGCAAATGCGGTGGTTCTCCAATCCAGCCGAACAGCCGAGGTTCTTTCCCCTCTGGGACGGCCGATCAGCACTAACAGTACTTTGCCTCTCGGCCATTTTATGAGGAGTGGGAAGTATCTCCGATGTGCCCCAACCTCGGCGACGAAGATCACCGTTACATCTTAATCCTAATAGATCAAAGTTACCGTGTTTCTAACAAAAAGCAGTATATGTACAGGTGGCCATTGCCACATTGCGCCCGAATAAGCAAAACCAGTCCAAGCAAAATCAACACCCTATCGCCTGCCCATGATCATACGTCCAGCAAAAGTTCCTTCAATATCAGTCAACCAATCCCATACCTACAAATGATGATGCTGCTCGTCGTTGCTAATAACGCTGCCAATCTCGGACCAGCTAGCCGGAGTAGCTGCACCGGAGCGCTCAAAGTCGCTTAGCGTGCCTTCAGACCCATCCACTGCAGACTCATAGATTTGGCTGAAGCTACCGGCAGTAGACGGTGTAGATGGGCGCTCAACGTGATGACCCTCGGAGTGTAGGTCGGATAGGTCTGAAAATGGAGATCTCAGGTCCCGCCCAGTGCCATTGACAGCATGGTCCTCCGGATGGGCATAGATAACCTGAGAAAAATCTTCGGTGTGGCTAGATGCAGCTGTGTCGGGACGATGATAGCTATCCGATCCTACAAAGTGTTCGTCCTCACCAGACTGGGAATGGAACGAGGTCGCAAGCCTTTCCGGTGCTTCCGACGTAGGTGTGAACTCAACGAGCGACGGGGTATGAGAGCCAGGGGACGGAATTGCAATCTGTAGGCGACTCCCGATGTTGTTTGAACCATCGATTTCAGCCATAGGAGTTGACGTTCCAGTCTGCTTGCCGCGTTGGACAGGCTGCGACGTCGTCACTTCCACCGCCGTCGAGTTCGCCATTGAATCATTCACCGGAGGCTCTGGACTATCCAAAAGCCGGCCATTATCATCCACCAGAGCGTCAAAGCTGCTCGCTGGGGCTCCGTTGCTGGTCTTGCGACGGGCTTCAAGCACGCTGCGTCGCCGCTGAAGTTCTTCCACCGCTAACCGCCGTCGCTCCTCAGCCGCAGCGCCCACCTCTTCCGTCATCGAGATATCCTGCCTTAGAGCGGCTGCGTCTTGTGGATGGATCTCATCGCCTAGATGGTGGAGCGCCAGGGCGATCTTCCGTCGTGAGGTATTGACCCATTGTCGGAACTGGGGCGATTCGTAAACCGCGATACCTGCAGCGACAAGCGCCGACACGGTGATTATAATGCCTGAAAGGTCAGTACCACCGCTTCCGAGCTGAAAGCACTTGCGTAGAATAGCCCTTTCACATGTGAAAAGAAAGAAACTACAATGAAATCATCGCACAGACGATGCGGATCGAGCCGGGCTCGAGCAGCTCATAGATCATGATCATTTTCCTGATAAGCACACCGCCCGGGTAATACAACAGAAGCAGGGCTGTTTAAGCATTAAGGAAACAATGAAATGACCCTTTAAAGCAAGCATACCTTTGGCAACCGGCGTAGGCATGGTGAAACACCCTCAGTCGCGTCCAAAACAGATCTGGGTGAACAGCAGCAGGCAGCGGTAGTGAGGTGAGTGTCGGCGTCACCTCCAGCTTGATCAGGCGGATACCCGGGTTCATTTTCCCCGCCGCCCGCCACATGTGACCCGCCTCAGCCCTTATCCGGCTGCCCTACCTTGCAACCCGATCCGGCATCCCGCGTTTCCCCTCCGCCCGATCAAAACATCAACATCAACATCAACACCTTCAACTTTCGCATTGCCTTTGCGCGCCTGTACAGTCAATAACGACGTTCAATTCGCTACACACTAGACAGCCATTATGTCACGCCCATCCTCCATGGCGCAGCGCCCCCTCACGCTTACAGAGGAACTCGAGAAGCTCGAGCAGTCCATCACCCTGACTCTCCAAGGTAACAACATCACTTGATATAGCTCCTGTATACATCTCTGACGTTAGTCCCCACCAGAGATCGACCACAACTTCAGCCAAGCCCACCGCATCGTCACAACCAACATTCTTCCCCTGGTCGAGCAATATGCAGAAAGCTCCCGCGACGTCTGGGATGGCGCAAAGGTACATCACCTACCCATGTTCCCCAACGACCCCTGCAGGCACTCTAACTCCCCACCAGTTCTGGAAACAATTCTTCGAAGCCAGCGCCAATGTCTCCCTCTCGGGCTACGAGGAGAAACCTGAAGGAGAAACCACCGTCCAAGAACCGACCAACCTGACGGCCGAAGAAGACCAAACCGTTACCGAAACAGCCGGCGAAGACGACAGCCAACTCCACCGAGCCGACGACATCGAGCTCACTTCCCTCAGCCTCTCCTCCCACAGCACCCCTCGTGTCGCCGGCCACGACAACCGCTACGCTGCCCATGACGACGACACCTCGTCCATCGCGCACCCAACCCCAGATACCCGCTTCCGCGACGATGATGACGACGAAAACGACCCCTACCTCCCCACCACCCCAGCCAAATACTCCTCCGCCAGAACCCATCACTACACAGACGACTACTCCCACAACCAATTCCATACCCCGATGTCCTCCTCACCATTCATCCCTCCCGCCGAAGACCCAATCATGCACCAGATGGCCGACAAAACATATCGTGTGCAAGCCACCCCTCTCGGAAAGGGATACGGATACGAGTCCCGATCCATGTTTACCGTTACACCAAAGACGACAAACAACAGCAAGAAGTACGCGTACGATGACTCTCCAATTTCCAGTCCGGAGCCGGAAGCCCCGAAATTGCATGCGGAGATCTTCTCGTCTCCTATGAAGGGCGTGGAAACGCCGAATACGGGCCGCAAGAGGAGACCTAGTGCGAACCGTCTGCGGATTACCCCGAAGCCCGGGATAAGCGTGCTGACTCCTGCGCGCGGCGGCGGCGGCGGCGCTGGTGCGAGACGATCGGCTTGGGACAGTGATGATGACTTTGATGACGGCGATGAAGACTTGGGCCCGAGTCCGCCTAAGACGATGCAGTTTCACATTCCGCAGAGTCGGTTGATGAAGACGCCTGGTTAGTATACTTACCCCCCTACCCTGTCTATCTTGTGTGGTTTGCCCTTTCATACATGCAGTACACGCTAACCAGAGTATACTACAACAGCCAAGGAAGCATCGAAACGCATCGTGGAAGACCTCCTCTTCACTGCCGGAGCCAATGACACAACAGACGACTTGCCAATCGAACAAAGTCCGAGTATCATCCAACGAGTGGAGCGACTGGAAGATGAGACATTCTAGATAGCCGTTACTCAAATAAAATACAATACTCTCCCTCTTTCAGCTGTTGTATCTAAGACCCGTAATATAAACACGCTAGACATCATACATCCTACAAACTACACACGCGGTAAACGATTGCAACTCCTACAACAACTTATATACAACTAGTAGACAAGCAACTAAAGCACGATCAATCAAATACTACTACAACTCCAAAACTCGACCTATCTATCAATCAAGCAGCAACAGCAACAAATCAGCTAACTAATCACAAACTCACGTCCCTAACGACAAGACGCCAACGCTCACTCTCGATCTCATCGATAACTTCAGAAATCGCCTAACAAACATACCACAATCCAAAGGCAAATGAGTTTATAAGAATGGATATAAACCGAGGGGGGGATGGTACAGAGAGACACTGAAGGAAGACCCTGGTCAGGTATATACATACCAGACTGTGGTCCCCGCACAGCGTACACGAGGATACGAGAGACAGATCGACTGCATCGGGAGAGAGAGCAATATCACATCACCATGGACTAAGAACTAGCTTCGAACCTGCGGGATAAATCAAGCAAGCAAGCGGAGAGAGAGAGGAAATGAGACAGATTACATGGGGTAAATTCAAAGAGGGGGGGGGAGAGGATTCGGGAAGGAAAAGAAAACTGAGACACATAAGGGTATCGACGGGGAGGCAAGGCGCTGATCAGATATATCATTCGAGAATGATGGTGGCAGGGCTTTTGAAGGTTTGATGAGGCATGATGGATTGAAAGAGGAAGGGTGTGTGAATGGGGGAAAAGGAGAATCAAAAGACCAAGACACCCGTGCCGCCGTGATATATGTACAACTGTCGAACTGACAGGGTTCGGGGTATTCTAACGAAGAAAGGAAACTGGGAATGGGGTGGATGTCACTCCAATAGCCAAAAGTGGGAAGAACGATTCGAGAAGCAAAAGAAAATGGGAAATGCACCGTTTGCATCCTCACGCCCTTCTGGACTAGGCCGATGGTTCAATCAAAAACGAAACTGATAGCGTTCTAACCCTGCAAACCCATGAAGATTTCCTGACAGTTCTCAACCAAGAATTTCAAAACCTCATTCTTCTTCTGCACATCAGTCATTTCACGTGCGAGACTCTCGGGCCGCATGATGGTTGGCGCAAACACCACGGCGATGTTCTGGCTGGTCATCAGGTTCTCCTTCTCGCGCTCGACCACGCGCTTCAAGTGGAACACGAGGAACTCGAGCACATCCTGGTGAACACGCGGCAGCTCGCGCAGATTCTTCTGTAAATGTTCGACCCGGGCGGGCTGAGAAGTGATCTCGCCCGAATCGATGATCTTCTCATAGACGTCAAAGGTGATGAGCGGCATGGGCAGCTTGCGGAAGTACTGCTTCAACGCAGAGGTCACAGCATGAATATCGAGGTCAGGATCGGAAATATCGTAATCCTGGGGAGAGCGCTCGAAGCCTTCCCGAATAGTCTGAATTGCAGAGCTGGCGCCAGACTTCCGGTAGATACCTTCCATATCCATACCTAGGTGGACAGTTAGCATCCTTAGCGCACGTCCGTAACTGGCACCACATACCTCGTAGTTCGACCTCCTGAATACAGCGGGTAATGATGGCAGGGATGATGCTCTTCTCCTGCTCCATGCGTTGTTCCAGATCTGTACCGAAGAGGCCTGCTGATCTATATTAGTTATCTGCTTGTATGCAAGTGGAACAAAAGAAGCCAGATACTTACCACCAGGAGCAGGGGTTTCAGCCAGAGCAGGGACGCTGTCGGTTTGCGGCATCCGTAGTCCCGTTTGTTTGCTCCGCTGGTTGCCGAAGAAGCCAAATCCGGGGCGACTTGGATCCTGCGTTTGGGAGCGTGGCAGACCCGGGTTACCCTCAGCGGGTGTAGCTTCGCTCGACATGAAGGCACCCTTGAGACCTTTGGTGACGCCCTTGGCGACGTTCTGACCGCCCTTTTTCCAGTTGAACTTGCGAGGCTGTCCCTTTCTGATGCTAACCACTTGGGGACCGGGAACAATTGTAGCTGGTTCAGCCTCCTCTGAGATGTTTGTCGTTGCTACCGTAGGAACCAGATCACTGTTGGCCGCCTTGAGAGCATCAATAGCGGAGAGGGACTTCTCCTTGCCATGAGAGTAGATACCAAGACCGTTAGCCCCACGACCGTCCGTCGGGTTGGCCTTATAGAGCTCTTGGATCTGATGCACCAGCTGGTTGTTCAGCTCTGCCAGTTGAGCGTTCTTGGAGGACAACTGCTCGAATTCCTGGAAGCTCTTGTCCTTCATACGGTTCAGGTTGGCCAATTCCTCCGCAGCATCGTTACGTTTCTGTACCAGTTCTTCGATCTGTGGCGTAAAGGTATCCTTCAGCTTCTGTATCGATTCCACAAATTCCCGCAGGACATGGTTGGTCAGCTTCCCAAGATCGAGCGAGCCACCGTTGCCACGTTTCTCAGCCTCGAGGTGCTCGGTCAGCACGGTGAGTTCACGCATGGCAATCTCCTTCTGTGCATCCAAGACCACCATCGTGGAGCGCTTCTCGTGAAGTTCAGTGTTAACCTGCTTGACATCGGCACTTGCATTCAGCATCGCCTCCATCTCAGCGATCTTCTGTTCCCGATCAGACACGCGTTGCCGTTCCTTGCGCAGCTCATTACGCAGCCATGTCACTTCCTCGGGTCCTGCATTCTCAGGAGAAATCACAGACGGGCTCGCCAGGTCGGGTATCGCTGCAGATCCGTTAATAGGCGACTTCGGCCATTTGGCGTCCCTTGATAGGCGAGAACCTTTATCGCTGTAGCTGCGGCCATGGCGAACAGAGTTCGAAACGCGTCGTAGGAAAGACTCACTCGTCTGTGGATTGTTGCCATCGTCCGAGCCCATGATACGGGCCATATCTTCGTCCATGGTGAAGTCACCGCCACCGCTGTACCGCAGCAACGAGGGAGAACCCGCACCGTCGGTTTGGCGGTAGGATTCTACCTGTTGAAGAGTGCTGATTGAGTTGGGACGCGCGGGGGGCTTAGCCTGATCGTTCAATTCACTGCGTGGGGTCCACGTGGAGTCGCCAGTCCGATGTGTACTTCTGCTCACACCGGTCCTGTCAGTGGATCGCTCGCTCCACTGGTCGCTGGGGGTAACAGATGACGGGCGAGGAGACGTTCCGGGCTCTTTCCTCGATGGCTGATGCAGCCTGCTCTCCAGGGAATCGGCCCGTTTTGGATGCTGCACGCTCGTGGAGGACAAGAACGACTGGGCAGAGTCTACCGATCCTGTCGTCTCGTGCAAGCGACGCAGCTCATGCGAAGGCCGAGTCGGAAGTGTGGTGGTATTGTCACTGGCAGTTCTCTGAAGCTCTGGGGTCAAACCCTCTCTTTGGACGGTTGCCGATTTGGTGCTTTCGGGGCTGGGAGTGGAGAAAGTGCTGGTCTCCTTACGACCCAGGTCAGACCTGGAACTGCGAGCGGAAGCCGATCTGGCGGTGTTTGTGCCGTTGGCGAGGTCATCCTGACGCCAAAGTGCCGCGTCAAGATCACCGCGGTCCCGGCCCTTTTCCTGGTACGCAATATGCGGAGATGAGCTTTCCGACCCATGAGGCGATTTTCCGTACGTTGTGGCAGGTAACTGTCCGCGCGCAGACCGCTGTTCTTCGGAGGGGTCGAACGCAACAGGGATCAAGAATTCACCACCGCCATCTGCCTCCGGTTGGGGTATGACTGAGTGTCGATTGCTTCGGTAGGTGCTCGAAGGGAGAATTAGGTTGTCTATAGAATTTTTACGAGTTAGTCCCTCAGACACCACAATTTTCAAAAACCACAGAGTATCCTACCTTGATTATCTGCAGCCGCACCGGTAGCAGAAGCGCTTCTGCCCCTTCCTGCGTCCAGCGCAGGCGCAGCTCCTCGCAACGTCGTATCGGGGGTTGCATCTGAATACGCATCGGCAGCTGCCTCGTCGGAGCCACGAGGCATGGGTTCGGGGTCCTCCGAGGGCAAGGAAGGGAGTGATTTGTCTAGCTTCATGTTCGCCGGCGTCTGCTTCCTCGACGGTGCTACATTCCGATTCCTCTTTCTTCGACGCTGCATGAGGGATTCATGGCAGTCCATACAAAATATACCCTGCGAGGTTCGAGCATAGCGCAGGTTTTCGATCTTCCTTTTGCAGTTCCGGCATCGAAAGCATTGTGCGCAGAAAGCCTGCTCGCCGGTCAAGATGGCGAGATCTTCGATCTTGTTCCCACACGAACTGCAGCTGTACGTGCAGTTGCTGCAAATCAACGAACCATCTCCCAAGAGTAGCAGGTGTGCGTCGGAATCGAGAAGGGTACCGCAGGTGCTGCAGCAAAAACATTCAATGTGCCATCGATTGCCCGCTACACGGGAAGTCAAGAAAGGAGCGGTCAGCCACTTGTCAAAACAGGGGTCAAGAGGACTCAATGCAAACCTACCAAGTTCGAAAGCTTTGCCCTCTTCTAGAATCTGTTCGCGAAGGAAGCTAGGTTAGCATGCGAAAACATTGTTACTCCAGTCAGAGCCTCCTGCATACCTCTCCACAACCCTTGCAAGGATACGGGATATCATCCTGGTCCATCGGCGATTCTGGATACGCGGGGGACTCCATCCTGTACTCCTCGCTCTAGTAGCGACCGAGACAAACAAGCTAGGCACGAAGAGTTGATCGAGGAGGTCAACGATAATGTGAATCCGGGGATGCGCCCGCGATGCTAAGGTCAGAGTGTTTTCGTCCAAGTCGTTAAGGAGTTCTCGATGTCCCGTTACGCATGCGACGAATTCGAAATGAAGGCGTGAATGCCGGTCTTGTTCGACGAGTAGAAATATCGCTAGAATATCATACAGCGAGGGAAATGCGAAACGGGGGGCTTGTCAGGACGGGGGGGGGTGGGAGTGTACAAGGGCTGTAGTGCCGGGGGGGGGATATGCGGGAGGGAGGACACGAGTCCGCGCGCAGAATGGAAAATGCAATTAACTCCCACCACCAACAGAGAGCAAGAGAATGAATAGAATGACGAACGAGTCTAGTGAGTAGAGTGATTAGATTAATAACAGGGTTAGTCGCAGATCGACCAGGGTCAACATGGTGGAGGAGGGGGAAGGGGGGAGGGGAGAGGGGGGGGGGTGGAAGTGGGAAAAGACAGGGAGAGCAAATAATAGTAGCAGCTGCTGGGGAATTTGGTTGATGAGCAGCGCGAAATAGGCCGCCGGACCAGACCAGCAGCAATGCCGACCAGGGGCAAAAAGACGGGGGAGGGAGGAAGGACTATCACTAACCAACTACCTGGCCGCGGACGGAAAGCAACAATAACCTACTACAACCACCACGCACCACGTCAGACCAAAAGGAAAAGAAATAACGGAAACAAGAGGAAGGAAGAATGAGAGCCAGTCAACAGGGCAGATAATCGAGCAGGGGGAGGAAGAGGAGGGTGGAAGTAGAGTAAAAGAGGTTGAGTGAGAGATCGAGACGAAAGAGAGTTTGAGGCCGAAATGAAACACACCAAACGGGGAGCGTTGTTTCAGATAGACTCGCCGCGCGGAACCCCATCATCCTATCCTATTCTTTACTTCCTCCTCCCGCCATGATATTAGCGAGGATGATTGTGGTCAGAGCTTCTATTGTCTGGAACAATAACACTTTTTGGAGGGAAAGTGAATCACCCCCCCATTCATTCCAAGTGAATCCACCCGTTTTTATTAGTTATGGCCACCTTGGATGAGACACCCGCGATACGAGGCTCTCCGAATACGATACTGGCCACCTTCCCAATCTGGCAGAATCTGGGCTGTGTTTCCGCCGGTATCTATAGTATTGATGGTATGGCTGATACGGCAACCCGTCAGTTCTCAACGCCTCAGGCAGCCACCGACTCGGAAGTTCTAGCCAAAAGCCAGCAGATACTTATACGTCCAGTAAATTAAAGCTTCTATGTACACTATCCAATCATTTCCAAAAAAACGCCCTTCAAACACAATACGAACTCTAATGCCAGTACCCGGGTGAGATTGCGCCAGTATCCCAAATTAATCAATGCTTTCATCAGATGCTACTATGTGAGTCGCGTGGAGAGAGGAGAATCCCATATCACAAGATGCAGTCAAGTCCCACCCTCAAAAAAGAGGGAAGGCTTGTCATAGATGACCCGGCACCATCATTCTAAATTATGAAGGGGTGCTTTTGGTTCTTTCCGTGTGCTTTTTGGTACAGCGGTGCCGTGTTTCAGTTGCCCACCTTCATTAGGTCTCCAGCGACTGGTGGATCACACTCGTTCGATACGTCTCACTGCGCTGGATCAGCTCCTGATGGGTTCCTTGTTCCGCACAGCGGCCCTCCTCAATCAGATAGATCTGATCCGCTCGGTGGATCGTGTTCAGTCGATGCGCGATCGTGACAATCGTCGTGCGGCCCGCTAGCGTCGTCAGGGATTCTTGGATCTTCTTCTCCGACTCCACATCCAGTGCGCTCGTCGACTCGTCCAGCAGCAGCAGCCGTGGCTTGCGCACCAGCGCGCGTGCAATTGACAGGCGCTGGCGCTGCCCGCCTGAAAATTGCTTGCCGTCGTGGCTGCACATCGTCTGGTACCCGTCCGGCAGGGCCATAATCACGTCGTGGATGTGCGCCATGCGACACGCCGCTTCGATCTCTTCTTGTGTCGGTTCATGGCCGGGGCAAGCACCCAGACCAATATTGAATGCGACCGTTCCTTCGAACAGAACATTCTCCTGCGGCACCAAGGCGATATCATCCCGGAACTCAGTGCCTAGCTGCCGAGTCACGTCTACTCCGTCGATGATCACCGACCCGGCTGCAGGACGGTAGAATCGCTCCAGCATGGCAAAGGTCGTCGATTTGCCCGATCCGCTAGGTCCGACCAGCGCACAGAACTGACCGGGCTTGATGTCCAGGGTAAGTCCTTTTAGAATTGGACGTTCAGGCCGATTGGGATACGTGAAATGCACCCCACGAAGCTGGGCGCCGATACCGTTGCCATTCGTCTGACGTACACCCCGACGGGGCTTCTCTGCGGCCTCCACATCTTGTGCGGCGGCTTTCTCCTCAAGCAAACTGCTTGAGGGCTGCATGCTCTGCGTGGAACCCGGAGCCAGCTCTTCCTCCGCGGAGCGGGTAGTGAGCAGATCAACAATGTTAGACGACGCCAGACGGGCCTTGGAGATATCCGGTGCCAGAGCAAACATTTGACCACAAGACTGCGTACTGAATAGCAGGCAAGGCAGGACAATAAAGAACTGAGTTTGGGAGTAGAGCCCCGATGCCACCTGCTTCGACCCCCACCAATACGCGAGGGCATACACCAAGTTGCTGATGCTAAACGCCAATGCCAACCAGGCATTGCCATGTGCAATAGCTTTCATTGTGTCCCGGTATGGGCGGCGCAGGGCTCGGACGAATACTTCCTGAGATTGCTTCTCAAGGGAGAATGCTGCAACAGCACGGATGTTATCGACGGCCTCGACTGTGATGGCCGTGGCCTTGGCAAATGCCTTCTGATGCCGCTCAGTGAACTTGGCTTGAACGCGGAGCTTCATCATGCCTGCTATAAGTAGGACGGGTATGGTCGGAAATAAGACAATAGTGATTTTCCACGCGATAGCAAACGATATCACCAACCCGGCTACCAGGTTGACGGCTGTAGCAAGGAGGAGACCGATAGTCGATCCGGTAATGCCACTCAGAGAAGCAGTATCCCCGGTGATATAAGTGATCAAAGTTCCTGGAGTCCGGTCCTCCATGCCATGCCATTGTATGGTCTGGCTCAGCAGCGATCGTAGCGACAACACCCGGAGCCGATACAGAATCTTATCCGCTGCCCAGCCAAAGGCGCAGCCACCCACCACATTTGCCGTAAGCTCGACCAGGGCAAGGATGAAAAAGAGCAACCCATAAAGGTTGCCACTATCACTGATGGCATCAGAAGATCTGCATGGGCTCAGACTGCCAACGGTGTGGCCAAACACAATCGCCTCGGCCGAGTAGCTACCTCCAATGATGACGGACATACAGAGCCCGAGGCAAATCAACGGCAGGTTGGCCCGCACCAGAGAGAACGTGTACTTGATGGTGAACCAGCCTGAACGCTTCCTCTTCTTTCCTTTGCTCCCATCACCATCTGTGGAACCAGGAGGTACCTCACCGCACACCGTGTCTTCAGTGATGTCTGAACCCCCAATGCCTACCAAGGCTTCCTTTTCGTCTGTCGGCTGCACACTCTCGTGAATACTGCTCGTGGTGATCATATCGTGAGGGCTCTTCAAATCTTCAACGCTCAATTTACCCAGGTTTTGCAGCCGTACCATTTCTGCGTACACGCCGCCCTGCGCCACGAGCTCCGCGTGGGATCCTTCCTCTGCGACACGTCCACTCTGTACGACAACAATCTTGTGTGCATTTTTGGCAGTAGCTAGTCGATGTGCGATCGAGACTGTGGTTACTGTTTCAGATACTTTGGCCAATGCAGCCTGGATAAGTTGTTCGCTGGTGGAATCCAAGGCAGCCGTAGCCTCGTCGAGAATGAGTAAGCACGGTTCTCGCACGAGAGCACGAGCAAGAGCAATTCGCTGCTTCTGGCCTCCACTAAGCTGATTTCCTGCTGTTCCAACATGGGTTGCGAACCCGTGAGGCAAAGCATCGATGAAGTTTAACGCATTAGCGCTGGCGGCAGCCTCCCTGACGAGTTCTACAATCTCGGCAACACAACCGTCGAAGCCGGTAAGAGCATCGTTCTCAGACATGCCTTCCCTGATCTTTACAGCGATCTCCGAAAGACTTTCATCGAGAATGAACGGGGCGAGCCGTTGATGCTTCTCTGCGGATGAAGCCACCAGGCCGTACGCGATATTTTCCAGGATTGTTCGATCCAACAAAGCCGGTTCTTGTTGAACAAAACCGATATTGCCTCGCAAATGTCGAACATTGAGATCTCGGAAACTTTTCTCTCCGATGGTCACATCGCCTGATGCAGGGTCATAGAATCGTTCTAGGAGGGAAACCACGGTTGATTTTCCACCACCAGAGGGTCCAACAATGGCGGTATGCTTCCTAGGAGGGATGACAAAACTCATTCCCCGGAGTACTGGAACGTCTGGTCGAGCCGGGTATGAAAAGTGAACATCATTAAACTCAATGTTCTCCTCTCCGAAAGCAGTCATCTTATCACCGTCGTCTGCGGTCCCATCAATGGCAGAACGACGATTGATCACGGCTAGCAGTCGCTCCGATGCACCGGCTGCGGACGCAAAAACATGGATAAAGGGGGCAACCTGACTCAGAATAAAGGAAGCATCGATGAGAACAAAAATGACAGTGTATACAGCACCCACAGATATACCTGAGTTGTCGTGGGCAACGGAGTTCGAAATCATCTGGGAACCCTCCCAGAAAGCCAAGGCGTTGGCTGAGTATGCAACAAAGTACAAGAATCCAAGTTGCGTAGCATGCGTACCTGCCTTTTTGAGGGCATCCATTGATGACCTGGAGAGATAAGTGGCAAATCGCCGCTCCAAGCGGTCGTTGGCATTGAAGGCATGAACCAGGGTCAGATGCGATAGACTGGACGAGGCAATTGAAGTAGCGGCATTGATATTGGCTGTGATCCGGCTCGCATACTTTTTGATGAAGTGACCTCCAACTAGCGACATGAGGAGGAAGCAAGGCACCACTGATACCAGCATGCCCGCGATCTTTGGCGCCTTGATAAAAGCCACGATATAGGCGGTCACGAAGTATGAAATAGTGGAGATCACCAGGCCCACCTTCTCCGAGGTCCCCATCTGCACTGTCTCAATGTCACTGACCAACCGGGAGATCACATCGCCCGAAGGAAGTGACTCGATGAAGTTCATGTCCTGCCTAATGATACTTTCAAAGTATCGCCTGCGATAACGGCGCGCCAGACGTTCGCTCACCAAGCACCAACATGACGTGTAGATATAGATGATGAAGAAGTTCGCTATGGTGATGTAAATCACATAAAGAACCTCGGTGCGTACACTGGACGATAAACTTGACGAAGCGTTGTCCGAGGTGGAACAAGTAGTCAAATTGAGGTTGTTGATCAGATTACCAAATACAATTCCGAGCAGAGGAAAGGGGATTCCTCCAGCTATCCCGAATATCACGCCGCATACAATAAGGAAGACGTCGAATATCGTGTAATCCAAAGAGAAAAGAAGGTGTACGTAGGCGAAGAACTGCTTCAGGTGTGCTTTGGTTGGGATTAGTCCATGGAGAGATCGCATCTAAATGCGAAGAGGTTCACCCAAGTCAGTACCTGCTGCTCATCCCTCGAATGAGCGAATTGAACATAACATACCAAGCCATAGACACCATTGGAGTCTGCCCGCCCTTCGGACACTGGGTCTGGGTCTGCCATTGTAGCTTATAAGTGTACGCAGTCTCGGTGGGAAGAGGCAGGGCAAGGTTCGAACAGAAAAGTATAAACCCTGTTATATGACAGGCCCTATCGTGACTTCAAACTTCAGTCACAATGTGTCAACGAAAGAGGCGCACGGGAAGCCAGGGCGCTGGTGCTCCAGAGTCCCTCAATTGGAGAGGGATGAGTCGGAATGCCCTCAAAACGATCGACATGCAATGAGGCAAGAGTGAACCGATACACTCAGACAGACGCCCCCCAAAAAGCATCCCCGCCAATGTCGACGATATTCTATTCGAATGAATGGTTCACTAGATCTGGAGAAAGCGGAGGGGAAAAAAAGAAGGGGGTCGAGAGTCTAAAGAGAGAATGAGTCCACCAAGAGAAAAAAAAAATAGAAAAAGAGCTAGCATAGTTCGTACAGAGCAGGAACACACTAAACTTCAAGACCCGAATTGCTCATCATTATTGCTCCGGTTGCGGCCCTTTGAAGAGCTAAGACTTGGGGCTGAGCTGCAGTTGACTCCATGGTGTGCTTGAGTCCAAAGGTCAGTCAGTGGAGGGGAAAGCCATGAGTAAGAGAAATCCGTTAACCCCCAAAAGCATCCACCATCGGAAAAGAGGGTCCCGTTCCAGCTGGTGACTGAGCGGAGAAGATCAAACCCACGAAGGGAGAATTGTACCGAAGAAAGAGGGATGGATCGTCACTCGACAGGGAAAGAGGAAAGACGAGGAGCCGGACAGTGACCCAGTAATGACCTGATATTCACCCAGTGGACACATGTAAACTCAACAAGTACTAGTTAGTACTGCAGACAATCGATCCCAATACGATGTAATGCGGGTGTAAGCAATTGCGGCAAACACCGGACTGCCGTTGTATTGTAAACCCACGACTTTCATTGAAAAACGGCGAGGAAGATCAATCATTGGATGTTTTTGTTGCAGACGCAGTGGAGCCAAAGTGGGAGGCCAGTTCGGCGGTTCCTGGGATCTGTGTAACACTAAGGAAAAGTACTAACCGAGGCTATACTAGTCTACACTGCCTAGTCATCTAACGCTTATGATCGTCTTTTAATCTAAGGAACCCACCAAAAAAACAAAAAGAAAATATATCTACTAGGGTGTACCGAGTTACGAGGGTACATTTTGAACTGTTCGGCAGCTAAACTATGTCTTCCAACTACAAATCCTCATAGCTGAAAGGGCGGGTGCTCATCTTCAATGGTTTATTATACACAACAAAAGCACCAAGAACCCAAAAAATAATAATAATAATAATAATAATAAATAATAAATAAATAAATTAGAATAAAGGGTCTCGTTGTGTGATATGCAGGAATCAAACTAAACTGGAACTGAAAACGAGGCAACAAGCGCTAAGGATCTGGGCGTGGGACATGGCTGGATGGATCGACATGTCGTCGGGCTCATCTGATAACTCTGTTGTCGAGGTTCGCTCCATTACCTGCAGACCCGCAGCCCAATCACCTGCCTATTCTGGTGCCGCCGCGGGAAATTTTTCTCATCTTCTGCCGTCTTCTTCCTTCTTCTCCTACCCTGCGGTGTACATCTCCATCTTCTCTCACGAACTCTCACTTGAAACCTTCACAGGTCGGTTCCCCCCCGGTATAACACCATTTTTGGGTTACTTCATAGGTCAAATCCACAAATGCAAATTGTGTATTGAATTTCCACCCCCACCAGTATTATGACTCTTTCTGCCCCGCTCGGGCAGGCATGACCACTGCAAGTCTGCAACACTGTTGTGTTACCCTGACGTTCAACGCAGACCTGAAACAAGACAGCATTCCGCTGCAGTCAAGTCCCGCGAACCCAATTACTATCATGTATCTATACCATAGCAATATAAGACTACAAGACACTACAATCTATTTAAATTGCACAAAAACTTGCTACGCAGCGTTCCATGATTCTAGAATTATGTAGCGTCCGTTCTATCCCAGAATAAGTAAAATACTAACCAGAACTTATCCACAATCCCACTTCTGATGGGGTTTGCCGATGGAGTAGTCCAAGTTATCAGATGGCGCGGCGTGTTCCTCCCAGTTCTCACTTAAGTAACCCCCATCCGTCGGGCACCACCTGTAATTTCCGCTCGTACCTCCTGACTATTTATTTTGCACACTGGTCAGTTTTCTCGTTTCTATTTCTGATTCTAGGGGGGGGGCGGAAATATGACATAGTTCTATTCTGCTAGTGCGACTATGTACTCCGTAGTCAGCCTTGGTTCCAATTTCCTTTATCTAATCTGATCAATCAACAATTCACCCCTGAGTCCGACTGGCAGTGTGCCCCTGCGGTTGGTGAATCTGATTAGATGCAGATCTGATTAGATAGTTCCTGCGTGTTTGACCCTCTGGGCATTCTCGCCCAGACGATCGACCAGAGTAATGTAAGGGACATGCGATAATCTTTGGATTTGTTCAAGCATTCACTATGATGTGTCGCCTGATCTGACGCGTAGCCGCGGATTCGCGTATCGTATTCTTACATCATACCCAACACGTCTCTACTACCGTATTCACTTACCAACGATACGCACTTGCCTCCACGTGTGTGTAGTTGCTTCCTTTAGTAAATTCCGTCTTCGCCATTTCCTTCCCGATGAAAAACTTACTACCCTGCTCATTTTCTATCTTCTCCCAGTCTATGCTTCTATCCATCTTACCCTTCTACATGTGGCATCTACTATGGCTTGTTTGATGGCCACCAAGTGACTGGTGACTCAGTTGAGTGAATTGATCTTTCTTTTCTACTGGATTGAACTGCATGGCTAATGTTTGCAAATTCCTTCTTAGGTCGCTGGTGTGTTCCTATCATCTCCCCGGCGTGTTCTGGGGGCTTCACTCGGCACATTTGCCTGGGTACCCCTTCTCGCCTGATGGGACCCCCCACTTCCAGTGGGCGCCTACAGCCATTCTAGGCTGTATGGCTTGGGTCCCGGATACAATGTGGAGGCGCTGCCGCCACTTTCGCCAGGTTGCCTGCACACCGGCGTCCGCTCATGCCACACCGTGAGTCTCATGGAGACCCGCAAAGGCCTTGGTGAAATGCTTTGTGTCTTTTAAAGCGTCACTTCCATTGTGTTTCTCAACCACTTGAGTTGAGAAACAGGGTTGGTGTGGCATATGAGCGGACGCCGGTTTGGCGGCAGCGCCTCCGAATTTTCCTTGGTGTATTTCGTCTCCTTTTGTTTGGCTTGTTGTTTGTTTCGTTTTATGTCTTCTTTGAAACACAAATCCCTAAAGTGAAAGCCTTGTACGAGAAAATGGAGCCGAAGGCATTTGAACTGCTGGATTTTCTAAGGAACATGAACTTGGTGATTGATGCCAAGGTCAGTCTCAATTCGATGAAATCCGACATAAAGCAGAAAAATGTCCCGGAGAACGCGATTGCACCGATCTGGAAACATTTAGCGCCCTGTGCTGAACAAACGCAAGTACGGGCACTGGACATTGAAAGTGAAGAAGGTAATCAAGAAACGCCTTCCAACAATGCTGTCTTATAAACTTCATTCGGGGTGACAATGGGAAGCACCCGCATACCTAGCATGTAAGATGGCTGAGCTTGGTTCACTTCTTGTTTTGTTTGCTTTCTGCGTTTTGTTCGTCTTCCTTCTGATCGAAACCTATGCATCCAGTGTAAACGACTGGTTTGCAAGAATGGAACCGAAGGCTAACCGAGTTGGTAGCATCCAAGGTCATGACACCACATCTGCTTCGATCCGAATCAAAGGGGATAGCGTTCGATCAGAACAAGATCATGCTTGTTTCAAACCTTCCTGTGAGCACCTCCTTTCTTGTTGTCATCTATACTATCTCGCGCTTCTCTTTTCTTCGTCATAACATGTTTCTTCACGTTCGCCCTGTTTCTGTTCGCCGTTCCTCTTGCCCATTACTCTTCTAATCATGATGGAATGCAGGTTCGAAATAACACCCGGCTTAGACAAGCTTGGTTTCGCCCTCAGGGCTCTTTTTTTTTTTTTTTTTTTTTTTTTTTGTGTGTTAAAGGGGTATCTCTTTACAAAGAGCAAGCAAGGGTAGTGTTGAAGAGTTGTGTGAAAGTTATGAGCATGCGATTTGTGAGAGTTGTGTAGGGAGAGAAGAAGATGCAGCGAGCGGGCATCTTCCCCTTTGATGCATCGAGCATACTCTCGTCTTCTTGATTCCTCGTCGCCTTTTCTTTCTTGTAAATAGCATCGGTCCAGCCTGAATAAAACACCCATAAAAGACTGGCTGCATCTGAAGCCGTTAGAGACGTTTTCTGTTGATATGTCTGACACCATACACCTTAGCTAACACCCCAGATCGGGGTGCACCCAGTCGAAGAGGAGAGGAGAGGAGAGGCGAGTGTTGGGGAAAGCCCCGGGCGCTCATAAGTTGGTCTTACAAACAGCCCAGGAACATAAGCAAGTTGTTTTGAGAGTGGTAAAACACTCAGAGCTCTGTAACTTTACATATGGGTTCAGGTCAGTATAGAAAGAAGATGGTCTAGACAGGAGGGGGGGAAATGATGAAGGAAAAAAAAAAAGAGGGGGTTCTCCAAGGAAAGCACTCAGGCCTTTGCAAGTTCGAGATGATCTTGCAAACCAAACAAAAGATATCAACAAGAATGCCAGCTCTGCACTTGAGACGGTAACATCAACACCGACTTTAGACGGGACGGGATCTTGTCGTCAATACAAATTTCGCAGAACACGACGAAGGGTTGTCAAAGCCGCTTACCATCCGGCAAAGAATTGAGATCCGAGCCCAGCGGCTCACAATGCACATCCCCTATAAGTTTGCTCCTAGGGAGTGCTGGGGTGGGAAACAAGCAAGCAATGTACTCGCGAGTGTTATCGGTTTGGGGGAGTTCAAAGAGACTGGGAACACTTTGTGGATTGTTCAGTACAAGGGGGATTCAATTCAATTCAATTCAATTCATATTCTTATACCCGATCCGCCGGCGTAGTGAGATGCTAGATATGCAGGTGCTTCACCGTTTGAAGCAAAGAATATGGCCCCGAACGCCCTCAATGCCCTCAAACTCGCAGTAAACACACGTAAACACACATGAACACACTAAGGAACATGTGGGCAGCGCGAACAGAGCATGCCACGACGTAGGAAGGTCATCGCCGTAGCTAAATACAACTAAACAACAAAAGCAAATGTAGATGTAAGTGAGTGTTGCAGCCGTAGCTGCCTGCGAGCCACCATCCTCCTCCCGTTCTTCGTCCATTATCTTGCTCCCAACATGCCTATTCCTTCTGCTTGTATAACCTTCCCTGCTGACTCAAACAGGGCGTGTATTGTTCCTTCTACCCAGCGTCTTCAGCGCCTATCCCCATGGCCCTGAGGCCTACATGTTCTTGGCTTAGTTCGGGGTCCGGATCAAGTTCAACCTGACTAAACTGCCCGAGCAAGCCTGTTTGCAGCATGAATTCGGCGACGTAGCGGATCGCCAGTACAAGGGGGATGTTGTAGAGAAGATGGGAAGAGAAGAGGGCTCGTTCTCCGGTGCGCCAGGAGGTATTCAAGGGGTAGATCAGACAATCCAATAATCAAGAAAAACATCACCACTGAAGCAAGGTGGTATAGGAGCAAGACGCGGGAGGGGACTGAAGGAAATTTGCAGGAAGCCTGAGGAGTGGAGGAGATATGAGATGGGAGACAGTACATATATGGATGAAGGAACATGAACAAGCTTTTTAGAGACACGGGCAAGGTCTCCCCAATAATTCCACTAAAAATGGGGCACCTAGAAGCGGATGCATGGGGATAGATGTTGAAGACGCTGGGTTACGTCCAACACTGGTGGGATACTATGACGACCTTGGGCTCAAGCCTCAAGGAGGAGTCATCTCCAAGAGACTCTGACGCTTAGTCTCATCCCTTGGGGAGATGAGTGCGTAACTCGGTTTTTGCACAATGATATCCATCAGAGATATTAATATGATTCATTGAGTCCTATCAATAACGGATTGGTTCCTAACAATAACGGATTGCCTCTAACAATAACGATGCTGACAAGAATGATGCTAATAATAGCGATGCTAATAATACAACACAGGTACGCCTTGTTCACAACTGCTCCATAGCAATGAAATATAGAAGTAAGTTCCGAGTGTTCTCAGAGACCTGACCAATGATTTTCCAAAATTTCTCATCATCGGCAGTCATTGTATGCAAGTGTACACACAGCTGAGTCACTTTTTGCCGGATGTTCGCTTGCTCTGATGTTAGAAACTTGCTAGCAAGATCACCCAGCCTCTCCAGGACATCCATAGGGAAGCGAGCTGCACGAGAAGTCATCTGACGCAGGATATCCGTAAGAATGTTGAACACCATAAGAATGGCACGGTCGTTAAGCGACGCTTCCTCCGCAGAGACAACGTCCACAACAGCCTTAACAATGTCCCCAAACTCTGCCGCGCTCACCATCTCCTCCGCGGTCTCATTCAAAACGATCGCCATATAGCAAGTAGAGTCGTAGTTTTTTCTGGCTCTGATGATGGATTTGATTATACGAGATGCATATTCCCCTAACGACATCGTGGACCCACCATTGTCCACAAGTCGTTTCATGTGTCTGAACGTGTAACGCACTGTTATAAGCACCTGCGCTTTGGGGTCAAGCGGGCGCCCGAAGTATTGCTGCTTTTCGTCTGGTGCTCTCTCGAGTTCGCCCAAGAGGGCATCTAGGAGCTCGGAGTACTGTTCTTCGTCGTCAAAAAGCCTATCGTGAAATTCAATTAGCCCCTGCAATTTGTGGTACCCATGAATGTCCATACTCTTAGAGTGAATCCTGGGGATTCCCTTCTCAAGAGTCTGTCTCGCTTTCATTGGGTCCTTGGAGCGGGGACTAATGCTTCGACGTCTCTCCTCGAAGCGTTTCTGTGCTGCCTCAAACTTAGGACAGCGATGCGTCGCCGTGTCGTTACTCGGTCCGGTGGAGGGACGTGTGCGCGGCACATGTAACGAAGGAAGACGTGGCATAGATGTCTGTGGTGACCTATTGTCACGATGTTCTGGCTCATTTTTCGACAGTTCCTCTAGAGCATTATTTTTCGGTGCATCGCGAGGGACTGACGGAGTGGTAGGTGGTTTTGTCTCTTTCGGGACAGAGTTTTCATTGCCCTTCGCAATAGGGGACGATGGTTTGGGCAAAGGGATCTCGCGCAGTCTCAGAGGGTCTGTCACTACGATAGGATGGTGTACAACAGTGGAAGTTATGCTGACATTCCGCTCTGCGGCTTCATCCGCAATTTCATCGTTCTTTTGCTTCGTGTCTTCGTAAATGACGACCTGATTTGTCGCCTTCTCTACAGGTTCCTTCTGATCTGGCGTGGCCGGGCGCGTCGGCTCAAGCCGTCGGCTCTTCCCAATGGGCCGCATGGGTGCGGAGGACAAAGATGAGACCTGAGGAGCCGACTCAGGCCGTGGGGTCATAGCAGTTTTTGGTGCAAGGTGTGCTTTCTTCTGCGCTGCGATCGCCTGTTTCAATGCACTTCTTCCCGGAATAACGTTGGTGCTGCTTGTAGTGGCTTTCTGGGATGTTGTAGAAGATTTCGAAGCATGTCGGTCTGCACTTTGCATGTTGCCAGCAGCCGGGTTAGCTGGATCTTTCTCCAATAGCGACCGTGACTTGGAGTCAAGGTCCGACATGATACTGTAGTCCGTTAGCCAATTTATCCACCAAGGTCACAGAACAGCATAAAAGTGGAAACTCACAATTTGGCTTTCTGAGGCCAGACGCTGTGGTATGTCCAGAAAGTCTTCCTCATTGCCTCACGAACACCAGGATTAGCATCACCAAGTCCTTTCTTAAGACTTCTCTCGATGAGCTCGATTCCACCGCCGTGTTCAATGGAGGACTTATGAGCAGCCTGTTTGTTGATGAGGGTGATGTACCATCCAGCTGAGAACAGACGCAACTGGACGTTTTTGTCTTGGGAAGCGGCGTAGACATGCTGGAGAATTCGATGAGTGTAAGACACATTTCCAATAACAATGTCAACGGTCAGATTCCCATTTTCGGCCGTTATTTTTTTCATACCGGCGCAGAGTTTGATGAGATTTTGCAGGATGATTTCCATCATCGGATCGATTCTAGGGCCACACTTTCGGGCGAGATCCTGAATGAGCAGACATCCATTTGTTCCCATGGTAGTTCGGAGAGAGTTCACGACTTTGAAAATGCCATCCAGAATCGACTTGATAGCAGCGACAAAAGTCTGAGAGTATGCATGGGGCGCATTACCATGCGTAAGTCGGCGTAAAGTAATGACACTCTTTTCACGATTCACCCAGTTATCTTCGGACTCACGTCCTTCGAAATATGGTGTCATTAGACGCACGAATTCATCAATTTCCCGAGCGGATGAAACAATGATTGGTTCCACATCGGAAGGAGTAGGCTCTACTGGCCGTGTGCCGAACTGACTAGCCGGTCTGATGAGACTGTCTTGAGTGACGGTATCGACGCGAGAGGCCGGTCTCTGATCAATTCGCAAGGTTGGTTTCTGGTCAGCACGCGAGGCTGGTCTCTGGTCAATTCGCATGGTTGGTTTCTGGTCAGCACGCGAGGCCGGTCTCTGCTCAATACGTGAGGCTGTTTTCTGCTCAACACGCGAGACTGGCTTCTGCTCAACACGCGAGATTGGTCCCTGGTCAATTCGCAAGGTCGGTCTTTGATCAACACGTGAGGCTGGTCTCTGCTCAATACGTGAGGCCGGTCTCTGATCAACACGTGAGGCTGGTCTCTGATCAACACGTGAAACCGGTCTCTGGTCAATACGCGAGGCCGGTCGTGAAAGATGATCAGATTCATCAGATTCAAGGCCAAGATTCGTCAGAATGATGCTGACAATAGACTTTCTGACATTGAGTTCACTCAGTTGCTTTTTAAGATCTGCCTTCGCATGTGCGGGTGCATTTCTAAGTCAGGTTAGCGGCAGAGGCTCGAAGAGAAGACCAACGAAACTTACTGGAACAGCTCGATAATGGTTGCCTTGGCTGTATCTCTGACAGCACTATCGGCGTCCTCGAGACATGCCACAAGACTAGGGACATACGGACGGAAGAGCAAGCCATATTGCTTTGCCATCTGCCAGCGAAGTTCGGTCAGCTTTGCTCGGGATCGATAGGAGTGAGACTTACGTTTGCTAGCCAAATCATGCTCATTTCCCTAGCTCTGTTGTTTTTTCCGATAAGGGCCGTTCCCAGCACATGTTGTTCAACTTCATGGCTAGCTGCCGGCCAAAAGTCAGTGAAAGCTTGGGCCGCCTGTGCTCTGACTCGCTCCTTATGATCGCCCAAGCGTTCCAAGAGCAACGGGTAAATGTTGCGAGCCTGCGAAGCAACTATACTATGCTGTTCCTGAATGAACAGTCGTTTCAAGAAGTGACCCATGGTGGAGAAACCAGCAGAGAGAAGTGTCGAGTGGGGAGAGGAAATTGACTGACGCAACGCATCAAAGATCGGTACAATTGCGTTCTCTGGGACATTCTTCTGCTTGATGTCCGATTTCATGGAATTCAGCTGACTGACCTTGGCATCGATCGCCAAGTTCATATTTCTTAGAACCTCTAGCAGTTCTACTGCTTTAGGCTCCATCTTTTCATAGAAAGCTTTTAGTTTGGGGATTTGCGTCTCAAAGAAGACATAAAATGAAACAAACAAGAGGCCAAACAAAAGAAGACGAAGTACACCCAGGAAGATCAAGAGAGAAAGAAATAACGACAACTCCACAGTCCCCACCTTAACATCGAAATGCAACCTGGAAGCCATTGTTAGAAAACGATTAAACAATTTTTTTCTTCTTTTCTTCTTTAAAAGGCAAAATCAAAGAAAACAGATGCGGTTTTGAAAGCGTGAGAGTGTTGAAGTTTGATTTGACAAAACGTGGTATGGGAGAGAAGTAGTAAACAGGTGTTGTAGAGAAGAAGAAGAGAAGAGAAGAGGGGGGGGATCGGGGGAAGTCCATAAACCAACAACAACATGATGGCGCTGAGGAAAGTGCACATACCTGCTATATTGGGTAGTCGCGATGAGAAGGATGACGGAGAAGGCGAATGGGGGAGGCAGGGTAGGGAGGGAGGGAGGGAGTTGTTACAATATGAGCTCTGATCTGGAAGGAGAAGGAGGATGAGGTAGCGACGAGGGTTGCAAAGTGACGCAGTGACGGGGAAACTTCTCAGCGCTTATCGCCGCGCCTGTTTCGCTTATCGGGCCGACACGACTCCACCAGACTGGTTCACTTCAAAGGATGACAGCGAGGCGATCGGTATGTAGGGGTATATATCAAAGTGCAGAGTGTTACAGAATAGTAATGCATTGAGAGATGTGGGTGGTTTGGTTTCGTTGGATGATCGCAAAAATGAGGGGTGGTCGATGATCGGGCGGCGCGCTGTCCCTGAATCTTCTTTTTTTATTTTTTTTTTCTCTTCGCTTTGTTTACCCGCAATGATTCACCCCGTTTTGGGTAAACAAGTGGGGGAACTGGAACTTTTTCGTCTGCAGCCACGAATTGATTGTTGTTATGGCAGCTGCTCAACTCGTTGACGAACTGGAGTTCTGCTTTAAGTAAGATTATGGTTGTTCTGAGTCTCATTAATACTATGGCTCTATTTTCTTCCCCCTTTTTTATTTCTTCTTCTTCTTCTTCTTCTTCTTCTTCTTCATCTGCCCTGATTCTTGGTTCTCCGCCGCACTACGCATAGTACTACTAGTAGTATCTCTCTCATCTACCCCTATTTTCCTTTCTCCTCTTATTTTATTAACGGAAGGTGTGGGTGACCTCTTAACTAAAGGTGGACCGTGGGGATAGATTCATTTACGGATGCAGTCTTATCGATAGTTAACTCCACGGCCAAGACAGTTCTCCGACCTCGCATACATGATACTAGTACGTTCTATTAGATTCGAGAATAGCAGTAGACTATTCTATATGACTGGTTATTTGAAATATCACATCAAATTCGGAGTAAAAGGCGCGTTGGATAGTAATTGCTTTACGCGACCGAGCCTGAAATTGCGCCGACGTGTTCCTTAATTTGCTCTTTTCCTCCCCCCCTGAAAATATATAATCACAACTGCTACTAGTAGTAATAGTAAACACCCGCAGCCCGAGCAACCAAAAACACTGAAGGTGAGTCATCAATGATTACTGTACCATTACTACTCACCACTACTAGACGCCAGATACTACAGATAGCCTTGAGACCACAATATCGATAGAATCCAGAACAATGAACAATAATAAATAGGTTAAATCCTGCTTTTAAAACTAATCACATACCACAGCCAGTCACACTGCAAGTGGATTTAAATTAGACTGCAGTAACTCCACTCGATCGCCGCGCCGCGCGGTGGATCACTCCAAAAAAGACGGCGGGCACTTGGACCAGCCTCGGTGTGTCACAGTGCGCGCGCGCAAGCGCGATGCAACAAGCGAACCTGACGGTCGGTGGAGGGGCTGCTCGCGTCAAGCATCGATTGATCAACTTTAATTCGGGTTTCTTCACCGCGATGAATTGTCCATAGTCTGGTCTGCGCTTGATTGGGTGGGCTTCCGCGACCCCTGCGGCGGCTATGCTGCATGCGCTACTGACTAGACGACGCCATGCTTCAAGCCTTCAACCTTGCTATAAGCGACGTAGTAATCCGTCTTAGATCAGTTCTACTACATTTCTATCTCTTCATATTCTAGATAAACCATACACTACTACTAGTTATACAACACCCATTGAACAATGCCAACCTCCACACCCCAAGCTACACCCTCACCCTCACCACTCCCACCGCAACAATCACCACCATCTTCATCACCCAGCTCCAACTCCAACTCCAACCCACCACCCCCTCAAGACCAGCCTACTATCCCCCAACCCACCCTCCGCCTCCAAATCAACGACCTCCGCCACCCAGCCTCAAAGACCTTCCTAACCCTCCTCCCGGACCTAACCACCACACTCACCACCGCCCTCACAACCATAATCGAGCACCTATACACCCCTCCCCACCAGAAACAACCAACATTCCGCCCCTCCCCACCCCCAACCCGCTCCATAACGCTCCTCCTCCGCGCCATCTCCGGCGTAGCCTACACCACCGGCACGGAGCTAGACAACGACCACAAAGAAATCCACCTATCGCTATCCTACATCCAAACCATAACCACCAACGGCAACAATCCCAACCCTACCGCCGAACTAACCGGCGTGCTCACCCACGAACTCGTCCACTGCTACCAGCACACCGCGCCCCCAGATTCTCCTCCTAATACCCCATACCCCCCCGGCGGCCTCATCGAAGGAATCGCGGACTTTGTGCGCCTGAAAGCGGGCCTGGAACCGCCGCATTGGAAGCGGCCCGCGTCGGCGAAGGAGAGAGCGGATAAGTGGGATGAAGGATATCAGCATACGGCGTACTTTTTGGCGTGGTTGGAGGATGTTAAGGTGGGTAAGGGGGCTGTCGGGATGTTGAATGATCGGTTGTTGAGAGTGGGTTATGCGGATGGGTTCTGGGAGGGGCTTTTTGGGTTGGGGGTTTTGGAGCTTTGGGAGGAGTATGGGGTGTGGTTGGATGGGGGTGGTGGTACTGGTACTACTAGTGGTGGTGGGTGTTGGGAGGATGAGATTGTTGATCGGGTGTGAATGAGTATCATTACTAGTACTGCTGGTAGTGCTTTGGTGTAGGCTGGGTTATGGTGTGGGATGGTGATGGTTGAATGGCGTCAGGGCCTTTCCAGGAAGGGTAATACTACCTATTAAGTGCTGTTGACGGTGCCATGCTTGTCCGTTGTGCGCAAGGTCCATTCATTCAGTAAAGTACATACCTCTATATACGTACTTCTCGTCTAGAGTAACTGTCTGTAAACAGCGTCATTCCAAGTCCACCTCTAGCCAGTCTTCAAAGATGCAATACAAAAGAATAGCGTTTAAATCGGATAACATGAACATAGAAATAACATCAGAAGAAAAAGAAAAAATAGATTTCCCATATTGTACAAATCCTTGCAATGGTGAATAGATGAGGGGGTAGCAGTATGTAATGTTGCATCGCTGTCAATCCCGCATTGACAACATCTATAACAGATATAATGTGTGACGCCGTTTCTTCAAATCTCTCATGCTCACTCCTACACAATCACCTCGCCCAAGTCCACGTGCACCGGCTTCCAGGGAGCGGCTCCCTCTTCCTCCATCGAACTAGGCACACGCACGTTCAGCGGACTGTACAGGTACCATCCCTTCAGGGCGGCGACGGCAGCCCTGGAACGAGCCTCGAGCAGACTGGCGCCAGCGCCCTCGCCCAACTTATCCTGACCAGAGTAGATGCCAACGACGAACACGGGGTGTCGGCTCTTGCGACCGGTTTCACTGATGATCCGGGCAACGGGCTGCTCGAAGTTCTCCCGAGCACACAGGCGGGCAAGATCCCGAGCGGGTTGGGAGAAGTTGAACAGGTCGGAGATGTTGAGGTGACGAGAGAGGAAGTGCTGCTCAAAGAATCGCTTGGCAGCAGGGCGGCCTGCGTGCAGGTAGATAGCACCCATCACAGCACGCACAAAGGTTGCGTTAGCCTGTTCGGCGGTCACACCCTGGGTGTTCTGGGCGTCCTGCTTGGACTGTTCCGAGGGATCCTTGGGCCCCTTGACTGGGTCTCCGAACTCATTGTCGTAGACGACACTTGACGTGATCGACTTTCGCCAATGTGTCTGATCTTCGTGAGGTCTCGCTGTGCCAGTGACAGGCTTCGAGTGCACATCAACTCCCGGGAGGACTCTGTTAAACTGCAGGTAGCCGGGGTCAACTTCTCCACCAGGAGCAGCAGCGGACTCCACACCCCATTCTCTCGCCATTGCGGCCAATGTCTTAGGCCCGACATACGCATACATGGCTGCGAATATAACGGTCAAGGGGAGTCGGGGATACGTGCAGATGAGGTATTCGGAGGTGTAGTGTGTCAACAAATCGTGACCAAGGGTGGCCAGAGACTCATTGTTGAATTTGGGGTTGGGATCAGCCGAGGCGTCCACGAGAGAGCGAGCGAGGGTCTCGAGGGGTAATCGTGAAGGAAGGTAAAGTCGTGCGTGAAGCGCAGCCAGTTTGGCGGACTCGCGTGCGGCCTCGACCGGGGGAGACGGGAGTTGGTACTTCGACTGTCGGGAGGTAGGGGGGCGAATAGATGATGCTAGAGGGTCTTCCTCGAGCAATTGATCATTGGCAGCCGGCGCAGCAGGCGAAGCGGTCGATTGATGCCGGATGCCAGTGTAGAGACGGTGCTGCAGGCGGCCACCAGTCCGGGCCTGCGCCGAAAGGACCGAACTGCTCCATCGTTGGAGCTGCAGCCTCTTCATCTGGGCAACTGTGTGGGTGTTGGGCCGTAAATTAGAAAAAGACCGAATTCAATTGTAATGACCGCCCGGGGACGTGGCGTGGAGTGTTCAAGACGGGGGCAGATCCAACTTGAGCCGGCACGAACTTTTGGTCGGTAGAGAAAAGTCGAGCTTCGGAGAAAGTCACGGGGTCTGGCGGTCGTGTGAGAATCGGCCAGGTGGCGCTAAACCTAATACGGATATAGCGTCACGGGGTCTGGGACGAGGGACGAACGACGGCCATTTCGGCTTCCAACCCGCTCAGAATAACGACGAGCTTCTCAGCGAGCCATTGTCCACGTCTTTTCCCTACGTTCATTATAGATACCCTCAATACACCATGGGTGGAGGCGGCAAGATCCCGTATGCAACTCTTCCCCCACCTGGGACCACCATTGCATCTGAGATTGACTGAATTCTTTCCGCAGGTATCCCAAGGAAGTCTGGTCTCCGGCGGGTGGCTGGTACGCTCAGCCCGCAAACTGGAGGGTCAACACGGCCATCATTGGCGCCGCTGTCCTTGGAGTTGTCGCTGTGACCTGGAGCATCAGTGCCGACCGTGAGCACCGTGACAAGATGCCCGAACCCGGCAGATTCTTCCCCAGTCGCTAGTCAGTCCCCTCAGCCAATCTCGTGTCATGTGTTTCTAAGCAGCAGTCATTGACTTTATATTGCTTCTATCTAGCTGGAGCCGGGAAATCAGAGAACACGAAAAGCAGCTGGCCGCCCAGAACCGGTCATAGAGCGGCAACAGGATGAAGAGGTAGTTGTGGGAAAATGAGTACCTGTGGTGGTTTTCTATGGCATGCCAGGTTTTGTTTCATAATTTTGTGGGCTGTACGACAATAGAAGGGCGTTCTTCCATACGGTCAGTTGATCTGAAAGTGCTTCCGAGGAGACTCTTCCAATGTTCGATACAAGCGCTGTGTGTACAGACGGACCCGTTCCGTGAACTCAGTCTCGTTCCAAAGCTCCTTTCCATCACTGGATGTAGACATGCGAGGCACTCCAATCTGCTCCACCACGAAGCTGGCCGCCACAGTAGCAAAAATCAAGGCCGTCAAGACCTGGCTATGCTGTGCAGCAGCTTGCACTGCTTCCTGCCATGCTGTAGATCCTGCGAGGACCGAGTCGACAAGACTGGCTGGTTTTCTGCCTGCACTGACCATGCCCTGTGTCAGGGCACCCAGAAAAGAATTGCCCGCGCCAGTGGGGTCAACTACCGCCGACGCCCCTGAAGCACTGGGCTGATGGTAGGCGGGCAGCCAGACCCTCTGGGATCTAGAGTAAGAGTAGCTGCCGTCTTTACCGGCTCTGATAACCAAATGCCCGTTCCCATCAGGACCAATACCTGACTCAAGGATCTTCTTGACGATGCTCTTCCCATAGTCGGTGTCCTCGTTCCAACCAGGCTGACCAAACATCATTCCGAGTTCCAGTTCGTTGGGGCTCACAACATCTACAACTTGGTTTGCCGCAAGGAACCGCTCTTGCTCTTCTGGCGTGCATAGATCCGGCACAGGTTCCCAAACGAAAATAGGTCTTTTCGCAGCGTGCTCCACTGGGGGAGCTTTGCCTGCTCGCTGTAGCTCCTCCCGTCTGCGCAAAATTGTTTGTACAATTGAAATACAACGCGAGGAGGAGCAGACCATGTGGAAGGTCTTGGAGAACACCTGAGCATCAGACAGCATTTCTGGTTCCAGGCGCAACTTTGGGGTCAGGTATTTGAAGTCTGCGACAAATTAGTATTTGTGTCGTTATAGCTGCAGATTCTAAGGATGGATACCGACCTCGCTTCTCATTCGGACCGTAACCATTCCAGGCCCTGGTTGTCAAACGACTTTGGTCCTCCCGGAATACACAGTTTGTATCCCACGACTTGAGCAAATCGAGAACATCTGGAGGGAAGTCGGAGCCAACATCCACAATCCAGCTCACAGCCTGCGAATGTTCTCTTCCGGTCACCAAGCGGGCACCAACGACGGCAAATGATGCTGCGCCTCCTAGGACATTTTTTACATTGGGTATTGATCCATCGAAGTCTATATCGTCTATATCACAGGAAAGGGGGGTTCCGTAAGTACATAGTGCGATTTCGACTGCGAATGGGTAGATCATGGCGTACCAAGAATGAACATGCCCATTGTGCAGAAGTCCACATTGTCTCTAGAGTGCTCCGAGGAGCCATGGCCTTCCAACATGGTTACGGAAGCGCTCAATTACCTTGAAGGGAGAAAGACTGGTGAGATATTGTACTCTGGCGGGGTTCGAGGGATTCAATCCAATCCGCCGCTTGAGTCGCCGTCATGGCGGCCTTATCGGATTACCGGCTGATACCACCAACGTCATGGGAGACGGGCGGATAACAGCCACGCTGGCGTACCGTATGGTATGACCCACTATCAGGAGCTCCAGGCCTCAGGCACGGGTCAGGAGCATCGCCGTCTCATGCAATTCCAACGGCTGCCTTGATCCTCTCCCTCCTCAGCATCTTCTTTCTTCTGCCTACAGGTCGCTACTGACCCTTCTTCTATCTCTCAATCGTGGCACACGGTAGCCCGTGCCCCTTAATAGCTCCATTTGTCCTCCTTTACTCCGACTGTCATCAATAGCTCCCTCCCTCCTTACTTCGACAGGGGCCGTCAAGATGGCGACAGGAAGCCACATGCATAATCTCACCACCCTTATCAAGCGGTAAGCCTTGAATCAGATGCGCTTGGAACCCCAGCGCTGTGCTCTCTTCTATTCTTTTATATATCCCTCTATCAGTACCATATGCGTCCGATTACATGTGTTTCTAACCAGCTGGAAATGCCAACAGGTTGGAAGCCGCGACCTCCCGCTTGGAGGATATGGCTATGTCACTGGATGACCCCAACTCGCCCAAGACCATAGCCCCCCCTGCTGTGCCTGAAGCTGCTACTTCTGAGCCTCCCAAGTCAGCTCCCGCTGCGGCTCCCGCGCCGCCTCCCATCCCGCCGCAAATCCAGGACTTTGACACCCTGATTAACGAGGATGTCCGAAACTTTGTGGAACTGGGCCAGAAGATCAATGGCTTGGTCGGAGAACAGGTAAGAGAGAAAGCGCATGTTCTGCTGAGTGCATCGCTCACAATTTCCGCAGTCCAAGGTAGTCCTTCAAGCCTTCGAAGCCGAGCGCACCTACCTCCTTGTGTCCACGAAAGCTAGAAAGCCCGAGCAGCAGCCCCCGGAGCTCATGACGGGCCTCCACAATGCTTCGGACAGCATCAACAATATTCGCGAGTCGAACAGAGCTTCTCCTCTCTTCAACCACTTCAGCGCAGTCGCGGAGGGTATTGTTGCCCTCGGCTGGTTCTTCGCAGACAAGCCCGCCGATTTCGTCACTGAGATGGCTGGAGGTGTCGAATACTACGGAAACAAGGTCCTGAAGGAATACAAGGAGAAGTGCGCCACCTCACAATCTCTGTAATCCCAAATGGGAGCTGACCCATGTTGCAGGGACCGTACCCACGTCCAGTACATCCAGGCCTACTACCAGATCTACAAGTCCCTCGCCGCATACCTGAAGAAGCACTACCCTAAGGGCCTGACCTGGAACGACAAGGATGGAATAGACGCTCAAGAAGCTCTTAGACAGGTCAAGGCCGGTAGTTCTGGCCCTGCCGCCGGCGGTGCTGCTCCTCCTCCCCCGCCACCCCCTCCAGTTCCGACTCTGAACGTTCCTGGCGGTGTTCCTCCCCCTCCTCCCCCGCCGCCCGGCGTTCCTCCTCCGCCTGCAGCAGCCCCAGCTGCACCAGACATGTCAGCTGTCTTCGACCAGCTGAACCAAGGTGAATCCGTCACCGCTGGTCTTCGGAAGGTCGACAAATCCCAGATGACGCACAAGAACCCCAACCTTCGCGCCAGCTCCATGGTTCCCGATAGCCCAACCTCCGGAGGCAGCGCCGTTCGGGGCAAGTCGCCCGCGCCGAGCAAGAAACCCAAGCCGGAGAGCATGCGCGCTCGCAAGCCGCCGCGCAAGGATCTGGAGGGCAGCAAATGGTTCATCGAGAACTTCGACAACCCCGGCGAGATCGTTGAGATCAACGCGCAGCAGAACCACTCTATCCTCATCTCGCGCTGCAACAAGACTATCATCAAGATCAACAACAAGGCCAACGCCATCTCCATCGACAACTGCACCGGCCTCTCCCTCATCGTCGACTCGCTCGTCAGCAGCCTTGACGTCATCAAGTCCCCCAAGTTCGCCCTCCAAATAGACGGTGTCGTCCCCACCCTCCTCCTGGACCAGGTCGATGGCGCTACCGTATACCTGGGCCAGCAGAGCCTGGCCACCGAGGTCTTCTCCAGCAAGTGCACTGCAGTCAACATCATGCTTCCTCCAAAGGAGGGAACCGACGATGATACCAAGGAGTGCCCCATTCCCGAGCAGATCAAGACATACGTGAAGAACGGCGTTCTGGTCAACGAGATCGTCGAGCACGCTGGTTAGATTTGCCCAGTGGATAAAGACTGCATATACATGTAGAATCTTGGATATTCCCACCATATCCGACAACAACAACAACAACAACAACAACAACAACAACAACCACGACCTATTACTACCCTTACCACCCAAAATGGAGGCGATAATATGCGGCAGTTGGAAACCAACTTCTGAAACTTCAGTGCTGTGTTTTATTCTACTCAAACCCTGTAGATAAAATCTATTTTTTCCGTTCAAATCTTATCTTCCGCTATTACTATGTAGGATGTGTGAGGACGTGTATAGAAACAGTAAGAGCCTCAGATGGTCCCTTCCCCTTTCCCCACTCCATCCACCCCCAGCAACCATGAACTACACAGTACTTGAATGGATAATAAGAGACGTAGAAGAGGAGATAATCCAATTACCGCACATCAAAACCTACAGTAACTATGTGACACATGTTATATAACATCTACAAGCGTAGTGCAGACTGAATTAAGACGAAACAGAAAGTAAAAACAGAAATTGTTTCCGCATTAGTCCCCCCCCCGAATAGCAACTACAAGACTGCATGACACCGCTATTTCCAACAATAGTATAGAACAAAGAGAGAGATTATTGCTGCTAAACGCACAGTCCACATCGGTTGTTTAACTAGTGTTCGATCAACATCAGGAAGAATTGAAGGTATCGGCTAAAGGAGAGAGAGATAAAGGGAGGAAAGACTTGTTCAAGATATCTAAAGTAGTGGAATATGTAAAGAAGGGAGAAAGGTGACATGTTGAGGTGGGTATATGTGCTAGTTCCCGTACTGTGATGGTTGTCCTGTGCGCCTGGCCGTGCGTATTTATTTTGGGTGAAACGGCAGGATGGTAAATTATAATGAATGAGATGGTCCTGCATCTGCGCTTAAGAGGTATAGTGCTGTGCTGTTAGTTGAGGAAGACGTGGGGTTGTCCCGCTGTGCTGTGCCGTCCTGCTTGAGGAGAGAGATGCACACTTCAATGAGATGTATAAGAGAAATGGAGAAGAGGAAGCAGAAATGAAGAAAGAAAATGAGGTTACCATCACGATACGGGCGACGTCATGCTGGTTAAACGCGTGCCGGCGTTATTCACGGGACTTTTCCAGGTCAGGAGAGTCGTGCTTGTGCACGTCCAAACCCCTCAGCTTCCTGGCAAGGAGGCTGTCACCAGCCTCGGAACCGTTGAAAGCGAACGGATAACCGCCGTAGCCGGTCTCACCCTTACTAAGTTTACCATAGAGCCCACGCTCCGTGTTACACTGTTCCGCAAAATTTGGGTCGAGTTTGGGCCCTGGAGACAGTGACGGAATAGGCCGAAAAGGATGTGAGGAAGGCTGGGGAGGACTGAAGAGGCTGGAGGTGCCCCGCGGGGCACCTTCTCGGTCTGCAAGTGTACGGTCTGAGAACGGGTCCTCTGGAGCACAGGTGGAGGAGCTCCCGGAGTAGGGGGGCTCTCGTGAGGTCATAGCCCCCAATGGACTCAGCATCGATGATGGTTCTCGATCTGTGGGTGCTTTGTGTGGCATCTGGTCTGTTGATGACCGTGCAGCTGCGTGTGTATGACTGGAGTCCCGCGAGGGTTTGTAAGGCGTGTAACGGGGATCAGGGCATTGAATTTCATTGCGAAGCTTTTCCTTACCGTCGGGAACTCTATTGGCAAATACAACACGAATGCTAGAGTGAAGGTAGAATCGGCCCCGAGAAGGACAACATATGTTCAGATGGATCAAGTACCGTAGAGTCGGCTTGTCTTTGGGATCCTCCGAAGCGTTGAGCGACGCTTCAGGGCGATCGGTTCCGTAGTTCTTTCGAGCGCTCAAAGGCATATCAATGATGGGACCCACCGAATAGCTTCGTTGTCGGATGAATGTCTTTGTCCCCGGCTCCATATCGCTGAGGTCATAGGGCACGAGGAACAGCTTCACCGCTGTTTTGTTGGGGTTCTTGATCATGATCTGCAACTGACCGTGTTGTGGGATTCGGTAGCAACCACCCGGTGGACTTTTGGGCGATTCCGCCCTCCTATGCCTTTTTTCGCGCCTGCGCAGAGTTTCCTGATCGGTTGACTTAAGTTCTGTGGTGTTTCCCATGACACAGTCGTTGTGTGTTCCTGCAGGGCTCTGATGGCGCCTGCGACGTCGACTGCTACCACTGGACGTGTCCCGAGGAAGGAAATTGTCCAAGTCTATCAAGCCAACATAAGGGCTGGGGCTATCGTCCGCGATTGAGCGGCCACTGCCTGACGTGGGGTAGCTGTAAAACACCGCCGGAAAGGGGATTGTCACGTGCGGTGGGCATTTGAGGTTGGCTTTGCATTTGCCTTTACCGAGGACGCCAATTTGCGCGGTAAAGTCCAAGGGCTTGGAAGGGCTCATTGACATTCTTCCACGGAGGATAGACTCCTCGTATGAGCCAACCATTGGCGCATGTGCTCTGGAAGAGACTTCTGAGCCCACCGAGGGCCTTCGAACCCTCGTGATCGGAGTTTGGACCGAGGATGCAAGCTGAAGGCTGTATGTGGAAGTCAGGGACCGCCGAGGGGAGTGCAGATGATAAGATGTTGCCGTGTCCCATGGTGTGCGATGAGCATCAGACTGGTGGAAGTAGATCCCCTCTGCATGGCCCCCATGCGATGCCTGCAAGTGCTGAAATGTTTCCGGGGGAAGGGTACGGCGGCGACTGACTTTGTCGATGGCGTCCGAATGACCGACATACTCCGGCCGAGGAGAGAAGTCCAGGTCTGTATTATTTGCCTGGTGAACAAGAGGGCTCGTCGGGGCTTTCAATATGTAGCTCGACGAGAACGAGCCGAGAGAGGGCGCCCGGGAACGGGCTGTCGGGGTTTCTGTCTGAACAGATAGAGATTGGCCTCGTAAAGAGGCTGGGAAGACGGGAGTACTGAACCAAGGCGTCGTCGGGGAGGAACTCAGTAGTGGAAAATGTGCGTTGACGGTGCGACCAGGCACCGGTGATGACGGGGCGTGCTGCTGGCTCTGGGCTTGAGAGCTTCCTTCCCTAAAGTCTCCTGAATGTAAAGCTGAGCGAGGGCGTTCAATATCGGCCGGCGATGCTAACTGCTGATCACTCGAGTCAGACTGGTCGCTAGGACCAGCATTTACAGGTGCTTTGTCTTTCATATTGGCGGAAGATACATCGGATGTCTGAGAGGTAGGGTTCGGACTGCTTTCCGACTATAACGAATGAATGGGTTAGCAAGGTCTCGGATACATGACAATGGAGCTTCTGCTGTTCTAGATAAGATAGAACAAAGGAGAAAAGAAGAACCCGAGACTCAAAGTGTGCACTACAGTGGCAGGACATACGGAATGATGCGATGCCCATCGGGGCGCATCGGCGCTTTTAATATACTGGATCAGTTCCTCGCGATTTGTTGCATGCATTCCCGCCCGGCTTCGATCCGGAGAGGGGCCTTCGTATGGGACATTTTGGGACCCCGTGAGGGGGTGGCTGCCCAGGGGCTCCCCAGGACGGTGTTTCCAGGGGGAAATGGTCTGACGTCGAGCACTAAGCCGTGGCTGGTGATCATCAGACCACAAATCCTGGAGCCGCTGGTGTTCCGGATCCTGGAAGATGGGCATGGTCACCGGGAGAGGGAATGGGCAGAATGACGGGAAAAGAGGGCAAACATCGCAACCTCAGGAGCAGAGATCAGGGAGACGGACAACGAGGACCCTGATAACGCAAGAGGAGAGGGGATTGCAGAGGTTGCGATGATCCGCAGAAACCGAAGTGGCGGAAGAGGAAGAGTCACGGTGGAGTCGACGATGACTTGATCTGCCTTTTGAAGACTGGCTCCGAGTGGGTAAGTCGTTTCGGGGCGTGGGGAACCAGAGGAAGAGGAGAGAAGGTATATATATTTATATTTAGTATAGACGATAAGATAGCGAGACTGACCGGAAATTAATGAGCGATGGAATTTAACAGAACATCTGAAACGACTAGAGAATCAATCGGGCGCGAGTAAAGAGAATAAAAACCAAGAAAGTAGCAGACGTGAGGGGGAGAGAAATGCGGAAAGAGGAGAATGAAAGAAAAAAAGACCAGAGAGATGCGGAGGCAACGCTTTCGATTCCATCATCGGTCGACTCTCAATCAGTTTCCCTGCCCAACTCTATATTTCCCTCTCTGAATTTCCCCTCCACTGTAACCCTACACCTGCAGAAATATTCCCTGCAATCCTTCTAATTATTGCAATTAAATCCCGCCATTCCCGGTGGAGACAACGCAGCTTTGCTTGGGAACATCCTGCAAGAGCAGCCCATCACCCGCTAAACTCGAGTTCCTGCACCCGCTCGGCCTCTGCCGTCCAAAACTTTTTTTTTTCTCTCTCTCTCTTCTGCAGCAATTCAAAAAAAAAAAAAAGGTCAACGAACAACACATCCCACCTCCGCCACGTTGTCGCTTGATTAGTTTCCTGCCCAATACACCGCTCCTTACATTCCGCGATCGGAGTCGAATTCCAAGATAAAAAAAAAAAAAAAAAAAAAAAAAAAAAAAAAAAAAGAAAAGCAAAGCAAGACAACCAATTCAAGCCCCCGACCAACCATGGCCCCGAAACGCTCCCGCGACGATACCACCACCGCCGACGAGAAGCGGGAAACCACCAACGATGCCCCCGTGAAGAAGAGAAAGGGTTTCAGCGTCGGTCCTGCCAACCTCCCAGATGGAACATACCGTCGCAAGAGTGAGTTTTTCCCTTTTCTTCTCCCTTGCCCCTCACCACCCTAGTCTAGAACCGTGAAAGCTAACAGAAGATAAACCAAATATAGCCCAGAAAATCAAAAACGACCTAATTCAAAAAGCCAAAGTCAAAAAGGCCTACGCCAAAGTTCGCGCCGCCGAGCTTGCCGCCGCTCCATCTAGACCCATCTACACCGACGATGCCCAAGATCAAGACGTGGATAACAAGCGCGCGGACCCGACCCCGGCGTCGTTAGAACTTCACCCGGACCGACAGGCTATGCTAGACCAGCCTGCGCCGGAGCCCGAACCTACTCCTGCTGGTAGACCGCAGCGTGGGGAGAAGCGCAATGCGAAGGGCCGTCGTGAAAGAAAGCCTAAGCCCTCTGCGTTTGCTCGAGAGATGGAAATTGCGGAGAAGCGGAGGAAGGAGGCGGAGAAGCGTAGGGAGGAGCGCGAGTTCAGGCAGAAGGATCGCGAGGCGATGGCGCGCGCAAAACGGCCGGATCAGGCTGGGAAGAGGAGATTGGGGAGGGAGAGTAAGGTGTTGTTGGGTCGGGTGGAACGGTTGGTTGGGAAGGCATGAGATGATGATGATGCATGGCAGGGCAGTTTCAATGTTGATTTGATTGCGAAGGTGTTCAAAAGTTTGAATATGATACCCACTAGGTAATGACTACATCTTTTTTCTTCTTTATAAGGACCAGGCTGCTACTACTTTCAAGATGATTTGTATATTTCTCTTTTGAGAGTGAAGGTGGGTTCGATCTAGGCGGATGGTTTGTGCCCGTTGCTGCCCCGCGGCTTTCGGAAGCATGCAAACTCTCCTTTGGTTCTTTCTCTCAAGCGCTTCAGGATGCCTCTCATTTCCCCCAGCTCGGACTGAAGCCGTGCGCGTGCCTCGTGGGTAGTCCGCCGATCCAGCTCAACATAAATCTGACTTTGTATCGCGGATGCTTCGTCGGTCGAGAACTGCGACATAGTCTGCGCGATGAATTCGGTGTCCAGAGTGGCCTGCATGAGGGCTGGCAGAGTGTACGAGGACCGAGAACTAAAGGCGTTCAGAAGCGATGTCGACACCCGGGTCAGCAAATACGTCAGGACGACGGAGAGCAATGAAGATTGGGCGGCGGATGAGGAGCGGCTCGGCACGGCCGTCAACGTCGAAGGGATGGTGGTGGTAATCTCCGTGTGTACGAGCACCAGGTCCAGCATGGTAGTGTAGACGTATGGACGGACCTGATCCGGGCGGGACGATGCCGGTTCCCAGTCGGGGGCAGTGATGCTGTTGACAATCGTCGTGTTCAGCGCGTTGATGGTCGGCTTAGTGTATGACTGGAACAAGCGATCGTCGATCTGGTTGAGCACATCGCGGACGGTCTTGGCCTCCTCAGTCAACCGGACCGAGAACGAGTTCTCAAAGTTGGCAACCAGCTGCGGAACGAGATCGGCCTGGAATGCCTTGATGTTTGACAAAGTCAAGAGGATGCGCACATTCTGTAGACGCATTAGCCAAGGAACTAGCAGAAGACTGGCATGTTAAGAATCGATGATCTACTTACTCTATTCCGAGAATCGACCGCATCCGCAATGAGTAGCGACGGAGATGTATCAAATTGGCTCCGTGGCACCGTAGAGCCAGCCGCGATCCATTCATCCTCATCCTCCGACGATGTAGGATGTTCCGCATTCTCAACCAGGCCACTCAGCGCCTTATAGACACTAGACACAAATTGGGTGCGAACCATCTGTAGTAGTTTGGCAGGGGGCTGGGTCACAACGTCGACGGAACCAGATCTTGCCATAGCCTCAGGGATGTAGAGGATCTTCTGCATACCCGCGATAATTGCGTTCTCAAAGGCAACAAATAGACCAGGCATCTTGGTCAAGTCTCTCTTTTCCGGGTCTCGAGTCCAGTCTTCCAACATCTTGCAGATTTCAGCATCCTTCCCCCAAGCTGCGCATGCCACACGTACTGAGCGTTCGCGTGCCACACTCACAAGGGATTTGAGAAGATCACGAGTGTTGGTACTGTGCACCACAGGCTCCAAGGCGGCCATCTCACTAGCCGCCGTGCCAATGAGCACTAGACATTGACTGAGATAGTGAATGCCACTGAGAGAATTCGAGAATGGTGGCCAGAAGGCGTAGTCTTCCCAATGCTCCCCGCGCTTCGGTGTGGGGAAGGGCATGTTCTTCGGATCAAGCTTGAAACGCGACTCTGTTGGGGTTACGCCCCGACTTCCAGGGCTGCTGGGGCTGGCTGTGGAGATTGGCGAGGTGAGGAGGGATACATCGTCCACCGGGGGATCGGCGAACAGTGAGAGAACACTCTCGCGAATGAGATTGAGAAGCTCGACTACTCCCTTTTGCAGCTCTCTGGCGTCATTGGACGAAAGTCGGTGGTGTTTGCGACTTTCTCCCTCGAACCCAGCTGGAAGAAGCTTTTGCCTGCTGCCGTCAATGAAGGATTGCGCTACTTCCCAAAAATCGAAGACTTCGCCAAGGAGACCTCCTTCAGAGGACAACAGCCTGCTCAGATAGGTATGGATACATTCCCAGAGCTCGATGACTTGGTCGCTATCGCGCATGGTTTGGGCGTCCAGAGCGCCGTCGCGAGGGGCCAACCGGAGGTATGATGCCACTGCCTGATGCGTCGGTTTCTCACCACTAGCCAGTCGACGCCTCAGAATTTCTACCTCGACCTTGCAACGGTCACAGAATGCCGTGATCTTCTTTTTCAAAAAGTCGTAGCGACTGAGAAGCCATACCCAAATAGGATTGTCATCGACCCCTAGCTCCAGGAGAGCACCGATAAGCTCCATGTGCTCCTCTACGGGACCCGTAGCAGTAACTGTGGTCGAGGTAGTAGGCGCATCGCTTAGGCGCCTCCACAGGTCGCGTTTGAACGCTTGAATTTGCGAATCAACATCTATCCACATTCGTCCCATGGCCAGAATAACATGGGCCTCTTCATCCGTCAATGGCTGATACTTGCTCGTTGCGGTATCGGCAATATCCCTGGCAGTCTTGGATAGGGCCCTCGCCTTTCGATACTGCTCAAAAACAGAGTCATAGTCTCTCTGCTTAATGGACTTGGAAAGGTGACCGCCTATTTCATAGATATCTCTATGTTTCTCCATAGTGTCGACAACGGACTTGAGCACCTGCTCCCTTTCACGTCCTCCCAATGCCGGACCCCACACCTCCTCTGCTTTAACAGATGCCTCGAGCAACGGAACACGGATACCCTTCATGCCGTATTCGCTCTCTTTCGTCAGAGCGTTCTTGCCGGGACCTGCATCGGAAAGGGCCGAGGTAGCTATGCTCTGTTTGCTTCCCGAGAGGCTCCGCAAATGACCAACCGACCGGCGGTTGGCATGAGGGCTCAAATACTCCTCTTTCTTGCCCTGATTTCTCATTTCTGTATATACACTGTCGATGGTCGCTTTGGCTCGAACGAATCGCTCGAAGTTCGCTTCGACGAGGACTTTCAGCGAAGCGGATTTCTGATCAATTGATTGAGAGAGAATGTTGAGACCTTCGAGAAGGGACCGTATCGACGCATCGGAATGGACTTGGGAGAGAAAGAGCGCCGGGGAGAAGGAGGTCGATGAGAGCAGGAAACGATTCCGCAGGCGACTCTCTTCATCTAGCGACAAGCCTCGCATTTTGAGGATCTTGAGCACACTGTCCCCTGTTCCCAGAGGATCAGGCTCATCCATCTTGACGAGGTTCTCCCGACCATTGTTGCCTTTGAAGGAGCCTAGAGTGACCCCCTTCCGCGTGCTATTGCTGCGCTCCAGAGCAAAGTATCGGGATTTCTCCGAGCGCGAGCCACGACTTTCTAAAGCTTCGTCTTCAGAATGGTCGCTTTCATCCAGCTCAGCGGGCCATTCTTCAGGGAAAGCCGAGGGCAAGTTATAGTAACTGGCCACGTCGACGTCAGCCATGTTCGGGGGTGGGTGGGTAGGTGTTTTGGGAAATCGGCGATAACGGAGGTTGTTATTATGGGGAGAGCGATTAAGCACGGAGGGGAGGGATTAGGAAGGCCACATGCAGGAAAACGCGCAGCAGCAAGGGTGGGGACAATTGGGGGGTTCAGAATTAGGGTGTTAACTATAGAAAGGATAGGCACAGCCAGGACAGGCAGTTCGGAGGGAACGTTTGGGACGTTGGGTTAGCTTGGGAGTTATCAGATCAAGCACGGGAAGCAGACTGGAGCCGGTGGACTGACGGTAACTCGCAAGTTTGTCTCTTGTTCGGTCGGACCGGGAGCGGCGGTGCCGAGAATCACTGGATGGATTAAAGTGCCTTTCTTCGCCGCGACTTGCTCTCTTCGTTCCCGCACAAGGAAACCCGCCGCCGCCTTTTCCACCTCTCTCTCTCTCTCCTCTCTCTTCTTTCTCTTCCTTACTCTCCTCTCTTCTCCTCACCACCCCCCCTCCCCCCCCCCAATTCCTTCTTTTTATTCCACCCTTGACCGTTTGACGTCGATCTCGGGTACTTTATCACAATGATTGCCGCCAGGAACTTTGTCGCTCCCGCCCGTCAATGCTTGCGGACAACACGTGTGTCCCCTCGCATTGCCTCGCCCTTCTCGCAGGTAACCTACCGACCGCTTTCCTCGACAACATCACCTGGAAGGATTCTCGATCTAACTGCACATCTAGCTCCGCACTTACTCCGTTGCTGCCGATGAGCGCGTCGCCAAGTTCAAGGGTCAGAAGGACACTGATGTATGTCGCGTCCCGGGCAACGCCTGAAACATTTTTTTGCGTCCATCCTTTGGTCCGGTAGCTTCCGCCGCAACTTGCGACAACGGCCTATATCCAACAGCTGTTCCGAAGGATGGTTTATAGATGAATGGTGTTGTTGACATGATGTGTCCTTATAGGGAAAATACACTGTTACTCTGATCGAGGGTGATGGTATCGGTCCCGAGATCTCCCAGTCGGTGAAGGATATCTTCGCTGCCGCAAACGTACGCCTCCCGCTTTCCTACGATCGCCTATGATATACAAACCCAGCGATGCTAAACTACCTGTGTGCAGGCCCCTGTCAAGTGGGAGCCCGTTGATGTTACTCCCATCCTGAAGGACGGCAAGACCGCCATCCCCGACGAGGCCATCAAGAGCGTCCAGAAGAACTACGTTGCGCTCAAGGGTCCTCTTGCTGTACGTCCTTCCTTTCTAGACTCTTTTGCGCTGGATCTTTTTCTAAACGCTTCGTCACATAGACCCCCGTCGGCAAGGGACACGTCTCTCTGAACTTGACCCTCCGTCGTACTTTCAACCTCTTCGCCAACGTCCGTCCCTGCCGTTCCGTTGCCGGTTACAAGACCCCCTACGACAATGTCGACACCGTCCTGATCCGTGAGAACACCGAGGGTGAATACTCCGGCATTGAGCACGTCGTCGTCGACGGTGTCGTCCAGAGCATCAAGCTCATCACCAAGGAGGCCTCCGAGAGAGTGCTCCGCTTCGCCTTCCAGTACGCTCGTTCCATCAACAAGAAGAAGGTCCGTGTCGTGCACAAGGCCACCATCATGAAGATGTCCGACGGTCTCTTCCTCAACCTTGCTCGTGACATCGCCAAGGAGTTCCCCGACGTCGAGTTCGATGCTGAGCTGCTGGACAACTCTTGCCTGAAGATCGTTACCGACCCCACCCCCTACAACGACAAGGTCCTTGTTATGCCCAACCTGTACGGTGACATTCTGTCCGACATGTGCGCCGGTCTGATCGGTGGTCTTGGTCTGACCCCCTCCGGTAACATTGGTGACGAGTGCTCCATCTTCGAGGCCGTCCACGGTTCCGCCCCCGACATTGCTGGCAAGGGTCTTGCCAACCCCACTGCTCTGCTTCTGAGCAGTATCATGATGCTTCAGCACATGGGTCTGACCGAGCACGCCGCTCGTATCCAGAAGGCTACTTTCGACACCCTCGCCGAAGGAAAGGTAAGCTAGCATCCCATCAATCTGACGTCAACATTGCGAAAACACGATGCTAATAGTTGCAATTTTAGGCCCTCACCGGTGACTTGGGTGGTTCCGCCAAGACCCACGAGTATGCTGAGGCCATCATGAAGCGTCTGTAAGGGATTGGAACCTGCCTGTACTATTCCCCTAAATTGTTTCCTTTTTAGCCTGTGAATGACTAGACCAAATATGTAGTGATCTACTGTATGTGCTCCCATGTATTTAGATGCCATTTATGTTGTTTTAATTACTACCTCGGTTCTTCCTACTACCAATTGGTCAATCATTGTTGGAGAAAGAAAGATGCTAGTAGCTAGTAGCTTGGTCGACGAATCATGCCTAGTCTACCGTCCCGGTAGAAGAACAATTAATTGTAGAACCAAGGAAAAGAAAGGTAATAATACAAACAAAGCCCCACCAAAACGCCTACTTCTCCCAAGGTATCATATCGACATATTTGTTACAGACAGAGCCAACGAACGTCAGCAGGAAAGCACATATCTATCAAGGCTGACGCCGTCGACCCCTCCGAGTTCCCGTGCCTGCTGCACTTCTCCCCTTTTGCTTCGTCCTTGATGTCTGGGCGCGCGTACTTCGCGTCGTAGGCGATCCCCCCTCCGCTTCCTCATCGACCTCACTATCATCCTTCGCAGCGTCCGAACCATCTTCATCGCCATCTTCATTCGCGCCTGTCTCCTCGCCAGAATCCCCTTCTTCCTCCGCAGCTCCGGAACCCTTCGCCGGTGGTTCAACCTCGACGTGTAGACGCGACGAACGCGTCCCTCGCCCAGCGGTACGCCCGCCACGGCCTGATTTCCGTCCTCGTGATGGCGCGGGGGAAGAGCGAGGTTCTGTATGAGATGAACAGCTGCGATTAGTATGTTTCTTCTAGCCATCTGACAACCAAGGAAGTGATGTTATATACGCACCGTCCGTATCAGCCACCGTGCTCCCCCTCCTCGATCCCGCATGCGTGCTAGGATCAGGAGACGCGGTCCCTTCCATCGCCAGTCGCCGTTCGAACATCAATTCTCCGTATTCGTCCTGGGGTAATTCGAACGGACAGTAGAATTCCTTTGAGTCCTCGGCGGTGTCTGTGATCAATGAATCTTCCTGTTTATCCCGTAATAATTGATAAGTGTTAGCACGAGCCGAATTCCAGAGGATGTAAAGTAATGTCAAAGGCTGGTGAGAGGCATCAACGCACCCGTTCATCCAAGGCCGGAAGATTGTATAATGTCCCCAGCTTCTTCCAAATCCCTGGTATGCGTGTGTGTTCTGCGTGCGCGGGCGCATATCCTTGGCTTTTCATGAACTCCGAAATCGCGATCATGCGGAAGTGCTTGTGCATGCCTTGAAAGGAAAACCTCATTAGCGACACACTGTTCGGAATAGTGCTTGCCCTTGCGCCCGACAGAGGGGAAAGATTGCCGACATACCGACAGGCTTCCATTTTATAATCCCCTTCAATAACGCGGTCTCCTGCTCGTCCGTCCAGGGATCTGTCACTGGGTCGTAATCCGCGGTTGTTGGCTGGTCAGCGGTGCTTGCGGACGGCTCGGCATTCTCATTTTGGGGGGTGAGTTTGGCTTTCTTGCGCGGGGGCATGGCGGTTGAATAGTATGTAATGAGAGAGCTTGTGTGTATTCCGTAGAGGTGGGTAGGTAAATAATGGTTTGCTGAAGGGACGGAGGGGAGAGCATTCGTCCGCGGGTTGGCTGAACCGCGGCGAATTCCTGCCGCTTCGGTTTCCCGAACAAGCGGTGGTCCGGGCGTTGGACGGGGAGAGGAGCTAGTCTGGTTTGGGTTTAGTGAGGCGTGATCTCGCGCTGCCAACGCGTCCTCTGGTGCTTGTCATTTGGGATTCCCACGAGACTTTGGTGGGTTGTGTTCAATTGAGGACGATGGATCTGGGAGAATCCACTGATGACCCGCTGTCTGGTTATTGCCTACAGCGTGTTGGTCAGTTCGTCTTGCGGTTCCTGCATCCATTGAAGCTGTTGACGTGGGAGAAGTTGTCTGATGCATACTAACTGCTTAGTCACTAACTATATGCTGAAAAGACGTGATTTTCGGCACTGGACTGCAACTTATATCAGGTGTCCTTTGGAAAGCAATTGACAGATACGGCGCCGAAGTCTCCCGGGATGCCGCAGCTCGGTGACAAGGCGAAACTTCTCAATAAGATCTTCGAAGGATACACATCATGGTATCCCCCACGTGGCTTTACCTGAAGGTCGTCGGATGCACAGTATAAGATACTGGCAATGGTGCAATTCCATTGAGCCTAATGTCGCTTTCCTTTGTAGAGCAGGCCGGTTGTCTTACATACTTGACCGATATGAGTGAGCGAATGATATGATTCTGACCCTGGTAGACAATCATATGTTCGACTCGCGCATATTGCAGGCGCACATCAAGACCAACTTAATCCTTTCACTTGAAGCACATTACAGTTCGTATATATTTCTTTCGAACTTAGCGTCATTATATACAATCTAACATCGTGGCCTCCTAATACTAGTGACGAAGGCTATTTCCAGAACTGAGGAGGCGCTCCCCTTAGAAGAAATGGAGGTCCGACTCCGCCCATCCTTGCTCCAGTAGGATCTTGCGGGCGGACTTTTCCATGGCCTCTGGACCACAGATAAGCACCATGCTCTTGCCATCGGGAATGGCATACTCCTTCAGCAGGTCTTCCGATATACGTCCACGGCGTCCAGTCCAACTGTCCGGAGCCTTAGTTAATGTGTGTACCACCTTGCACTTCTTGCTATCCAACGCTTCATAGGCGTCCAGTTCGTCACGACATAGAATGTCCTCCTCCTGTCTATTGCCATCTAGGACCACGCACGAAGTAGGGTCCTGCTTGTCCTGTATCACTGCACGTAGCACTTGGAAGACAGGCGTGATACCAGTTCCTCCACAGATCATCTTGAACGAATTGACATGGCGCTCTTTGCCGCTCACCATGATCTTGCCGTTTCCAAGATACTCGAACCTGCCAGTGGGACCCTTGCAGTCGATTTCTGATCCCAACGCGAGCTTCTCTAAAGCCATGGTCATCTTGCCACCTTTGACCGTGGGCGTGTCGAAGTAGATCTTGACCAGCAGGTCCATGGTGCCTTCCTGGTTAGTATCGGAGATAGGGGTGTATGAGCGGATAATGGCTTCTTTGCTGGTGGGGTCGGCGACCTTGATCATGAGATGCTGGCCAATGGGCAGGCCCAGGGTCTGTTTGTCATGTTGAAGCTGGAAAGTGAAAATGCGGGTGTCCCATGACACGTCCTTCCTCTTTACAAGGGTCATCTTTGACCATGATTTCGACTGGAGGAATGTTGCGCGAGGTTCATCCGATTCTGGTGCGCTATCGTTCTTGAGCGCTTCCAACGACGCCTTATCCATGGTTCCGATATGGTAATCAGGCATCATGGCTTTGGCCGTTTCGCTATCTGTGAGTGTGTCAGTATTCCAAACTCCATTCAAAAAAGGTGCTTAGACATACGGATGGCCAAAAATTCCTCCGAAACGTCCATGCCAGCAGACGAAATGATACTCTGAGCTCCACCAGGATGGCCCTCAAGGAATGCCGTGCCATCGTACACTTCCCCGTTCACGATGAACCAGGGCTTCTCATCGCTTGAGTTCTTCTTGAATTCTTCAAGGTCGATCATCCGGTTCACGCCGTCTTTCTTCATGTTGATCTCCTTCTCGGGCTCTGGCTCTGCCGGTTCCTCTCCTGCGTGTCTTTCTCCCCAGTTACCGTTGACCAAATCACCACCGGCCTTTTTGACGCGTTCCATCCATCCACCAGGCCCGGTAGGATCTGTTGGGTGCTCGAACCTGAGAGTCCCATTCTCCTTTGTGATGGTGACCCGGAACCAAGGATTGTTCATCATGCCCAGAACAGACCAGTACATATCGCGCGGTTGGAGAGACAAGGCCTCATCCATAGCCCGCACAAGAATGGCATCTGTATTTTCTAGGTCAGGAATGGCGATATCCAGCGACCAGAAGCTCCAGCAGAAACAAGTCTCGCGCCAGGACATGTCTACTCTGCCACCGAACAGGTCCCCTTCGAAGTCACGATACTTGTCTTCGGCATATGAAATGTTGGCCAATCGCCAGGCTAAAATAATGTCAGCTCTGCTCCAACACATTTGCGCGATGATCATCGTACATTTGCCTTTATCTAAAGATATTTCGACTCTCGTAATCCTCCGACCGCCTCCTGCATAGGCATATCCTTTCACGTTGTACGACGGGCCTGCCGACGCAAGATCCAGCACCTCCTTGTGCTCGGGGTATACTACAGAAGAGTTCACGTTCAAATCATAAATCGCATATCGGTCATCGCGCCACCAGTTTGGGTCACTGGATGACATTTCGGGCGAAACCATTGTCCTGGATAAAAGTTAGACAACGTACTCTTGTGGTCGGATAGGCGAGTCTTACGGTAATACTCGGTTGTCATAGATGTGGTACCAGTTATCACTGGGCGCATCAGTCAGAATGAGCTTCTTCAGCCATTTGACACTTCGGCCACCGATCTGGCCGGGTACGACGGCTCTCAGGGGACGGCCATGATCAGGACGGAGATCCTCGCCGTTCATTTTGTGGGCCAGCATGATTCCCCTATTGGGATCCATGGCCCAATTGAGTTTGACTGAGGTGCCGTAATACCCGTTTGGCTGCAAGCAAACTGTCAGAACACTACGTGCATGGATGGATATGGCGACTTACCAGCTTATCTGCTCCCTCCATGCAAACATACTTGGCTTTCCTCAGAGGCTTCGCACTCCGTAGGATATCTGCCATCATTGGGCCAGTCCAAAGGGCCGTCGACAGGCCAGCGGAACCCCATGAGAAACCTTTGGTCTTCCTGACCACATTCTGCTCCTTCCGTCTGTTTCCCGCACAGACGAGAGTGATTGGTGCTGTGATCTGATCGTATTTCTGCAAAATTTCCCGGAAGTTGAGGACAAGCGGCTTCTCCACCAGGCTGCATATCCCTTATCAGATAACGACGCGACGTTTGGGGGAAATGATATTTTTTACCCTTCAATGCTAATCTCCCAATTTGGGATGTCTTCGTCTTTCACCAAAGGTACCGGGCCATGATTTCTCACATAGAACAGTTCCGGGGAAGTCAAGAAGCCTAGTTTCTAGTGAGCATCGCCACGACTACAAGGGCCCTTGCGCGGAGTTCAAAGGCGATAGGGCAGCAGGGAAAGAGGTTTAGTACCTTCATCGTACAGAGCCGTAAGTGGAGGCTCAACATTGAAGGGATGAACACCCGTCAGTCTGATAAGGCGAGGGTCGCGGGGTACATGATAATCGGGAGTTGGCTTGTCTATATTGAGAACTTCGGTTGGTTCTTTTGAAGGGGGCGGCAGAGGAATGTCTGGAAGTTCCACGGCAGGCAGCTCCTCTTGGTGGACCTTGATCGGACCCGACTTGAGGGCGACCCCTTGAGCGGTGAAAGGCTCTGTCAGCACCTCAGTGACAGTCGCCATGGTATGCGCTTATGTGGTTCAATAGCCTCGAGGTGCCAGATCAGACATGAGACGATATCGAGAATGGAGACGAGTATAGATTCGGACCGATACAGAGCATGCAGAAGGCAGATGAGAGGAGCCAGACACACATCCGGGGAAGACCAGGGTTAGCTACGGGAAAATTAATCGCTCAAAAACCAGATGACAGATGAACCCTCAAGGCTGCCGGCTTTTGGATTAGCTCAACGGGGTGACCAGCAACGGCCGGGATCTGGTACTAAGTCCACGGAGAAGAAACAGGAGGCATTCCACCTGGTTTGAGATCTATTTGGGGGGCGAGAATGAGGGTCAACATTCGACCGGAGAGATTTCCGCGGGAGCCGGTGGATTCGAACAATGACTTAACTAACGAGCAGAGATATGTAATAGTAATACTCCGTACTCTTCAGATGGTCTAGTCATGGCCTGGTGTGTCCTCCAGCCGGGAAGACAGGGAGAAACCGGGCTTCTCATTCGAACATTCCTACGGGGGGGTGTGGGCACTTGAGACCTGGTCCCGAAAAAAAAAAGTATAAAAAACCCAGACATGAAAAAAATCCGGAAACAAGCCTCTCCCGAGCAGCCAAGAGACTCACTAAACTACGACTCGATACATACTAGTGACATTTTGTGCTGTAATGGAAAAACAAGCCCCAGGAGGACAGCGGCCAGATCCACTTGTCTAGAGGGCTCCACCGCCGATTTATTGCCCATTAATTGCAGCAGGATTACGAAGTCTCCAGCCGGCCGTGAACAAAGTATTGTTCTCGTGTATTGATTCACGGTATCGGAGAATATTGAGTAAGTAATATTGCCTGGGACTGTTGAGCTTTTTGCCGCAGTGGAGACGGGCAGAAAAAAGAAAAGATGGAAAGCAATGGTCCCATCGGTCGACTAAGTAGTGGTCAGTGAGCAGACGTCTAAAAACAACTGGTAGTCAGTAGTGGTTAGTCAGTAGTACATAGTACTATGTAGCATGCACCTGCTGCTGGAAACCAAACCATAGTCAAAGCATCCCTCGAAATCCCTCATAATGAAGTTGATGATTCCAGCAACTGCAAGGAGCTTCAATCAATCAAACTCTGGTACGTATACTTCCGATCACGGCCAATCAGACGCTTATCAGGAACCGATAAGGCAGTCGCGATAAGCAACAGCCTCAATGCCTTCGTTTCTCCATCGCATCTCCGCGGAGTCGCACTCGCTCGCTCGATTCCATGCAGCCACTCCCCAATTACCGATCGAACCCATCGTATGCCCGGTTCTTATCCGTCCTTTCCCCTCTCCACGAACGGTGGCTCCTCTATGATTTGCATGGCGGGTCAAGAGGTCCCTGATTACAGAACGATCGAGCATGGACCCCCCCTCGCAACTGATTACCTCAGAGGTCATAGTCACCCATCCAGTATCCCACGGAGAAATACAACTCAAACGCCCCTATGTCCGCAACTCCGCGCAGTTATCGGTCTCCTCTTGGCGAGATAGTTACAATGATGGTGGTTTGTTGTTCATGGCTGTGTAGCGCAGCTCCGGTGCCGCGGGGGTTCTCTTTCCCTGTGGCACAAACAAAACCGCGCTGGTTTCCTGTTGGCCACTGCTATCGACGTAGGATTCCTTGATTATCCTCTGTCATCACAATGCCTCTGCTGGATGGATCGGGGAACGGTGACGCTGTCGTCATGGACAGCGTCCCCAGTGTTCTCTCTCCCACAGTTGATTCCCTGCCAGATCCGGCTACTCGCCGATCGGCTTCGAATAGGCGCCAGAAGATCGTGGTGGTCGGCTTGGGCATGGTGGCTATATCCTTCATGTATGTTTGGGCAGTCGAACAACTGTCTATTAACGCCGAAACTCGGGATTCTGACTACTCCTGTTTGTTCTTAGTGAGAAGCTCGTCAAGCAGGACTCAGAGCGACGAAAGTATGATATCGTTGTCATTGGTGAAGAACCACACATTGCCTACAATCGAGTCGGCCTCTCGTCTTTTTTTGAGCATCGCAAGATCGAAGATCTATACCTGAACCCAAGAGAATGGGTGAGTACTCCGTAATCTGCAGAGTTTCCGATCCGCGCTCGGGATGGCGGCCCTGGTCCAGACACTAACGCCGAAGCCGGTGCCCTAACTAGTACGGTTCCATCAAAGACCGATCCTTTGACTATCACCTCAACACTCGGGTGACCGACATCTTTCCCGACCGCAAGACGGTCAAAACCTCGACTGATGATGTTATTCCTTACGATATCCTGATTTTGGCTACGGGTTCTGATGCCGTACTTCCCACGCGCACCCCGGGACACGATGCCAAGGGCATCTTTGTCTACCGGACGATCTCGGATCTGGAAAAGCTCATAGAGTTTGCATCAAAGCATAAAGGTGAGACGGGCGTTACTGTAGGAGGTGGTCTGCTGGGCCTAGAAGCAGCCAAAGCGATGACAGACCTGCAAGACTTTGGCAGTGTCAAACTCGTCGATCGCAACAAGTGGGTGTTGGCGAGACAGCTGGATGGAGATGCTGGCACCCTTGTGACCCGCAAGATTCGAGAGCTGGGCTTGGATGTACTACACGAGAAGCGCGTTGCGCGCATAAATACGGATGACGATAACAACGTTACTGGAATTGTTTACGAAGATGGTGAAGAACTCAGCTGTTCATGCATCTGTTTTGCTGTACGTTTACTTTTGCCATTGCCAGCTGCTTTTGGCGTGCTAACTCCCAGGGCAGATCGGAGTCAGGCCACGAGATGAGCTGGGCCAGTCGGCGGGAATCCAGTGTGCTGGAAGAGGAGGTTTCGTCATCGATGAAAGGTACAGTCAGTACCTAGAAATTCATTTGATATTTATTAACACCACAACAGCCTTCAAACCTCCATCGAAGACATTTATGCGATCGGAGAATGTGCAAGTTGGGAGAACCAAACCTTTGGTATCATCGCTCCCGGCATCGAGATGGCCGACGTGCTCGCATACAACCTCACCAACCCCGACAAGGAACCCAAAAGCTTCAAGCGACCCGATCTCAGTACCAAGCTGAAACTGCTAGGTGTCGATGTGGCTAGCTTTGGTGACTTCTTCGCCGACCGGGATGGGCCCAAGTTCCTCCCCGGCCAACGGCCGTCAATGCCCTCCGGAGGTGCAGAAGATGAGCCAGCTGTAAAGGCGCTTACATACAAGGATCCTTTTGGCGGTGTCTACAAGAAATATCTCTTTACCATGGACGGCAAATACCTCCTGGGTGGTATGATGATCGGGGATACGAAGGACTACCTTAAGTTGAACCAGATGGTCAAGTCTCAAAAAGAGCTGGACGTACCTCCCAGCCAGTTCATTCTGGGGGCTCAGAGCGGTGGGGAGGAAAATGCCGACGATCTGTAAGTTATTGGAATCGCCCAGACGCTGAAGTACTAGGCTAATACCTTATGCGCCTATAGGGATGACAGCACTCAAATTTGTGCCTGCCATAATGTTACCAAAGGCGACTTGGTTTCGAACATAAAGAATGGCACCTGCAAAACCGTTGCGGAGGTCAAATCGTGCACTAAAGCGGGGACCGGCTGTGGCGGCTGTATGCCGCTAGTGCAGTCCATCTTCAACAAGGCCATGCTGGACATGGGACAAGAAGTCTCGAACAACCGTATGTACACACTTTTTTATGGCTTTCGGAATTGTTCTAATGTGTATGCAGTATGTGCTCATATTCCACACTCGCGGGCCGACCTCTACAACATCATCGCCATCAAGCAACTGAAGACCTTCGAGGATGTCATGAGGACGGTCGGCAAGAACCCGGATTCGCTTGGCTGCGAGCTGTGTAAGCCTGCAATTGCCTCGATTCTCTCCAGTCTTTTCAACAGGCACATCATGGATAAGGATTTACACGAATTACAAGAAACAAACGATCGGTTCCTTGCCAACATCCAGCGGAACGGGACCTTCTCGGTTGTGCCTCGAGTACCCGGAGGGGAAATCACGGCGGACAAATTGATCACGATCGGGCAGGTCGCCAAGAAATACGACCTTTACTGCAAGATTACTGGAGGTCAGCGTATCGATTTGTTCGGAGCCAAGAAGCAGGATCTGCTCGACATCTGGACGGAATTGGTGGATGCAGGTATGGAGAGCGGACATGCGTATGCCAAGTCGCTTCGGACTATCAAGGTATGTAACTTCATGATGATTCGTTGGTTGGGCTGGTCTGGGAACATACTAACGCTTCTCAGAGCTGCGTGGGGACCACATGGTGCCGGTTCGGTATTGGCGACAGTGTTGGTATGGCCATCCGGCTAGAAGAGCGCTACAAGAGTATCCGCTCCCCGCACAAGCTAAAGGGCGCTGTCTCCGGCTGCGTGCGAGAATGCGCCGAGGCACAGAACAAAGAGTGAGTCTTTCCTTTCTGTCAGTTACTTCCTGGATGTTTAGCTAATCTGCTCCAGTTTCGGTCTTATTTCCACCGACAAGGGCTTCAACATCTTCGTTGGAGGCAACGGAGGTGCCAAACCTCGGCATTCCGAAATCCTTGCCAAAGATGTTCCTCCCGAGAAGGTCATCCCAATGATAGATCGGTATCTTATCTTCTACATTCGCACAGCAGACAAGCTGCAGCGGACAGCTCGCTGGATTGAAAACCTCCCGGGTGGTATTGAATATCTGCGCGAGGTTGTCGTGGAAGACAAACTGGGTATTGGGGCGGAGATGGAACAGCAGATGCAGGAACTGGTCGACAGTTATTTCTGCGAGTGGACCGAAACAGTCCGGAACCCCAAGCGGCGCAAATACTTCCAACAGTTTGCCAACACGGATGACACTGTCGACACCGTGGAAGTGATCAAGGAGCGCGACCAGCAGCGGCCGACCTATTGGCCCAGCGAACCGGCCAAAGAGGACTTCAAGGGCCACCAGTGGTCCAGTCTCTCGTGGCAGCCTATCATCAAGGCTGACTACTTTTCGGATGGCTCGCCACAGATGTCATCCGCCAATGTGAAGCGTGGGGATACGCAGTTGGCCATCTTCAAGGTCAAGGGCAAGTACTACGCGACGCAACAGATGTGCCCTCACAAGCGGGCGTTTGTCTTGTCAGACGGGCTGATCGGCGACGACGACGCCGGCAAGTACTGGGTGTCATGTCCCTACCACAAGCGCAACTTTGAGCTGAACGGAGAGCAAGCGGGTCGATGCTCGAACGACGAGAGCATGAACATCGCGACGTTCCCGATTGAGGAACGGGATGACGGGTGGATCTATCTGAAACTGCCGCCTGTCGAGGAGCTGGACTCGATTCTGGGGACGGAGAAGTGGAAGGTGCGGAAGGGCGAGGCGCCCGATCCTTTCAAGAAGCATGACATGAAGTATAAGGGGATGCGAGGGAAGAAGGTGGGCGAGAAGGCATCCGGGTGCGGTACGGCTGCATCGTCCACGGTGATTGACTGGTAGTCAGTTCGTCTGTGGCGAGGATGATGGTGATGACGATGATGATGTTACGATTTGAACTAGAGCTTCTTTGACTGGATAAGGATGTCCGTCTACAGCACACCATGTAATTTATTCTATGTATCTTCCAATACCAGTTCCACATTGTCTACTATTGGTATTACACCTAAGCCTTAGTGGTGGCCCAGGGAGCCCTCAGACGGCACACACGACTGGATAACTGGAACCCATCGTGGATATTGAGATGGTGCCATATCCTGCCCGATGCAGCTGCTGCCTATATTAACTGTGTGTAGACCATGCTCGGGGGAGCCATACATAAGTGAGCAGGTGCTAGTCCGGCCCCCAGGAGCTTACACTGGGGGCCCGGGGCAGCCGTTCGTAGCCGAGGAGCGTTCGTTGTATTTTGTGTTTGCCTTGCGTGCCTTGCATGACCAATTCGAGTATTTGCACCAAAAGCAGTCCGGCGTTCCAATTTAGGGCAGCGGCTGTCAACTTGTCCGGGCCCCCCTAATAGCAACACACTGATTGGCTGGAACGAATGACTTATCAAGGATCAGCCCACGAGGTGGCCCGTGCATGGCATTGCTTTTCTTTTTACTTTTTTTTTCTTCCCAACTAGGCAGCATTCTCACTGTTTGGGTCTCCTTATCAGCCAGTCTCAGCCTATCGCGCACTGTTTGATACGAAATCGGATGCCGAGAGTTCCTATATCGGGAGTGAAGGTGTATCATTTTCCAACGTAGACAGTCGATCTGCAACCCCTTTTTTGTGCTTTACCCTTTGTAGTCTGTTTAATGTCTACATCTTCCATCCGGACGGAAGAGAGATGGATCCCTGAAGCAGTTCGAAACCGGGTCGAGACGGCGACTCACAGTACTAGAGGACTGAATAGATATCCACCTGCCAAACAGGCGAGGAATACGTAAGTAGTGGCCCCCGTTATTAATTTACTGCCGCCCCATCTGGCTGGCCACTACGGAGTAGTCTATAGTACGGAGTAGTGGCTGGCAGCTCGGCACCTCCTACTATACCCGACTGGGGATGTATTCTGTAGACTCTTGCAATGTCAAGCAATGGCAAGCTTCAGAAGGAGGGAGAGAAAATTTTGCTAGCTCGTAGACGAAGGAGAAATGGATACCAGGTCTTGCAAAATATTTCAACCGGAGGTTTGAGGAGGATGACTTGCGGTGACGGTGGCCCACTTGCCGGTGGGTTTGATTTTATTTTATTTTTTTTCTCTTTCTTTCTTCTTCGGTTGTGATTGTCAATTTTTAAGATGAGAGAAACTAAAAGTGACCGCGTCGCTTCCTGAGGCCCCGTCTTCGTCCCGTGATACAGTTAGTCAAGCAGGAGTAAATGAGTAAATGACTGAATGTGTGAGTGGACTTACTCCGTAATGGGTGGCTGCCTCAATTCCCTGGGTCCCTCCCTATCTACTCCGGACGACTAGTCTATCTCTCGCCAATCTCTCTCTACCATTCCTCCCCTCCCTATCCCTCTACACGCCCACTCATTGCCCCCCGGAAATACACAAACAGTCATCCTTCTTCCATCTACACTCCGCGGAGTTACTTCTCCAGATCTTCTACCTTATCCTTATCAGTTCCCCAGAACCATGCCAATTATGCCCTAAACTGCCGTGCAGAGAGACCCTTGCTTATCTCCAGCACTGGTCTCGTTGGTCCACGCCTCTCAATGAGGGCCATGAACTGGGCCTCGATCGCCATGCCATGAACCCTGAGGTCATCTTCCTGCTTAGGTCCATGACTAGCGACTCCGGCTCTCGCGCTGGACGGTCTCTCTTACCGCGCGACCCAGTATCCACAGCCACGCTCAATCCGACTGCCAGGTGTGGATCCCCGGCCATTGCTCCTAGATTGAGTTCACAGGCTTGCCTTGGTTCTGTTTATTTCGCTGCTGTTGCTGCTGATAATAATATTTTTTGCCCTGCTGCCACACCGTGTTGAGCTTGACCCATTTCCTAGGAGATACTGATTTATGTTTCTCTGAATGTTATGTCGTTTAATTTTATCAGAAGCAAGTCACTCGCATCAATCAAGTGGTAATCAGACAGCTGACCCTCCTAGGAGATAGATAACTAGATAGATTGATGCCTTGAAAGAGACCTCCCACACGGGGGTGTCGGAGCATTTCCTACGCCTGAAAAGAACGTTTCCACTTGTGACACTATCCGAAGCACCGGTCTATATATACACGTCCTCTCCATCGATCTAATTCGGTCTTAATTCTCCTGTATTGCCCTATACCACACTCTCAATACCCATTGCACTTCCATCGGGACCCAGTCGTCCGTTGGTTTACTCGCATCTAATACGCCCTGGTGGTGTTTTGTCTTTGTTGTGATACCCCTTCTCTCTGTACTTGCTTAGATCCCTCCTTTACCTTACATCCTTGCTGTCTCCTAGTAGCAGTATACCATCAGTTGATTTTTTTCAACGACCGAATTTTTCTGGCGATGGATCACATCAAGCTACTCTTTGTCTCTCCGGGGATTAACCCGAGTAATCGCAAAGCACAATCAATCCCCATCCTCAACCCATTCGACAAGTATGGTCGAGTTTTCTTCTTCTCATGGCTGGGTTTCATGGTGGCTTTCCTGTCGTGGTATGCCTTTCCACCGTTGGTAAGTGACTCCTAACCCGTACGCATGCATGGACAAATGTTGACATAGGTTCCTCACATAGTTGACCGACACAATTCGCCAAGATCTGAAGATGACAGAGACGCAGGTCGCAAACTCGAACATCGTTGCTCTGCTCGCGACGTAAGCCTTCCCGCCCCATGCTCCTGTTTTTATATAGACATCCGTTGACAATGTGCTAGTCTGCTTGTGAGATTCGTGGCAGGACCCCTTTGTGATAAATTCGGTCCTCGTCTGGTTTTCATTGGGCTGCTGCTTTGTGGTTCGATCCCAACTGCCATGGCGGGTCTTGTCACCACTCCCAATGGCTTGATTGCCCTGCGCTTCTTCGTGGGTATCCTCGGAGGTACCTTTGTCCCATGCCAGGTCTGGTGCACGGGATTCTTTGACAAGAAGATTGTTGGGACTGCGAATGCTCTGGCTGGTGGCTGGGGCAATGCTGGTGGCGGAATCACCTTGTATGTTGAACATTGTACCTTTCTTGATCATTGGCTTACTTGTCTCAGCTTCGTTATGCCCGCTGTGTACGATTCCCTCGTCAAAGTCCAGGGCTTGCCACCACACAAAGCATGGCGCGTGGCATATATAGTGCCGTTCATCATCATTGTCGGGGTCGCCCTGACTATGCTCTTCGTATGTGAGGACACGCCGACGGGCAAATGGTCAGAGCGTCATCTCTGGGTGAAGGAAGCCACTGAGTCTGAGGGCAATATCATTGATATCAACTCGGGAATTCCATCCAAAGCCCCCTCGGTGTCCGACATGATGGCGGACGTGGAGAAGAAAGGCGGCGCCCAGACCCCCATGTCCCTGGGAGCCGAGTCCCAGCAGATTGGCCAGTTCGACGCGCTGCGGACGGACACGGTAGTAGCACCCACGCGCAAAGAGGCCCTGAACGTGCTCTTCAGTATGTTCACTGCAGCCGTCGCCATCCCATACGCCTGCACTTTCGGGGCAGAACTTGCCATCGAGTCTGTTCTGGCAAACTACTACGTAGCGAACTTTCCCAGTATGGGACAGACCGAGTCCGGACGATGGGCCGCCATGTTCGGGCTACTGAATATCATCTGCCGACCGGCCGGTGGCTTCGTGGCCGACTTTCTATACAGAACCACACAGAGCCTATGGTCGAAGAAGATCCTGCTGGTCTCCTTGGGACTCATCACGGGAGCTTTCCAGCTCGCGATCGGACTCACCAACCCGAAGACCGAGGCCACCATGTTCGGCCTCATGGCCGGGCTTGCCTTTTTCCTCGAAGCCTGCAATGGCGCCATCTTTTCTTTGGTACCTCATGTGTATCCATTTGCCAATGGTGAGCTCACTTTGAACCCTCGATTGAATGACTTTGTGCTAATAATAATAGGTGTCGTGTCGGGTGCTGTCGGTGGCATGGGCAATTTTGGTGGAATCATCTTTGCTATCATCTTCCGCTACAATGGGTCGCACTATGCTCAATCGCTCTGGATCATCGGGGCGATCTCGCTGGCAGCGAACGTGGGCATTTCGTGGATCCGGCCGGTGGCGAAGAACCCGGTTGTGAGGCAGTAGTGCATTCACTTTGTTTATGAAAGATCTTGATGATATCTAGCCGATGCATTTCATGTTTTAGTAATCGATTTGAAAATGAGCTTTACTATTACTACTCCTCTGATCTTCGTTATGTCTTGCTTCCTCTGTCGAGTCTGCGCTCGCGTACAGTAACCCCGTCTGTCCGAGCTATATCTCATGGAGCAGCCAAAGCAACCATGGAACACAAATTCTAGAAGCCATTAACAGCAGCACACAAAGCACAGATGTAGATCGGATAAGAGATCCCCGGAAGACAGCGGAAAGTCAAAGCGCAATGATGATGGCATAGCGAATACTTTGAGTTTCGGGTCCGATTATATGAAGAACCATATGGTTGGGATAGCTACCTTTCTTGAACACAATTAAAATAACTTGATTATTGCTTGCTTGAAACTGAATACTACATACTACCCATTACACATTACACTGACTACAATATATATACCTGAAACACCTACTATCTACCAAAATGTCTCAACGTACATCACCCCATGTCCCCAAACCCTACACCACCACCACTACGATCACTCCACACATGAATACTAACACGAAATACCTAATGATATGATATAGACCACGAAAACATCTTCGACAAAATGTTCCACCACCACAAACACCAAGACACCCAGCGTCAGGAGAACGACGACAGCGGCAAATACCCCTCTCAGCAGAAGAGCAATCTGCACGAAACAGAGGAGGAAAGTCAACCTTCGCATCATGGAGAGGAGGAAGGGGTTGTGAATCGATTTGAGAATTATATTAAGGAGGATGAGGAGTTGGAGAGGGAGGGGCAGACGTATGGGGGGTTGATGTAATACTTTATTTTTTTTCTCTATTTACTATTTAGTTCAGTTTCTTGGGTCGGATTGGGGATCCTGGGGATATTTATCACTATTCAGTTTACTTTGATTTATTTATTCTGTGGGTTGTAGGTAGGGTGGGTTGTAGTGTGTGGTGGTATTGGTAACTAATAGTAGTACTAATTGGATCCGTATAGCTATTGAGTGCTGGAGGACGGTGTACTTGTACTTTGGCGTTGATGGGTAGGGACTATACCCTTAGTACTAGTAGTTACTACTACTACTACTAACCAAGTGGTAGTTTGATGCCAACACTGAGTATAATATTCAGATCTTGTAGTAGAACATGAACGTCAAGACATTACTAATCGTCCAAGAGCAGAAAATACCTTGTATGAGTAGTTGATAACGCAGATGAAGCCATCACACTACAAGTTCTAACAGCTCTTAAAAAAAAACATGTAGTATCTACATCTTGTGCTGTTCTAACCTAATCTATTAACTTCTTAGTATACAAACAGCTAACAACATCAAATAAATCCCCTTCTCCACCACCACAACATCTAGTGTGACCCCTCCCTCGGTCCATCCCAACCCCCAATTCGGGCCATCATCACCCCGAATCTACAACAAAAACATACATATACAGCAACTACTACTACTACTACTACTACTACTACTACTACTACTACCACCACCACCATACCATCGTCTTATCCTCACTTCCAGAATTACACGTCCATAACCTCTCTCTTTAATACCAACCCACCAACCTCTCCCACCCCAATCCCACCAAGTGGTACATACCAAAATCCGACAATGCCCACCCGCCGCATCGCCCAAATCGTCCACCTCAAGCCCTCCGCCATCGCCGCATACAAAGAATGTCACGCGAACGTATGGCCCGAAGTCCTACAGCAGATCAAGGAGTGTAATATCCGTGATTGTATAGATCATCCCCTCCTATCCCCTCCCATCCCCTCCCCCATCCCGTCATAAACGAGGTGCAAAGTCATGTATATATAAATAGAAGCAGAAGCAGGTGCGGAAGCTAATATGGGGCAATGGCTATTTGCAGACTCTATCTTCTTCGATAATGAGCGGACGCTGTTCGCAACGTTTAAATATGTCGGGGAGGACTTTGACGGGGATATGCAGCGGATGAAGGCCAATCCGAAGGTGAGGGAGTGGTGGGGGTTGACGGATGGGATGCAGGTATGTTTATTATTTATACACTTTGGCAAGTTGAGGAGGTGGGGGAAGACGGTCATGCTTATATGCTGTTTTGTGCAGGAGAGTCCGATTCCTGGGGCTATTGGAAGTGCTGAAGGTCCTGGGTGGTGGAAGGTGTTGGATGAGGTTTTTTATACTGAATAAATGTAATGGATACTCAAGTTTCTTTCTTCTGTTCACCCCTCACAAGTATAGAAATACATAAAACTACTTTGACGGATCTCATTCGGATCTCATATACATGCCATGCAACAATGGGTATCTTCGCCGGGAAAATCCGTAGCCGCAAATCAGCTGCTCCAAAAAACGCCGACTCCCTCTAACGCAAATATATCGGTAACCAATCGTTATAGCTCGTGCAACACCACTAAGATCATGCCAACCGCCAGGGTATAGGCAGCCCACGGTGTCGGTCTCATTCGGCGCTGCCAGGGACATCCTTCAGGATCTCCCATCCAAATTCGTCCTCTGGCCTCTCGGGCTCCATACCAAGTGCGTTGCGATACGCCCGCACCTCATTCTGTAGGCCTGCAACAATCCGGATGGGCAGTTCTTCCTCCTCGGAGCGGAGTCGGTACGCCGTCCGAATCATCTCGGCACACTTCATCGTCTGCGCATGCCAGTAGTCACGGTCTAAGCGGCTCTCCAGATGGGAGTCACGCTCCGCTTGGAGCAGATTGTTGTAATGGCGTTTCTGCGACAGATAATGCATGTTGTTGTTTTGGCAGTAGTTGCGGATTTGCTCGACCATCGTCCCGAGGGTCGCCTCATATTCACCGATCAATTTGGCGTTCTCCGCCTGCTCGGTTCGTAAAACTTCAACTAAACGTCTCTCCTTGGCGAGGGCACGCTCGAGCTCGGTGATACGGGCACCTAAGCTTGTCAGCCGCTGTTCAGAGAAAGGGACATCCATACGACCACTTACCGGTGATTTCCCCGTTCACTTGCTGCAAAGTCGGGTTGGTACCCTCCGAACCAGACCGTTTCTGTCCCTGTCAGCCAGGTTAAACCAGACTACGAAGCCTTCGTGAAAGACATACCATAATTTCCTCCGCACTAGTCACTATACTTTTCGTCATTTCGCGATTGTTCTTCAACACGTCGCTCAACTCCAATACCATATCGTAGAGATGATGCAGGTCCATCTGATGGCCCGCGTTCATAGGAACTCCGCCGTTCATACCGGGCATTCCGCCGCCGTTGACCTGAGCCGGTGGATGAGGCATCGCAGGCGACATCGAGGGACGAGGAACATTGGGCATGCTCGAAGCACCGCCAGAGTTATCGCCGTAGCTGGCAAACATGGCCGACCCAGGGCTACTGCCCGTCATGCCCCCACTGCTGTTCATCGACATGTTTGCGGAGTCAAAGGCGTTGTTTAATGCGTTGAACTCGGGATCGACAGCAGGATTCGGTTTAGGGAGGTTATGGTCGTCGTCAAAGCCGAACCCAGAGGACTCCAAACCCAACACTTCTTTTCTGAATTTCTCAAGGTCACGACGAGTGACGTGGGTGGAACGGCGGCGATGCCCACGCACAAAGGGTGCCTTGGAATCAGGGGAAGGCGTAGACGCGCTGATGATGCCGGGTGAAGAGGGCTCACTTTTGCTGTAGCTGGTGTGGTGCGCGGTCGGAGTTAGATCGTCAAGATTGGGGAAAGGAACCGTTGCGGTGAGAGCAGCAGACAATGGGGAAGCAGCAGGTAAAGCTGGGCGATGAGGGTCATCCACCTCGTCCTGATAGTGAACCGTGGCCGCGGAGAAGCCAAAACAGTCAAGCGTCGGAAATTCGGAAGATTCCAGCCGAGCACCAGCCTCGGCAGCGCCACAACTTGGGGCGGTGGCCGCACCAGAATTCTCCATGATAGCTAGTAAGTAGCTAGTTAAACCTGGGTTATGCCAAAAAGGGATGAATTCACAAAAAAAAAAAAAGAAGTGTGTGGTGAAGGTAAAACAATAAGAGGAAGGGAAATCGATGGGTAGAAAAATAAAAATGTGGGAACCAGTGAAAAGAGAAGGAACAGAGCAGCTGCTTCTGCTTCTGCTGCTGCTGCTGCTGCTACTCTGTAAGTAGTAAGTAGTCCCCAAAAACAACCGTTTGGCTCTCGTTCTTCTCCCTCCTTCCTGTCACTGGCACTTTGCTATGATCGTTGCAGCCGCAGTCAATTGTCTTTTTCCCCCCTTGCAACTTCTCAAAGTTCCGGTAACTGCATGGGAAATCCCTCTAATTATAGCTGCCCAAAGGAGACCTGCGGCGTAGAGTCAAGAAATTGAGATCTACTGATTGATTATCCAGTTGCAATGGTTTTCATGCATCTGTGCGACCTCTTTTGCCGGCAATGCCGCACCCTCAATCTCCAGAAGGCTATGTATGTATGAAAGGCGCAACGCTCTCATAAGTGTAGGCAAGGCATGCAATTTAGGTATTCGGGCATCCTTCCATTCCATTCAATGCATGAAGTCATTCTAGCCGGGCCCTTTCTCTCTATTTGTCATCACGTCATGTCCAATAAGGCATCTAGTTTCTGGTCGCACCCCAGATACGGCTTGTCCTGCTCCTGAGCGCCCAGTTTCTTCTTCCCCTGTTCGACTCGGCCACCAACTCGCGCAACCAGCATCCTCATCTTGTCTAACTCCTGGACTAGCTCGCCATCTCTCGTCACCAGATTAGGTTGGATGTGTTTCTGCGGTTCTCGGAACGGCTCCAGTAATTGCTGCAGCTGTCGTAATTGATCCAGGCGCCGTTGTCGCTGTTGCCGTAAGCGATCCAGGTCCGTAAGACGCTCCCGTAGTTCTTGGTATCTGTATCACAATTAACCAGCTGAAACTGTGATCGGTGCGAGAGGTATCTCAGACCTAGCCCGCTGTTCTTCGCTCGCAGATTGGTCCTCTAGCTCCAATGGGAGTTGTGCGATATTCCTGCGACATTAGATCGATCCGCTTTCCCAGCAACAGAGGTTCGAGGCTCACAGATGACTGGATAGATCCACCGATCTCTCAACCCCTTTTATCAAAGACCCTGGGTTGTGTATTGCCTGGGTTACCGACGACCAGTATAGGCTGGTAATTTGCTGAGCGACATGCTGAACCGCTTGGGAGGAATAGACGATGCGACTGTGTTGTTTCAATGCGGCGTTTACTGGTGTCCCATGGATTCATTAGAAACATATGCAGAATGAAGAACGATATACGTATTAACCACAGTGCACGATGAGCGATCATGTGCAGTAATCCCAGGATGGTATGTGTGAAGATTTGATTCTGGATGCTTGCACTTACACTTTTGCAGAACATCACCGACCACCTTATCACTGAGATCATCCTCTTCGGTCTCAGCGGCGTAATTTCGCCAATCTTCGGGCGGTTCAAGGCCTTCGGATAGTATTCGGACTTGCGCCCTGATAAAGGACGACTTCAACTCGGAGATGGTACGAGTAGATTCCATGACTCCATAGTGAGGGATTGTGATCGGCTCAGAGGATAAAAGAGGACCATCGCGATTCGGCTTCACTGAACGCGTCCGGCGCTATCGATAAGCACACACGTGACGGATACGCAGTGCCCCCTTCCGCCAACCTGCCATCCATCGTCCATCATTACCAGAGATTGGAGTCAACAGTCTCCTTGCGTCTTGATGATTTGTACGTTTCATGCCGCAGATATTGCAGGGCTTCTGCGGCGCAGGTTTGGCCTTTAGGGTCTGGAATTCCCCTGCAGCTTTCATTGCCTCGGACCTTGATTGTAAACCATAAGCAACAACCGATTTCTCGTATCTAACCTCGGTAACTTGGACCCCAGGTCTGGTCTTCTACTACTCCGCCAAAGAACAAACATCAAGCGACATCTTCGTCTTACATCTAGATCACCCTTGCCGCTGCTATCTCTACCCATCTATTGTCTTCCCAGAACCTCTGCCGACTAGTATATCGCCACCATGGCTGACGATCAACGGCCGATAGGTCTGCTGTTCGACATTGGAGGAGTGTGTGTAAGGCTGCGCGAATGCCCAACCCAGAAATAATAGTCTGTTGATAAAGCTGCAGGTTGTTTCTCCCTTTCAGGCTATTCTGGACTATGAACTGGCCCACAACATTCCCCCAGGATGGGTGAACTTCAGTATCTCTCGTACCTCACCCAACGGCAGCTGGCACAGACTTGAGCGCGGGGAGATCAAGATGGATGCCGACTTCTTCAAGGAATTTAACAAGGATCTACGAAACCCTGACCTATGGAAGGCATTCCATGAGAGACTTCAGAAACAGCGCCCGGATAGTGCGCCAACATCGCTTCCTCCATTACCCGCCCTGGACGCAGAGTTCCTCTTCTGGGAGATGATGAGGGTGTCTAGGACGCCGGATCCATATATGTTTCCTGCTCTGAAGAAGTTGAAGCAGTCAGGAAAATTCGTTATGGGAGCTCTGTCAAATACAGTTATCTTCCCCGATGGACATCCGTACAACACAGACATTGATGATAAAAAGTCGCAATTTGACTTCTTCATCTCATCTGCGCATACGGGTCTCAGGAAACCCGACGGGAAAATATATCAGGTTGCGCTGCAAGAGATGGAAAATGTAGCGAGGAAGAAGGGTCTAGGTGGGATTCGCCCGTCTGACATTGTGTTCCTCGATGACATTGGAGAGAACCTTAAGGGCGCAAAGAAAGCTGGCATGCGAACCGTGAAGGTTAATCTGGGACGGACCCAGGATGCTGTTAAGGAGCTGGAGAGGATGACAGGCCTTCAATTGCTAGAGACTCCAGAAAAACCCCGGCTGTAAATAGTATAATTTGGCCAGCTAGAAAGATCATATTCGGACAGCCTACAAATTCATAACTATAAGATTTTTCCAAGTAAAGATTGCTGAAAGAAAAGAGTTGGTTATGATTGTTCGGAGTACGGAGTAAGTGGTGGTACATACTTCGGTCCTTCAGCCCGCTCGTGGCCAACCGCAGTCTGGCGCCGGGATGCAGCCACGCTAAGCGAAGCCTTCCACAAAAGACATCCCACGAAATTTCCCATCTCTTCTTTTGCAGCCACCGTCGACAACCCCCGTCATCAACCAGCGGCAACCGTCAAAATGGTGAGTTTTGCTGTAATTCTCAAGTGACTGGGAACCGACTTCGTCGCAAATTCCCCCGTCGCCTGAACGAAAATTTCAGGTCATCCCACGTGGGCGACCGCACTGTGGGATTGGAAACGGGTCTTTGCAAGATGCTTCGGACGGTCTTTCTCTGAAGCGCAAATTGCTGACTCGACTGTGTCTTGTAGCCTTTCCACAAGCTCGTCAAGAACAGCGCTTACTACAGGTAAGAAATTTACAAGACTCCTCATTTCGTCAAAAATTGTCCTGGAACTAACAAAATTTCTCTCTACAGCCGCTACCAGACCAAGTACCGTCGTCGCCGTGAGGGTAAGACCGACTACTATGCCCGTAAGCGCTTGATCACCCAGGCCAAGAACAAGTACAACGCCCCCAAGTACCGCCTGGTCGTCCGCTTCACCAACCGCGACATCATCACCCAGATCGTCTACTCTGAGATCTCCGGTGACAAGGTCTTCGCCAGCGCCTACTCCCACGAGCTCAAGCGCTATGGCATCACCAACGGTCTGACCAACTGGGCTGCCGCCTACGCCACCGGTCTCCTCCTTGCCCGCCGTACCCTCAAGAAGCTCGGCCTGGATGAGCAGTTCCCCGGTGTCGAGGAGGCCGATGGCGAGTACACCCTCACCGAGGCCGCTGAGACCGACGAGGGCTCCCGCCGCCCCTTCAAGGCTTTCCTTGATGTCGGTCTTGCCCGTACCTCCACTGGTGCCCGTGTCTTCGGTGCCATGAAGGGTGCCTCCGACGGTGGTATCTTCGTTCCCCACTCCGAGAGCCGCTTCCCCGGTTTCGACATCGAGTCCGAGGAGCTCGACGCTGAGACTCTCCGCAACTACATCTTCGGTGGCCACGTCGCTGAGTACATGGAGGGTCTTGCCGACGACGATGAGGAGCGCTTCCGCTCCCAGTTCCACAAGTACCAGGAGGCTGGTGTTGAGGCTGGTGACATTGAGGAGCTCTACACTGAGGCCCACAAGGCCATCCGTGAGGACCCCTTCAAGAAGGACGAGGATGCTGGTGAGAAGAAGACCAAGGAGGAGTGGAAGGCCGAGAGCAAGAAGTTCCGTCCTGTCCGCCTCACCCGCGAGCAGCGCAAGGAGCGTGTTGAGCAGAAGATCCGTGAGCTTGCTGCTTAAATGTCGGACTTCTGAGGCCGATCGTGCTTGATGGTTTTTACCCCCAAAAAAGAAACTTTGAGTGCGATAGTCAAAAAAAGTTTGATAATTCTCTTTGAAATATAGGGGAATTAAGGTTCTTCTTGCCCACTACTACTTCTTTTTTTCTGTGATATCCAGTAGTCTTGATGAAATCTTCATGACCGGAGTTTATATGGCAGGGTTGAGTTTTTATGCGTTCGGAGCAATTAAGGAACGCGCACAATGGGATATTAATTGACCATCTACGAAGTGCTCCGGTAAAATGGCAATGTAGACACTAGACACAACTTGTAGAAACCACAATAACGCCCGCTGTACTAGTGTCACAGTGGACCATCATCATAACGCCCCGCCATCCTTTAATTGTCTTACATTCTCAGTCCAAGTGGACTCATTCATCGATGGATTGTTCGAAGACCCCTCTCGGATATGTGGGGGAGAACAAGCAGCAAAATTTCGGTAGATAGCCCAAAAGCATTGTGCAACCCTCAAGGAGCATCTTCCCGCTCTGGGTAACATGCATCGCGCACTAGTCCTCATTCGGTCTAGCCCTGAAGCCCTAACTGCCATTCCTGTGCCGTCACTCTCGGAACATGTTGCTCTGTCCGGCCAATTGCTTCGAGATGATGAGGCTGGCTGGATAGTATACCTGCCTCGGAGAATGTAACCTGTACCATTTGTTCTGTCTGATGGGGCCATGGAGAAAATTTTTGTGTCTGCATCGGACTAATGTTGTTCTTTTGACGCAGTCCATGACGAGTTGATATTTCTAAACGAATGCGGATGCTTCGGCATGGTCGTACGAAGACAATGCTTGCTACTGGTTACTTACTACTAGTAGTGGGTTAGCTAGGCACTTGTTGGTGGTTGATGGCAGACAACAATAACAGCAACAACGACCCAACCCGAGTAGATCGGACGCTACTGTGTAGTACTACCAACTAAGTAGTAAGTATACTCTGTAGGCGGGTAGATATTCAGCCCCAGGCTTAATCTGATGAATGAGTGAATGACATGTCATTCCTTAAGCGAGAGGAAAAAAAACTGGCAGATGACATCATCCGACTTTCTAGTTAAGCATATTCTGCGCAACGATCATCCATGCTTTTCAGGCTGATCTGTGTAACACCGTATGACATTTCCATCCTTCTTTTTCAGTCGTCAAGCCTCATGCGTCGGAGCTGATATTCCATTAAGGGCGCCGCCGTTCAAAGTACGTACGTACTAACTAACTTGGCTACGTACTTTGAGCAGGGATGGCAAAAAGAAAGGTGCACTTTGCTGGTTAGAGTGTATGATCAACATGTTCTCCTCTCGGGTTCCATAAAGTGGATCGCGTTAAGTTCAATGGATCAAGGCACCACGTACTATGGGAACATGGGTTATTATACTCTGTTATTCGGGTTGTTTAATTTGCCATCGGATTCGAGTCTTTGGATTTTCGGTTTGCTTTCCTTCAGATGTCTCGGAGACATAAACTTACTATCTCATGGTTGTGTCCGCTGAGAGGGCCAGGTGTGATGATCATGATGGGCGTGTGGTGAGAACGCCACTCGAAAGGGAAACTGAAGAGCGGGACTTTGAGATACCAGTAGTGGGTAGATGCTGGAGATAGTAGAGGGTTAGTTAAGAAAGGAGATCGCTCGCGTGGCTTATCATTCGATCAGTTCTTGCTGTTGGACAGACATCAACTCATAACTAAACTATATTATTAACCAGAACAAGAGATCTAAGTAGTAGCTGTGGGATTGCAGTCGATCGGGTCAGGTGCTAAAAAGAGGAGTATCTAGAACCTATCACGTACACACACACATTATGTAGAGTAACCCAGGAAAGAGTAAACGAATGGCGAGATGAACAACGCACACGAAGATTACTTAGTACTCCAGAATCTAATTACTCCATACACGGTACCCATAATTACTTTCTGGTAGTCTAGTAGTGTCGGGCGCTGAATGCGACCATCAGCTCCAAACGAACGGTACTAGCCCGCCCAGGTTTAGGATTATCTGGAAATCGATGATTTGCGGGTTCGCGTACGCACTTGTAATTTCAGCACCGGTTGAGGGTGGGCTTGGCAGGGTGTCGTGTGAGTTCTGTCCTCCAATTCTCCTCGGCAAACAAATCAGGCGGAATATGCGGAAAGAACGCGTGGAAAGTGGCAAGAAGACTCCCCCGTCAGTCCATTTTTGGGGAGTGGGAAAAGGACAAAAAGGGTCATCATTCGATGCAGGTATCGGGTGAGGATATCATCAGTCGATACATTTGTATTTTATTGATCTTAAGTACTTCTGTAATGTGTGCAGGGTGCAGGGCCAAAGCGCAATGCTAAGGTTGCTTTAGTGAGATGAGAAGAGTCGACAGGGGAGCCAAAGTACTTCTCCGTAGACGGAGGGGGAGAGGATATGTGTAAGAAACGGTCACAAGTACCCGTTTCTAATACCGTCTAGTAATTTCTCCGCAACGGACTCGAGTATGTAATCGCCGAACTCCCCACTGGCGGGAATCATGCTATGCCCACTAGTCCCAGTTGAGCCACTTCCCTCCTCATCCCGATCGCCTTCAGTTCAACTGGTTTGCTTTGCCCGCAACCCTTTTCTTTCCCTTCTCTCCCTTTTTCTACTCTAGACTCTTTTCGAAAATACTAGCTTTCCCTCTCCTCCTTGACATCCCCATCTTTCATTACATTCCCCTTTCCCCCTCGTCATATCCTTCTCCCCCCCCCCCCCCCCCCCCCCCTATTGACGTCGCTCGTCTTACGTTCTTGTCCCCGTTACTCCGCTGTGTCACCATGTCCGCAGTACTTCGCCGCAGTACCATGATGGAATGTACCCACCGTCACCGTTCTTAATCATCCGCTGGCTGAAACTGTGATTTTTCATTCTCGTCGCGAGGCATAGTAGATCTGTCGGATCATTCTATTTTGGACTACTCGTGCAGTGATATAGCCTCCGAAATTCGATCTGTATCCACTATCGCGCCAACCGGGCTCAGCTTTCGCCTGAGGACCGCCGCTTTGCCGTTCATCAGCGAGCTGACGTCGTCTCTCTTACACCTGGTTATCTAGCATACTGTGATTGAATCGCATACGGACTCAAAATGGAAGGGATTGAGACTGTGGATGTCAGCTGGCTGCATCACTCGCAAAAAGGTAAGCCGGACGTCGCTCAATTGCTACTATGTCTTTGTGTGTACCTTTCCTAACTCGATCGCAAGACCATCTGTCGCGCTGTAAATCGGCATCATCAGTGGTTAGCGATAAATCTGTCGCGGATCCAGATGTCGCAGATGCCCAAGAACGAAGTCTCGAAAAACCAAGCACTACCGATAATAACTCTTCAGCATCAGCCCCCCTCACTCCTACCATATCTAAGAGTTCGTCACAAGAAGATGGTGCGAAGGCCACGAAGGAGGTCAAAAATGAAGACAAGTCAGTGGAGGGAAAGCCTACTGGCACATCGCCAGCTACTCCGAAAACCGCGCCTAGGCCGGTTACCGGACGAAGGAACTCTTGGATATCGACCCTGAGCTCCAAGTTTTCCTCTGGTTCTACTCCACCGTCGCAGTCGAATATGAAGGCACAGCAGAGCCCGAAGGCGACCTCTCCTGTTTCGAAAATGGACATGCATAATCCTTTCGGTGCGGCATATTCTCCAAAGGACAAGGAAGAAGAGAGGACGAATGAGAATAGCCCTTTCGCCTCAACATCTCCAAAAGGTCCTTCGTTCCTTCAGAGCGCCTTCCGGAAACTTTCGTCATCCGCATCTGGTGGCACTGGTAAAGCCGCTTCTACTGGGACGATCTGCCAACGTCGCGTAATGAATATCGATCCGGATCGAGATAGGTGCAAGATCCCGGATCTGAATCCTGCCAAATTGCGCCGTGTCGCTTTCTGTGTGGATGTGGAGATCGCTGGGATATCCTACCGAGAATCGGATGAAGACAGCCCACCAGCAAGTAGTAGGCGACGTCCTGTCCCAGAGGTTAACAACCAAAAGTCCAAACGATCGCATATCAAGTCGAAAGAGAAGGAGGAAGCTGCCGCGTTAAAGAATCCCCAGGCTGTGGTTTCCTCCAAGGACAAGAGTAGCCCAACAAACGGGGCGGATGGGAAGACTTCTGGGTCACCAGACACGCCGCCAGCTGAAGCGAATGCCAATGGCGAGACGAAAGAGCCAACACGAAAGCAGGAAAAGAAGAAGAGGTCAGAAGAAGAAAGGCGTGAGCGGAGGGAAAGAAGACGCAGACAGGCAGAAGCAAATGGCTCCATACCCATGCAACTCACAGCCGACGGCCAGGAATATGGCTGCCGAACGCCTGCATCTAACACGAGCCGTACCAAGACACAGAGTCATCCAACGACAGATCCTGTGCGGATATATAGACGCTGTTGTCAACTGCGCGAGACGCCTGTGCTCAAGCGTATAGTTGACGAGATCTCATCACCTTCCTCCACGTTAGCCGAGTCTCCAGGAACCGTGGCCGTGCTTGACCTCAGCGACTTCCCTATGACGGCCGAGGATATTGCTACTTTCTGCGATTGGCTCGCTGTTGTACCCGTTCGAAAACTCATCATTGAAAGATGTGCTCTGACTGACGACTCGGTGCGATCTATTCTCGCTGCACTACTTTCCACTAGAACTGTGGAACAGATGATGCAGCGGCGTAGAAAGGGAAAGAAGGCAGAGGTGGTGACTTCGGAGAAAGAACAGCGGTTCAGCGTCGTTGAGAAGGTGTCGCTGAAAGATAACCCCAAAATCGGACCAGAAGGATGGCGTCATATCTGCCTATTTGTCCACCTTTCAAAATCCTTGAAGGCGATCGACTTGTCCGGCATTCCTCTTCCCAAGACACCCATTACTGTCAACTGCTCCAACAAAGGAGCCTCGCAAACCCAGAACGTCACCAACGTAGCAACTCTCTTCGCGACTTCGCTCGCACAACGCTTTGGCGAGGACCACTTGGAAGAATTGCTGCTGAGCGAATGCCGACCTACGACCGAAGATGTGAAGAAAATATGTGATGCAGCCACAACCCTTGGCTTGAGGAGACTTGGCTTCGCCAATAACGAGCTGAGCAGGGAAGGTCTGGAGCACATTGTTGATTATCTCAAGGCAGGGAAATGCGAGGGGCTAGATCTGGGTGGAAATCCCATCCAAGACCAGTTGGACTTGATCATATCGTCTTTCACGGGAGACCACCCGCTGTATGCTCTTAGCTTGGCTGACTGTTCACTTACGCCTTCTACCGTCTACCCCTTGTTCCAAGGATTGACAAAATTGCCGGACCTTCGTTTTGTCGATTTCTCCCACAATCCAGGTCTTTTCACTATGCAGCCCGATGCGCTAGCAACCTTCCGGCGTTTTCTTCCCAAAATGCCTGCTCTCAAACGCATCCATTTGGCCGACGTCAACTTGTCTCCTGACCAAACCATTGCTCTGGCCGAGGTCCTCCCCGAATGTCCCAGCTTATGCCACTTGAACATTCTCGAAAACCCAGCCATTACGGCATTGGCATCTGCGACGGATCCCGCCAATCAAGAAGAGGCATGTGCTGTGTATGCATCCTTGATGGCGGCAGTGCGTGTTTCCAGAACGATCATAGCCGTGGAGATAGAAGTCCCTACTGCCGAAAACAACGAGGTTGTGAAGGCTTTGGCTTCCCAGATAGTCGCCTACTCCCTCAATAATCTGGAGCAAGGTGCCATTGCAGCAGAGTTTTCCGATCCAACAGATACACCCACGAGATCAGCCGTCCATGTTCCGGAGATTTTGCAGCATATCGTCGGCCACGGTACTGGAGATGAGGTGGAGGAAGTTGACGAGGCTGCACCCGATGAGGACTATGTCATTGGAGGGACCGGCGTCGTCAAAGCTCTCGGTGTTTGCCTCGGTAACGTGGATCGCCATATGCCAGGAGACCAGTCCGGACCCCCAAGTGGCACAACTACACCCAGGCATAGGAAATCCAGGTCTTATGTCACTAAACGACCCCGTGACATGTCTAAAAACCTCTTGGAGTCTGCACGTAATATCCGGACGCGAATCCAGTCGGCCCTTGTGCGCGAAGATAAGGCCGGCAATGACACCAATTACCGTATGTTGCCTTTCTTACTCCCCCTCTTTAGGTGGTGATGCTAACTAGCTTTTCCACTGCAGGGCGTCTTCAATTCCTTGACTTCACCTTACAGCGCATGATCCAGCGATTTGAGGACGAATATCCTGAGACCCGCATCATACCCCAGTCCATCCCATCGTATGCGATCCAGGATACTAGCTCACAGGGTTCTAACGACGACGCATGGAACGGGCCCGTGTCTGAAAACACCCAGCTGAATGGCACCTGCGCTGATGCCGAGGCCGTGGCAGATGACGAGGAGGAGCAATATGCCGTCCGACTATCGCGGTCAAGCTCGATTACGTCGCTTCATTCACGCGCAATGACCTCCGAGGAAGGCCATGTTCACCGTCTTGGGCAGAACATTCGGCGCGATTTCCTCCGGCCTTCGTTCGATCAGGCTGACGATGATATGTCGGCATTCTCATTCGAAGAGTCCCATATGGCCGCTTTGCGTGATAAACTTGATCGTCTGCAGGAGGAACAAACCCACACACCTTTTGAGAGTGTGGATGCGGACAAAGCGCTGGGAGATCTGGGTAACACAGTGGAGGAGTTATGGGCCGCTCGTAAGAACGATGCGGAAACCTTTGAGAAGTTCCGGCAAAGCCAAATCGCTGCGCAATTCAACAGTGGCAAAAGGACATCGTCTAGCAGGAGCAATGGGAACGACGATACCGAATCAGATCAGCAGGCTTCTTTCTGAGTTGGAACCTGGGTTGACTGGGTTAATCATAGCCGATTTTTGGCTTTTGTTCATACCCACAGGTGCTTCTACCCTCGTCTAGCTGGCGATGAGGCTACTATTTCTGTATGGACGGATGACTGGGATCTCTGCCGGCAGAGGATGGCCCTTGTTTGTATATAGGTCACCGACAAGCGTGACATTATTATCTGTATTCTAATCTACTTCGCACATGCGATGTGTATCTGCGGTGGCAATCTCCTTTCTTTTTTACCTATTGTTTGTTGTTCTTTTTCATAATGGGAGGGGGGAAATCTAGGCTAAGGGTGGGTAAAGGCGTTGGTACTGAAGGTGCATGGGGAAATCTGGGGCATATAGGAAGTTGAGAACTACAAGAGGTGGTGAGAGTAGGTTGTTAATGTTGATAATAACTATGCGTTGTGATATTAGCGATGGTGGACGAGTTAATCAATAGTCAATAGTTGAGTGGAATGTAAACAGTTCCCCGCTTAGATAAGGCGGACATCCTCGGCAGGCCCCGAGAATCCGGGGAGGGAAGGAGCCCCCGGGCCTATTCACATGTCAAGCCCCCATCCATCATCCTTCCATCGTCATCCCCTTGCTCTTCTCACCCATCATATCTCCTCCTTCCCTCCCTCCCTCTCTCTCTTCATCCTCATTCTCCTTCTCGTCCCTCTTCATCTCCCCTCCTTTCCATTTGTCCTCACCGGTCATGTTAGCCGTCATCGACTTCGGCTAACTACACTTCCGGGGTTCACGTCGCAACTATGGCTGCGCAATCCAAGTTATTTCCGCCCGAGCGGTCTATCCGACACCTCTTCTCCCGCCTGGCTGCCACCTACCTCCGTCATCGTAAACAAATCTCCCGTACTGTGTATTTAGCTCTCTTCGCCGCTCTCGTGAAACGCGTCCATAATGCCATCTCCGAGCAAAAGGCCGCCTCCCACCACCAGGAAGAACTGCGCCGACGCCCTGGAACCAGTAGTCTTGGCGAAGGCGGCGATCGTCCGCGCAAAAAGGTCGAAGTCAACCGGGAGTTCTTTCGCAATCTGCTTCGTCTGTTGAAGATCGTGATCCCCGGTTGGCGGAGCAAAGAGTTACGGCTTCTGTTTGGCCACAGTGTCTTCCTGGTGCTGCGGACACTGCTGAGTCTGTATGTAGCCGAGCTGGATGGCCGGCTGGTTAGCAATCTGGTGAGAGGGAGAGGCAAGGACTTCTTGCTGGGGCTAGTGTGGTGGATGATAGTGGCAGTTCCTGCGACATTCACGAACTCCATGGTAAGTGGCTTCATATCCACAGAAGAGAAAGGTCCAGGAGCTAAGTCCCTTCTGTGTTGCGGTAGCTATCTTATCACCAATGCAAACTCGCTCTCTCTTACCGCAAACGCCTGACAGACTACATCCATGACAAATATCTGTCGAACATGACGTTCTATGCCATATCCGCTTTGGACGATCGGGTCAAGAACCCCGACCAGCTCATCACAGTAGATGTTTCAAGGTTCTCCGACAGCCTGGCAGAGCTGTACTCCAACCTGGCAAAACCGATTCTCGACATGGCCATCTACAACTACTCTCTTTCCAAGAGTGTGGGCGGAGAAGGCCTGTTTATCATGAGCCTCTTGGTGCAATTATCCGCCAATGTTATGCGAGCCTTGACGCCACCATTTGGCAAATATGTGGCCGACGAAGCACGTTTGGAAGGCGAGTTCCGCTTCCTGCACTCGCGTTTGATCGACTACAGCGAAGAGGTGGCTCTCTACCACGGCCACGAGGCAGAAAAGGACACCTTGGATAAGGGCTACTTCACTTTGATTAAACACGTGAACCGCATTCTTCGCAGACGCTTATACCACGGATTCATGGAGGATTTCGTTATCAAGTACTTCTGGGGTGCCTTGGGATTGATCCTGTGCAGTATCCCTGTCTTCTTCCGCATTCCCGGCCAAGTCACTCAAACTATGGGCGACCGTACCGAGAGTAAGCATTTACACCCAGTCTAGAAACCTATACATCAGCACGGTGACTGACATGCATCAAACAGGCTTCGTTACCAATCGAAGAATGCTGCTTTCTTCCTCAGACGCTTTTGGGCGTCTAATGTTCTCCTACAAAGAAATCTCCGAACTAGCTGGTCACACAGCCCGTGTCTCTTCGTTGCTAGAGGTTATGGACGACCTCTTAGCCGGCCGATTTGAGAAGAAGCTTGTGTCCTCCGCCTCCACAGAAGAAAACTCCGCGATCTTATCCGGTCGCGGAGTCGTCGAGGAAAGTGATTCAATTGAATTTACTGACGTCCCTATTGTTTCACCAAACGGCGATGTTCTCGTCCGAAAATTGTCCTTCACTGTGCACCCAGGCGACCACCTTCTCATTGTTGGACCAAACGGATGCGGCAAGTCCTCCCTGTTTCGAATTCTCGGTGGCCTGTGGCCTGTCTACGGAGGCCAAGTTAAGAAGCCCCGATTTGACGACATCTTCTACATCCCTCAGCGCCCGTATCTTTCGCGAGGTACGCTCCGCCAACAAGTTATCTACCCAGACGGTGTCCGCGAAATGCGCGCCAAGGGAATTACCGACGATGATCTCTACGAGATCCTCTCAGTTGTGGAGATCGCTTCCGTTGTTGATCGCCCTGGAGGTTGGGACGCCGAGGAAGAATGGCGCGACGTCCTATCCGGCGGTCTGCAACAGCGGATAGCCATGGCCAGACTATTCTATCATCGGCCAAAGTTCGCCATTTTGGACGAGTGCACCTCCTCGGTTACTTTGGAGATTGAACGGGTCATGTACGAAACAGCCAAGAAGCTAGGTACTACGCTGATGACTGTGTCCCACCGACGGAGTCTTTGGAAATATCACAAGAAGATTCTGCAGTTTGATGGGCAAGGAAGCTACATCTTCACTGGTCTGGACTGGGAAAAGAGACTAAAGTTGGAAGAGTAAGTTGCTCCGCTCCGAGTTGTTTTGGTGGCTGCATCATGGGAGATGAGCTAACACAGCGCTTTATTACAGTGAGAAGGAGGAGCTGGACCTCCAACTTCGTATGGTGCCAGAGTTGCAGAGGCGCATGGCTGAATTGAGCGCGTAGGGCCGTGATTCGTTCACGTGTTCATTTGCCTGAAGGGATATAGAGTATATATGGGGTTTATAGTTGTTGTCGCTGTGTCACTAGCCGTGAAATGGTTGCGTTATGGTATGTGTAGCGCGTTTGGGGCAACTTACACATTCATGGTTAATGTAGAAGACATATGGAACTTTGTAAGAACAGTTAGTTGCATAGAATATAGCTGTTTGATAATTGCTGATCCAAACAATGAGTTACTGCCGAGTGAGTGAATGGCTCCGTCATAAGCATCTCTCTCCTGTTCACCGGGCAGCGTTACGAGTGTAGGATCCATGTAATACTAGAAGTTCAATCCAACTCGCCAAGAGGAAAGAAAAGCGGAAGAATAGAGCGGGTGACAACATGGCAAACCGAAAGGAAGGACCAGATGATGCAGGAGTCCAACTTCAACAATGGCCACTGTCTAATTCTCCACCTCGAGGGGCTCTACATTCCAAATGCTTTCGGCGTACTCATTGATCACGCGGTCGGTCGAAAAGAAACCCATGCGGGCAACACTGGTGATGGACTTGGCTAACCACTCTTCGCGGTTCTGGAACGACTCATCAACCAAGTCCTGCGTGGTAATATACGAATTGAAGTCGTCAGACACTAGGTAGTAATCTCCGTGCTCAACAATGGAGGCGATGAGTGCGGAGAAGTTGTTGACGTCACCGAACATGCCGCCACGAATTGCATCGAAGACTTTAGCCAAGTGAGGATCAAGCTGGAAATCGCCGTAGAGGTGTCGGTGGCGAAGCTCTTCCACATCTTCTGCTAGATTTCCAAAGAGGAATATGTTCTGCTCCCCAATTTCTCTGGTAATCTCGATCTATACAGGGGCAATCGTCAGTGCTAGCATCGCAGACGGGATATAGGGCTTCATACGTTAGCACCGTCGCAAGTTCCAATGATCAAGCCACCGTTCATGACGAATTTCATGTTACTAGTACCGCTGCCCTCCGTACCAGCGGTAGAGATATGCTCGCTGATATCAGACGCTGGACAGATGATTTCGGCCTTACTGACGTTGTAGTCCTCGACAAAGATCACCTTCAGAAGATCACCAACTTCAGGGTCATTGTTTACCACGGAGGCAACTTTGTTAATCAGGTGAATAACAGTCTTTGCCATCCAGTAGCCTGGGGCTGCTTTGCCTCCAAAGACAGACACGCGCGGCAGTGCCTTCTTTTTCTCTTCCGCAGACATTGACTTGATCCTCAAGTATCGGTGGATGACACCGAAGATGTTAAGCTGCTGCCGCTTGTACTCATGGATACGCTTGACTTGAATATCAAACAAAGCCTGTGGATTTACACTGTAACCGGTGGTCTCTTTGATGTGTTTAGCGAGACGAATCTTGTTCGCGGTCTTAATCTCGGCCCATTCACGTTGGAATGCCTTGTCATCGACGAAAGCCTCGAGCCGGTCCAGAAGTGTCAAATCAGTCAAGAATTGATATCCTCCGAGCCTGGAAGCGATTAGATCAGACAAACGTGGGTTTGCCTGGTGTAGCCAACGACGTGGAGTAACTCCATTGGTGACATTGGTGAACTTGTCCGGGCCGTATATTGTCACGAAATCTTTGAAAAGGGTGGTCCGCAATAGATCTGAGTGTAGTTCTGCGACCCCATTGACTTTATGGGAGCCAATAATCGCGATGTAAGCCATCCTCACCATCTTCGGGTGGGACTCTTCAATAATCGACACCCGGGACAGTAAGTCTCTATCTTGCGGAAAGTTCTTCTCGACATGCTGGAGGAAATATAAGTTGATGTCGAAAATGATCTGCATGTGCCGTGGTAGCAGGTTTTGCACCAACGGGACAGACCACTTCTCCAGGGCCTCTGGCAAAACCGTGTGATTCGTGTATCCGAAGGTCTTTGTCACGATGGCCCATGCCTCGTCCCACTCGAGACCTTCGTTATCAATCAAGATGCGCTGAAGTTCGACTATAGCCAAGGTCGGGTGAGTGTCATTCAATTGAATGGCAACCTGATCGGGGAACTCGCTCCAAGCTCTCTTGGTCTTCTTGAATCTCCGGACAATGTCGAACAGAGAGGCAGCACACCAGAAGTACTGTTGTTTAAGTCTTAGCTCCTTACCCCTGTCGAGGTTGTCGTTCGGATAGAGCACCGCAGAGATTGTCTCCGCACGTTGTTGCTCTGCGACAGCACTTTCGTAATCGCCAGCGTTGAATTTCTGGAAGTTGAATTCTCCGCTGGAAGCCTTGCAAGACCACAGCCGAAGATTGTTCGTGGTCCGTGTGCCATAGCCCGGGACAGGAACATCGTATGCTACTGCTTGCACAGTTTCGCCATCTTGCCAGGAGTGGATGGTTTTACCATTCTCATCCTGGTATTTTCTCACCCAGCCATAAAACTGAATATCGACAGTGATTTCATGCCGAGGGAACTCCCATGGGTTGAAGTCAAGCCAGTAGTCGGGGACTTCCATCTGATACCCGTCTACAATTTCCTGCTTGAAAATACCATAACGGTAGCGTAGACCGTAGCCCCAGGCTGGATAGTTCAATGTCGCCAGACTGTCGAGTAGGCACGCAGCCAAGCGTCCAAGACCTCCATTTCCCAGTGCAGCATCATGCTCCTGGCTAATGACATCTTCGACTCGGAAGCCAAGGTCCTTCAGACCCTCTTATCTCATAGGATTAGTAGGATGCATTGGGCATTTGTTCCAGGATTCCTACCTCTTGCAACGTCCTTCAAGCCGACATTGAGCATGGCATTATCCAGAGCTCGGCCCATAAGGAATTCGAGAGAAAGATCTGGCAAGGGTTGTTAGTGTTGTCACAGATAAGTGAATGATAGTCCAAGTAGTTCAAGGATCCGCTCACAATACACTCGCTTCTGGTCGGCAGAAGCTTGTCGCTGTTGCGTCTTATTCCATTCGATGATCAAGCGATCTCGAAAGGCTAGGGCGGTTCCAGAGTATGCGGCCCTAATACGTCAGCGGTTGGTTCCCTGATGCTGTCCAGCGAGGGTCAAAATACAATTCGTCACAGTTGTACAAGGAGCGAGCCAAAGTAGTTTCGATGTGCCGGACCAGCTCATCCTATTCACATCATTAGTGAAATGCTCGACGCTGTATGTACTATCCAACTTACTTCGAACTCTTCTTTGTTGGCAAATCCATTGACGGACTATGACAAAAACAGACTTAGCAAAACGATCTCAGATCCCAAAGCGCGTCATCAATTTTCCTACGTGCTTCCGCCATCTAGGATACAATGCAGGTCAGCGATACTCCAATGACGGTTTCATATGAAACAAGCTTGCGACTATGGAGAGTGACGGCTATAATGACAAAGAGTTGGATCAGGATCAATACTCACGCCTCCCTAAGATGCTCCGGAATACTAGCTTCGACACTTTTGATCTCTGCAGGTCCGAAGCCAGTGAAGGTACGTCTGTGCTTGGGACGGCTAAAGCCGGGACCAATGGGTCCCTGAAGCTCAGACACTGGAGCTCCAACCGAAGGCTTTCTTTCTCGACGAGGCTGTTCCGAGGCCATTGTAGCTGAACAAGCGTTGAAGTGGCGGAAACACTAGCTGGTTCAAGAAGTGGTCAATAGACTAGCCCAACGATTTGAGGATGAGGCATTCAATAACAAAGAAGCCTGAGCTAAGGAAGCGCCTCGATTACTATAGTGGAATAAGGCGAAAGAATAAAAGGGGGGGGGGGAGAAAGATTTGGGAGGAAGGAGGAGAAGACAAAGAAAGAAGAAGGAAGGAAGAGGGAGAGGGGTGGGAGCGAGGTACTCTAAGTAGTACCACGGACTGACTATACTTCACTATAGTAAGAATAGAAAATAGCAGACCTTCACTTCCCCCTCCTTCCCTTTCTCTTCATCAACCGCGTGACAAGGGTGTCTAAATCGCAATGCTGGGATCAAAGCAGGGCATGCGAGACAACCGGGAGGGGTAATATCGAAGTCTGGGATGGCAGTTGACGATAGATGGAGGAGGATCGAACAGGAATCCGGAATGGATGATCATACGTTTGGCCCCCGGGTTCTCATGCAATGTCGTGCGAGGAAAAGTGTCTAGGCTTTCATGGAACTTTCAACTAGCTCAATTCGCAAATTGAGCAGCGTAACTGGGCAACGCCCCAAGCTGCCGTGTAGCTCCTTGAATGCTGGACGAGCATTGGATGATGAAGGAGGATGTGTGTGTGTTGACTGACGGATTGTCCGGAACTGGGCCTGAACTCAATAGAAGCCACAACGTTTCCTTGGATTGAGGGGTTTTAGGGGACAGAAACGAGACAAGACAACATGAATTAATGCATCACTGCTCCACCACCACCATCTCATCCGTCTGACAGTCGCCGTCTGGCCTGACCGGAGCTGCCGCTATGACGCATGGTGATCGAGGGGGGGAAAAGTAGTAGTAACTAAGTAGTGGAGTGGATAGAGGAAGGATTGACTCTGGACTTGGGAGACGGTGTATTGATACCGTATAGTAAGTAGGAGTCCTGTCTTGTCTTGTCTTGTCTCTGAATACTTACTCCTTTCAACTACTTCCATTAATACCAACAGTTGCTACTTACTTTCTTGTATCGCCAGAACTACTACTGCTACTGCTACTACAGGTCTGGTCTCAACGCCATCAACCACATGTATTGATGCATGCAATACAATGTACTATTTCTGTTCTTCTTCTTACATTTCCCTCTTTTGATTGCATCTTCCTTTTCTACAGCTCTTTGAAATAAATCTACTACTAACCACCCGCCCGCAGCTCAGTCCTCCGGGTCCAGTCCATCTCCGGCCTCATCCCCCCCACCCCCGCACTGCAACCTTCCTGTCCGATCGGCGGGTCATCAACGTTCTCCCCCGTCCATCATTTCATTCGAGCGCTAGGATCGACGGTCTGAGCTCGAGGAACTCCGCGCGAGCCATGGGCCTTTCCCCATGACTTTTGCACGGTGCAAGCCCTCTCCAATGTCTTGACTGGTTCCCGTGAACTAGCGGAAGAAACCATGAAGCGGCGCTCGGAGCTTCCCATACCTACATGCCCAGTCGACCTCGCTGCGAATTGCCTGGTTACACTCTCAACCACCAGCGGAGACGGTGATGATGTCTGGAGGCACTGCCACAGCTGGCCTTGCCCTAGATATGCTCGCCTTTTGGGCGGGCAAGAGAACGTCGAAAGAAGTAACATCGACTTCAAGACAGTAAGCAGCACGCGTTACAGCATCATCTGATGGGAGCCGCTCCGCTTGCAATGGGCAGCATCACTGCACAAAGGGCACGGTGACATTTCATGGGTAAGAGATCAATTGCATGCATAGGATCGCTACAACAAGCTGCGTGGTATAGACGGGACGATAAAGGATCAACAGCAACGAGTAAAACAGAATGCTGGGTAATAGCCTAGAAAATTAGAGAAGTATGTAAAGAGAGATCGCCATTAGATGCAGAGTCAAGTCATGGGAAAAGAAAAGAAAAGGGTTATAGGAAATTCCGGGGGCATGAAACAGTATATCAAAAGGCTTTGCGCAGTCCACGTGCAAAGAATGTAATGCCAAGGCCTGTAGCTCGCTCTTCCTGTTATTGAAGACATTGAGCGCTTTAATTGAAGATCAGCCCCAGGAGTTGGACGTGGTCTGTTATGGCCGATGCAGATAGAAAAGCCCCAAGAAACATATCATCCTGAAATGATCACAAATGAGAAGGAAAAATTGACACCATGCCACAAATTCCAATGACCATGAACCAACCCAGCGCCAGGCACATTGAACTGTGAGGTCAACTTAGCACCGTAACGCCGATGCCTACCGACTGAACACAATATGATGAACAAACGAACAAAGTAAATCGAAAGATAACGAACGCCAAAGCTGCAAACAGGGTGCAAACCAGAAGCATCAAAGCTTCAGAGAGAAATGAGGTTCATCAGTAAAACCGGGCCGGAAGACTGACTAGTGAGAGGGCAGATAGGACGGCCTCTACTCAACGTAGGCAATCGCCAAAGTGGAGAATCTCGGTAACATAAACCGGGTCTAGCTGCTCTTCTAACGATAGCTGCCTCACAGAATACCCGAATCCTTAAGGGCATTTTGCAGGATTGTTTCCTTTACAGCGGCGAATACCAGACGGATATTTGTTGTGTCGGTGGCCTGAGTCAGACTTGAGGGCGAATTAGTGAGTACACAGCACGAAAACGACTTTGATCAGAACTTACTGAGGGTAGAGATTCAGATGCGCTCTGTTGACTTGATTGAATCTCCAAAGAAGGTATTTGGCCGCCCGATTCACGTCATTGCCGCCTGAATAGTCCGGAAAGTAATGGTTCAATGGAGACCGAGGAAGCTTTTGTTTGAAAAGATCGACCTTGTTTAGGAAAAGAATTATGCTCGTTCGCATGAACCATCGAGAATTGACCACGGAATCGAACAGGACTAAGCTTTCCATCATGCGATTCTGAAAAACCAGATCAGCAGGGGCGCATGGGCAGGGTGATGAAGCGCTCCGAGACATACCTGGTTGCTCTCCTCCAGTAATACTTGGTCATACTCACTCAACGCTACGCAGAAGATGATGGATGTTACGTTTTCAAAGCAATGAATCCACTTCTTCCGCTCGCTCCGCTGGCCGCCAACATCGAACATACTATGTGACAAGTCAGTTAATTGTCGATGAAACAACCTTCAAGGAGAGGACAGGTCATACTGTATGCTAAGCTGGCCCATGGTAAATCGCGTCTCATATATACCTGTCGTTTTTGTTCGCGCGCGGAGTACATCATTTACGTTGGGTATGTAATCTGGGGAAGCTATCCGCTTAGCTTCATCAAAGAAACTAGAAGGACTCGGTCAGCGGCTGTGCTTGTGGTATAACTCGATTGACGCAAGCACTTACTATGGCGCAGAATCCATCAGATAGAATTCGTTCTGATGCTCCAGCACATTGGAAGTACAAGGGTCATTCCAGAGATACGTGATCGCATCACCGACCCGAGAATCCAGGGGTATATTTGGATCAGGGTCAATGTTATAATCGGAAAGGAATTGGATGTAGTCGCGGACTTTTTGACTTGAAGGTTCTAGCGAGAACTGGTGGTAGGCTGCTATGAGAGATTTGGTACAATCGAGGAGGTTCTTGTAGACCGTTAGGCGATATAAGGCCAGCTCTTCAACTGTGTACCCATTCTGGTGGATGATCTTCATTTGCTTGACGATGGTCGACTTGCCGCTTTCTCCGGAACCTACCATCACACACGAGATCACAGTTAGCAAGAGTTGCGCTTGAAACAGCATCGGCCTCCGTATAGCGGGATGAGGAGAATGCAACTAACCAAGCAATAGGATCTTGCACTCTCGCCGTAGTCGCCTAGAGTCCTCTTCTAGTTTTCGGTCGATTGCTTGGCTCCTCCGCTTCGACTCCGCATCTCCTGTCGCCTCCGTACTCACACACGAACCCATGTTCTCGGTATGATTCCCAGACAGCGAAAAGCTAACCCATTAGCTGCCTGCGGAAGGATACGGCATCAACCTGTCAGGACGCTGAGACCCGACGCCGACGGGAGAGGCGAATACCCAGACGAGTGGCAGCTCCAACGACCCAAACAGACAGATGTGATTGCGGACGGAAGGTTATGAGCGGCGCAATGGGGAGGATATCGCTGCAGCGATCGGAACGGGGAGAGTGAGAGAGACGGTGGTATATGCGATCGACAATGGAGTTCGATCAGGGATCGAGGCTTGCGCGCGTAGTGGCCGAAGGCAGAGCCACAACAGACGGCTCGAGGTCGAAACGGGGAAGGCCGGAGCGACGACAACTGCAAGCTCCCGGGGGGGGCGGAGGTGTTGGCTCGTGACGCAGGAGGTGAAAAGGAAGCAGGGGAGACAGCGAAGCAACGAAAAGACGCCGAGCCCAAGCGCGGAGTAGGATGGTTCTGCTGGAGGTTTGATCGAGAGGGTGAGGGGTGTCAAGAGAGCCAACTGCGGAGCAGGAAAGCGAGCGAGAATGACGACCTGACGCTAAAAAGGGTAGTTAAAGTCGATCGGGGGGGATGATGTGGGAGAGTGGATGAGAGCGCGGATCTCGAGTGTGAGATAATGTAAGCAATGGGGATCAGTCGTCGGTCGGGTCGATCAATCAGGCGGGTAATAGTAGTTAAGGGAGGAAGGAGATGAGATGGGATGGGATGGGATGGGATGGAGGATTGGGGGGGGGAAATAATGCGCGGACGTGTGAATATGAAAGGGAATTAGGTATTATTACTGGTCATTATAAAGGAGGAAATAAGTTCGTGTGCGTTAATTAGTAGGAAAGGAAAAATGAGGGGGTGGAGGGAGGAAGAGGAGTAAGGTGAATGGTAGGATGTGATTGATTGATGGAAGGTTAGTTCGTAGTGGTTGGTAGAGAGGATGGGATGGAATGGGGATGGGATGGGATGGGATGGATTGGCCAGTTGTGGATGATTCCCAATCGTCATCTAGACAGGTGGAAGTGGAGATGGCAGAAAGACAGAGGAGAGGATTACATACTCGCTCGATCGTAGGGGC